CACGAACACAGAAATAACGAAAGGAAACAAAACAAATAAAAACTTCCAGGAAAAAACACTTGGTCGGCAGATGTACCACGAACACAGGCCGCGCGAACAATGGCCGGGCTAACAAAAGCCGGGCGAACAAAGGCCGGGCGATCGAGTGGTCGATGGGCACGTCCGCACGTGACGGGTGCCTCTATCGGAATACTAGTTCTGATAAAAACAAATAAAGGAATTGGCGCGAACATCTTGCTTAAATAAGTCAGACACATTATGTATTAATACGCATTAGGTTGTTACAGCTATAATTATCTATTCGAGTGTACATACACTCATAAATATCTATTAACAGAAATGATATCCCTTTGATATTGTATCGCTCACGCGGCTAAAATAGTTTCGATGTTATTGTCACGTCTATTTTAGTCCGTAAGCCGAGCGATCCACAGTCGAGTTTTGATGTAGCCTTTTTTGTATACAGATTTCAAACGTTATTTTCGCAGTTTGCAAAAATCCAATGTGTTATTAAGCTATTGCATAGCTTCTGTCGCGGGCCTTGAGCGCGGCGAATGAATCAAGAAATTCCGTAACGAAAATAACCTGACACCCACGGAATAGTTAAATAAGGTTGGAAAGGCCTTTGCTCTAATTTTGTATTAGAACCAGTGTCGCCGTTTCATCCCCACTATTTTAATTTCTACACATACATATACTGTGATTACAAGTATTTCGCACACAACAAAAACACCCACACATAAATCTCAGGACAGATATTCGTGCGCAAACTAGCACAAAACACCCGTAGGCATACACACTCACACACGCAAAAAGGCAATAAAATGTTCATACACGCTAGTGCTTGATAAAATCAATATTCTTTGTCGACAAATTATCTGATGAATGAACGGAGAAAATGAACATGAAATAAATATTGAAAAAAAAAAAACTATTTTACTTTTATTAATTACAAATAGTCACTGTCCCTGGAATAAAACGTATTTGTTAAGCAGTTGGTGCTTGCTATTAATTGCGAATGAATTTTTCAAAACTAAGTGTATTCTGCTTTTTTTATGGTAAAATCATTTTCAGTAAAATGTTTAGAGCAAATAGTACTCGTCTTTGTCTCCAGTTTCCCCTACCTGTCACGTCAATCCATTGTTCGCTGGCGTTAGGTTCTTTAGGAAACCTAAAATTTTTAATTAACTGCATAAGTCAAATAGCATTTTACTTAGATTTTAATACGTCTAAGACAATATAGTAAATACCCGTAAATGAAAGGTCTACATGTCCCTTTATATTATACCTTCACATTAATTCAATGATAATTCAATAATAATAATACATATTTATTTTACTCAAAATACGTCTCACTAAGAATATACTTTTTTTTTTTTTTTCCACAGGAGAAAATCGCCGGATCCCCACCCGCGCGGCAGGTGGGGTATGTGGGAGTTGAACCTCACTAAAAACTCCTGCCGCTCACAACCGGCGCCCTACCTCGGACCGGGCCGGAGCCCAGTCGGGGCTATTGAAACGGCGGGACAGGGTTGACGCAGAGCACATCACATCCATCCCACCGTCCCACGGACGCCGGACCGGTGGCCGCCAGCGAAACGACCACCGGTTCCCTCGTTCAGCGGGCCGAGAGCCCGCTTTGATGGCGCAGCGTTACACCTTCCCCCAGAGCGGTCGGGGGAACGCGGTCTGCCATCACCCGGCTTCCTATTGCGGGTGAGCGTGCAAGCACGCCACCCTACGTCTGGGTCTCTCCCCGCACAAAACGGGTGGGACCCCTAGCTCTTAGGGGGCCAGGTCACGGATACGACCCCGGTCCCGACCCCCTGCTCGGCGGCGGCGGGTTTCTGCGTAGTGAGGAGAGCTTTCCCTCACTCGCCCCGCCGCCTCCTTCTGCGAGATGGTGCACTCGCAGAAGTCGAGCATAGCCTTCCATGACTCATCGCTGCCAAGCATCGACGCCACGACGCCAGGCAGCGACAAGTCAGGTCCTATCTTTGCGACCAGGACACGGCGCTGCACCTCCCAAGCGGGGCAGACAGCGAGCGTATGCTCCGCCGTGTCCAGGTCGTGTCCACAATGGTGACACCTCGTCGTCGGCTCAGCCCCTATCCGGCGCAGGTACTTCCCGAAGCATCCGTGCCCGGTCAGCACCTGCACCAGACGAAAGGTGAGACGTCCCTCGCCACGATTCACCCAGTCATCAAAGACCGGGTAAACCGCCTCGACGGTCCGTAGCCCCCACGTGGGGTTGGCCAATCGCCTCGACCACGACTCGAGCACGGACCGCCGAGAATGGGCCTTCCGCGCCCGCAGCTCACTCTCGGGGACACGCGCCACGCCCCGAGCACGAAGCTCGCTGCGCCACCGATAGTCGGCAGCGAGCGACTCCGCCTCCAGCTCCCATGGCGGCGTCCCCGCCAAAACACACGCCGCCTCGAAGGAGACGGTGCGATATCCGCGGATGACCCTGATGGCAACGGTGCGCTGCGGCCGGCGCAGGAACCGAGCCATAGTGGCCCGGTTGCGCGGCTCAGCCCACACAGGTGCACCGTACAGGGCCATCGATCGCACCACCCCCGCGTAGAGACGGCGCACAACCTGATCCGGTCCCCCAATATTCGGGAGCAGCCGGCTCAAAGAACCGGCCGTCCCCATCAATCGGGGGACCAGCTCCGCAAAGTGAGCACGAAAGGCCCACCGGCTGTCCAACACGAGGCCGAGGTACTTCAACTGCACCCCGACCCCTATCCGGACGCCTCCAACCACGATGTGGGTGTCAACGGGTGGCGCCCTCCGCGGCCCGTGAAACCACAGAGCCTCGGATTTATTGAGCGCCACGTCGAGACCCAGCCTCCTTATCCTTCCGACGACGAGGGCCACTCCCGCTGTGGCGAGACGGGCAGACTCCCTAAAATCATCCCCCCGGGCCACGACCAACGTGTCGTCCGCGTAACAAATAACGCGGAGGCCCGGGAGGAGGGCGCCCCTCAGCACCCAGTCGTACCCGATATTCCACAAGAGGGGGCCGAGAACCGACCCCTGCGGAACACCACGCACGACCGGAAAACGATGAAGGGTCCCACCGTACCCGGTACATACGACCGACCTGGCCCCCAAATAGGACCCAACCAGCCGGCGGAGGTAGAGGGGCACTCCATGCCTCTCCAGTGCCCCCCCTATCACGGTCCAGGGCAGAGTGTTAAATGCGTTGGCGATGTCAAGAGACACCGCCAGCGCCACCCCACCCCGAGAAACGGCCTCGTCCGAGAGGGACCGCACGCGAAGAATTGCATCCACGGTCGAACGGCCCTCCCGGAAGCCGTACTGCTCCGCCGACAGGTCAGGCCCCACCCCGACCAGGTGCCGAACGATGCGGGCAGCCAGAATACGTTCCAGCAATTTTCCCGCCTCGTCCAGCAGCACGATAGGACGATATCCGGCGGCTGTATCCACCGGGCGCCCCTCCTTCCTCAACAACACAAGTCTACCCGTCCGCCAGAGCGACGGAAACCGTCCCGACTCCAAGCAGCCATTATATAGCTCAAGGAGCCGGTCCCCCAGGGCACCGAGGGCCAAGGCCAATACCCGGCCGTGGACTCCGTCCGGGCCGGGGGCCGTGTCTTTCGCAGTCATCTTGACAACGGCCACCCGGAGCTCTGCCTCGGTAATACGGGGCACCTCAGCAGGAGCTTGGCCGTCGACGGTGTCAGACGGCCCGCCCATAGCGGGAGGGACAAAACCCTCCCGCTCCTGCGGGAACAACGCCGAAACGATGTCCCGCAGCTGCTGGGGCTGGAGACGCTCAGTCATAGAGGGGGCCCACGGGCGCAACTTGCCGCGTACCAATTTGTATGGGCTCCCCCACGGATCCGCTTCGAGCGCCTCCAAGAGTCTCTCCATGTTCTGCTCCTTGGCCCGCCTGATGGCCAGCCGCAGGGCGTCCTTCGCAGCGCGATATTCGCGGTGCAGCCGAGCTTCCTCCTCCGCGAACGCGACGGGCTCGTCGCGCCGCAGGCGGCGGCGACGGCGGTGTCTAGTGCACCGGCGGCTCGCCCGAATGGAGACCGCACGCAGTCTTGCAATTTCGGGCGACCACCAGGGCGACTGTCGCCGTCCAGAGTGCCGAGAGCCGACCCGGGGCATCGAGGCATCACATATGCGGTGCATCGCGCCCCGGAACCATTCGGCCTCGGTTTCCACATCGACAGGTTGTGGGCGCTTGGGCGCCCACGCCGCCACCATAGAGGCCTCCACCAGGAGCTCCCTGTTCAGGAGCTTCAGTGCCCACCTAGGGAATGACCGGGATGCACTCTGCGGGGGGTCAACCCCGCGGGCACCTGCAGCCGGCGTCGGCGCAGGGGCAGAAAGATCGTACCGGATATACCGGTGATCGGACAACGATTCCGCCCCCACCACCACTCTCCAGCCGAGGATGCGCCGTGCGACGGGCGAGCTCGCGAACGTCAAGTCCACGATAGACTCGCCCGTCCACCGCACGCAAGTCGCGATCGAGCCCCTATTAACGATACAGAGACCGACCGCGACCGCCCACTCCTCCAGCAGCCTACCACGAGCGTCCGTGAATGGGGAACCCCAAGCGACAGACTTCGCATTGAAGTCCCCCGCCAGTATCACTGAACGGGGAGCGAGGTGACGAGCGATCACCTCTAGCCCGTCCAGGAACCGCTCGAACTCGACGGTAGGCCGATTCGGAGAAAAGTACACCCCGATCACGACGATATTTTCTAACTGTACCGCGACGATCCCGGGGCCCCTGGTCACCATCGCCAGGGGGGGGACCATCGCGGTTCTTCTGATATGTATGGCCGCCAAGCCATCAACGTCCCCAAACCAACAGTCATCCGCTGGGGGAACGAAGTATGGCTCGGCGACCACAGCCACGTCAATTGACCACTCCGCCATGGTCTGGAGCAACATGTCCTGAGCCCCAGCGGAGTGGTTCAAGTTTCCCTGCAGGAAGCGATAGGTGTGATCCATTAAGACTGAACCACATCCATCGCTCCCTCCCCTACTCCATTGCCCCCGCTATCGGGCGCGAACGCCTCAGCGGGGGACAAAGTGCCGGCCGGTGCTCCCCCGGCCAACCGCTTCTTTTGACGCCGCTTAGCTTGGCGGCGCCGATTTCGTTCAGCATTCTTGCTGGCCGGAGGGCAGGCCTTGCCCCCGGCCCGGTGGTCAGCCTTGCGCCCGGCCGCCGCACATAATAAGCAGTGCGGCGCAGCCGAGCACACGGCCGCCTTGTGTCCCGGCTGACCACAGCGAAAGCACAATCCGCTGCGGTCAACGGCACTCGCGCATTTAGCAAGGCAGTGCCCAGTGCTGAAGCATCTGAGGCACCGCCAGGCGCGTGGTTCGAGAAGGCGCACGCGGGCCGCTATCCAGCCCACGCGCAACCTGCCCGGTTCCCCCGACGGTCTCCCGGGCGGAGGAGCAGCCAAGGAGGTGGCCGCCTCTACCGGGCAACGCACCCAAACAGAGCCAGCCCCGGTATAACCGAGGCGCAGCTCGCCTACAGTTATATTCTCCAGGGCGCAGTTGCCCCGGGCGGCAATAGCCGCCGCCACCTCATCCTTAGTGGTGCAGTCGTCCAGGCCGGTCACTCTCAATTCAGCCATTTTGACCGGCCTGTGCACTCGAACCTCCTCCTCAGGCAGAACCGTACGGAGCTTCGCCGCCAGACGCTCCGCGATGCCGGAACTATCGGCACCGGGACACTCTAGTAGCTTGGCCCCATTGGCCGTCAGCCTACAGCGGAGGCCCTCCCCCGCCCCGATCTCGTCCAGATCAATAGCCGCGCACGCCCGGGAGACTACATCTCCGTATGACACGCCCTTGGCCTCGGCGGCCGGCAGCAGCGTTAAGACCACTGCCGCCGACCGCGGCGCGCGCGTCGACTTCTTCTTCGTCTTCTTTTTCTTGGCGGCCACAGGCGCTCGACCCTGTTGGGGAGCAGCCTGAGACGCCGCAGTGGCCGGTGCTCCACCCACTTGGGGAGCTGTCGGTACGGCCCTCTTGGCACCCCGCCGGGCCACCACATTCCACCCCTCGTCCATGTTAGACGGGGGCGGGGGCAGCGGACGGGGTTGAGGCGCTTGCGATGTGCACTTCGCGTTAGCGCCGCCCCCCCGCTTGGCTCTGTCTCGCCCCGGGCCCGCCCTAGTGGCTGGAGCCTGTACGGGGGTGGAGCGGGTCACTGCAGCACCCGACACCGCGGCATGTGTAGACGCAGGCCGTTCAGCGTCACTAGCGACAATACGTTTCGCTTCGAGAGCCGCCAGCCCGCCACCCAGCCTTTCCATTACAGCCTGGACGGTGCGATCGATAATCTCGTCCAGGCTGTAGCAATTCGGTTCCGGCAGGCCCACGATCCGTGGCCCCGCGGATCCCTGCTGCCGCTCGACGGCCGTCGCCTCCCTAGACCGCGGCGACGGGAGACGCGAACGCCGCTGTACCGCGCGCGATGGTGGCAGCACGGGCCACGGGTCGCCAGCCGCCGCTGAGGGACAGGGACCCCGAGGGACCCCGGAGACCAGCGGCGACACCGCCGGCACAGATGCCGGAGGAGTCCGCGACCCAGCGGCACGCGGCAACGCGGGCGACGACCTCGTCGCGGCTACCCGCTTGGTAGCAGCAACCTTGCCATCGGGCCGCTGCTGCGCCTGTAGCTGTGCTCGGAGCCTCAAATTCTCCGCCATCAGCTGCACCACCTGGTCATTGGCGGAAGCAACCGAAGGCAGAACCTTCGAGACTCGCGAGACGACTTCCCGCAGCCTGCGGCCAGCAGCTTTGGTTTTGGCACTGGTCGCCGCATACGACTTGACGGTCTTCATGGCCCTGCCTATGACCAAGGCAGGGTCCCGAAGACCGCCCTCCTCCTCTTCTGTCGTCCGCCCGTCCAGCGAGGCGACAGACATCGACGCCGATGACGGCGCCGGTGACGGTGCGCCCTTCCCCCGAGCGGGTCTCCCTTTAGGGGGCGGCATCTCCTCCGCGGCAGAGGCCGAATCGGAGACTACCACCACTTTCTCCGGTGGGGCATCCGTGTCAGAGGACGACGTTAGCCCCCCCTTCCCTTCGCGGGAAGAAACTCCCCTCGATTTCCTCTTCCGCCTGACTTTCCCTTTCGGGCCAGCCGCCTCGCAGTCGCTGACGAGCGCAGAGCGCGTCGAGCCAGCGCTGGCACACCTCGGTTCGACGGGTTTTCCGCTGCCCGTCGCACAGCCCCCTTCATCGTGGCATGCTTTGCCCCCCCCAGAATACGTGGGGCAGCATGCTCCCACCGAAGTGGAAGCACGGAGGGATTCTCCACCTAGAGTGGTACCCTCCTGGGGTAATGTTTTTTGTAAGTTTGCCATCATTCATTTCGTTCCTTTGTTATTTAACCAGGGGTCGGTCCCCTGGGACGGCCCTCACGACTGGACACCCTCCAGCCACTCATCCCATCACCGGGCACGTCACAGGCTTAGGATTAGGGCATTTTTTATAGAGGTTTGCATCCTCGCGGCCCCTACTAGGCAGCGGCCCCCGCCCCCCACCAAGTGGGGATTACGGTATGGGACAACCCTTGGGACTAGACTCCCTCCAGCCATTCATCCCATCGTCAGGTGTCAAAAACTTGGGATTGGGGCATTTTTTATAGAGGTTCGCATCCTCACGGCTCCTGCTAGGCAGCAGCCCCCGTCCCCTACTCGGTAGGGATTGCGGTGTGCTTCTTCGAAGCCACGCCGGTAAACCGGTACCCCCCTTTGGGGGGCCTTCCCCTGTAGCCGCCAAGAGGCAGCCGGGGACATGGCAACCAGCGACCGGAAGGGAGTGCCCTCCGGTTCACTTCTCATCCACGTGGGGTCTACCATTACTGACAGACCCACACGTCTGACCACGGTGTGGCCACGCCGGCGTACCGGTACCCTCCTCTGGAGGGCCTTCCCCTTTAGCAGCCAAAAAGCTGCCGGGGACATGGCCTAGCATTCAAGACGGCTCCAGAAGGGAGCCATCTCCCGCTTCACGCACCCTTTGTCCAGCAAAGGTGGGAAAACGGGAACACGGTGTGCAGTCCTCTTTGTTCACGGCACCCCTGTGCAGACAACGCTGCTCCACGGTATCGGGGTGCACGCTTAAGCCCCACCGCCGCGACAAGGCGAGACCACGTTCGGTGGGGACTGAGATTATACTAGGTATCATTAATTAAATATAAAATAATGCAAAAATTATCCATGTCAAATATAAATATAGTCGAGAATTCTGTCGATGATTTTATTTCACCACATGGTCACCTCACTATCGACAAACTAGCGCCGTGCACCACGGCCAATCAGGGCAAAGGCCGAAATTTCAAAGATTGAAGTGTAGAGAACGCAATGCATGTAGTACATTGGAAGCTGACTTGGTCATTGCGTTCATTGGGCGAGTACAGATCGCGCAATGTATGCTATTTATAACTTGCTGCAATAATATTGTTAATGTTTGGAATTTCATAATGCTCAGTATATTTTTATGTTTTAGACAAATAATATTGTAATTAAATGGTAATTTCGACTTACCGATCGAAAGATATACCTCCTCGCTCTATACTTGAGGTCTGATTTTTTGTTTTACAAGTTATAATTGCACAACACGGCACTATAAAGCGGAGATCTGTTCGCCAAAGTAGTCCGAAGCGCACTAAACGCGGTGAATGAAATAATCGGTCGAGTTATGTTTGTACAATCATAACTGTGGCACGCTTGCCCCGCCTACATTACCATTCCAACCTTATTTATCTATTTCGTGCTGACACCCCCACTACGCCTACTATGTAGCTCGCGTTCAACACATTCCACGTTGCGTTGGTGTAGTGTTTGTGAATAAGCGCGTGGCGTGAGGTCGCACTGCATGAGCATCATGAAAAGTCTACCCATCTCTCTCTCACGCGGTCTAGCTTATGAGTGTGAAGGGGACAGTTAATGTTTTGCTTTTGTTAATGTTTATAAATATAGCGTGGTCTTATTTTTATTATTGTTTTAATATTCAATTATTATTGTCTAATTGTAATTGCAGAAGTTGATAAAAAGTTTGTCTCGCGTTTTACACGTCTAGACAAACGCCAGAATCGGCATCTACGACGCAGGGGACGCGCGTTCTTGAAACGCGCGTCAGCGCGTTTTAAAATACGTCGTGTCCTATGGGCCTTAGCCCGTCAACGCTAAAACTCACTAGTGGATAGAGCATTTTAAACCACACAACGCATCCGACATTTTGACGGCGGCTGTCAAATATCTAGTTGATTTTCATGATTCATTTCCACCATTATACACAGTCCGGTGCCGAAATAATGGAGGATATAAATCTTATGTTTGGCCGTTATGCTCAAACCCAAAACGTAATATAATAATGCTACTTTCTGTATTCTAATAATAGTCTTTATTGTAATGTCATATTTATATTGTTACGCGCTGAGGTTCGGGATAAATAAAAATTCTACCGAAGTAGAACTTAAAACTGTATTACATAGGCGGCACTGAAAATTTCGGGAATTAACGAAGTGACACAACATTACTATTTAAAAATGTATTTATTGCTTTTCGAAGTATTCTCCGCGAAATTTGACACATTTTTCCATACGATGGAACTAATCATTGAAGCAACCATTCCATTCGGAAGTTGGGGTCTCCAAAATGGCCGTTTTGTAGGCGTCCACAGCTTCTTCAGGTGATGAAAATCTCTGTCCACGCAATTTATTCTTTATTTTAGGGAAAGTATAGAGATCTCTGCCATTGCCGGTCCCAAGCCCGGATGAGAAAAGAGGAGGGTTGAGTAGAGCTGGACATTCCTACCGTAAAACGTCAACGCCGAGCACTGGGCGGCGGGAAATAACCCAGCCCCCGGATACAACCAGAGACCCGGAGCGGGACCAGTTTGCCGTGAAGGACTAAATCCCTTCGAAATACTGATGTGGAAGGACGTGGGAACCCACCNCAGCCCCCGGATACAACCAGAGACCCGGAGCGGGACCAGTTTGCCGTGAAGGACTAAATCCCTTCGAAATACTGATGTGGAAGGACGTGGGAACCCACCACAATTACATCCCAAGAGAGTCATGGACAGAGAAACATTTAAACTGTTTCAAGGCCATGACCACGACCCTCAGTAATGAGGAAACCGACGCAAGGAGGAGGATAGAGATCATTAGGGCTTAGGTCGGGGCTGTACGGCGGATGGTCTAATAATTCTATGTTTTCTTGCTCTAAAAACTCTTTTGTTCTGTGCGCGGTGTGAGAAATCGCATTGTCGTGATGGAGGATGATGCGGCGGTTGCAGTTCTCTTTACGGAGTTCAGAAACGACCTGTGGCAAACAAATGCTAGCATACCATTCTGCATTAACCGTTCTTTGCCCCTCAAGAGGAATAGTCGTAACATGGCCGGTTTTGGAGACAAACGTGGCCACCATTTTTTTTGCAACTCTCCGTGAACGAACAATTTTTGTTGGCTTTAACTCATTTTCGAACACCCAAACTCGTGACTGGTTTTTTGTGTCGGGTTCGTACGCGTATATCCAGGATTCGTCACCTGATACAATGTTGTATACAGCTTTTGAGGATCCTGCGTGGAATCTTTCGAGAGTTCTGACGCACCAAGTAACGCGAGCCGCTTTTTGCTCTTCACAGAGCGAATGCGGTATCCATCGGGAAAACAACTTTTTTACACCTAATTGTTCATGCAAGATTATTTGTATTTGACTCATGCCAATGTCTAAGTAAAGTTGCCTGAATTTCGCGGTATGTCACATGTCGATCTTCCTCAATCAGCTTACGCACAGCATCAACATTTTCTTGGGTGACTGCAGTTTTTGGACGACCTTGACGGGGATCATCACTGAGCTTCACACGTCCACGTTGAAACTCAGCAAACCAGCGATAAATTGTGGTTTTGGATGGGGCTTCATCACCAAATGCAGAAATCATCCGGTTAACACACTGTTTTTGTGTTAAACCACTTCGAAAGTCATAATAAATCATCGCTCTTGAATTTTCTCGAGTCAATTCCATTTTCTCAACGACTAAACAAGTTTGACAAAACCTCGTGACAAGACCGAGAATCTTTTTATAAATAAATAAATGGTATTCGATTTTTAAAACCATGGAGTTTTCAATTAAAAAGATTTTAATATTACAGGAACAGTGGAAATATTCCATTCCCGATACTTTTAGTGCAGCCCTCGTAGTACTTAGAACACTTAAAACACTAAACAAACACTTTAAAATTCTCAATTTGCTTCTTCCGCTTCGCTTTAGGTGATCCGTTCGCTGTTTCGCTTCGAGTAGTTTCGATTACTGACTGACTGCGTGCCATCTCTGCAACGCTTTTATAGCCGATACCAAATCCCTAGAATTATCGAGAATATGCCACACAAGTCGAGTATTGTGTTTCCGCTATCTGACAATAGATGGCGTTGTACTTCTCGAGCCTTCTAGATGCTACTAGATCCTTCTATATTCATTCGACTATTCGGCGAGAGATGGCGTTACTCTTACCGAAGTAACAATATTGTACGGTGAGCTTCGATCTTAAGCTTGACGCTTTTATCCACCCGATGAATTAACCCACAGACACAGCCCACTGAGTTGCTCGCCGGATTTTCTCAGTGAGTCGCGTTTCCGATCCGGTGGTAGATTCTGCGAAGCACTACTCTTGCAAGGGCTAGTGTTAGCCACTCACCTTGAGACCTTAGAACTCATGTCTCAAGGTGGGTGGCGCATACGTTGTAGATGTCTATGGGCTCCTGTAACCATTTAACACCAGGTGGGCTGTGAGCTCCTCCGCACATCTATGCAATAATTAAATAAAAGGTTTCACTTCTAGCACGTGTGAATTGCACACATGTTTTTTTATAATTAACAATATCCAATCATTATCCAATGACAAAATAACTGATCAACATTGACATATAAATTCGAATGGGATTTTTAAAATTCATTACTGCATTAATTCGTTTATTGACATGGCAATAACTCGAACGATTATAGGAAGACTGACGTATGTGTATCGTGTACGCTTTGAGGAAATTTTGGGATCGTGCCAACAGAGAGAGCGAAATATCTCTTATGAACTGGACAATGTTTTTATTGACCGTAAATACGAGTATGTAACAATAGAGTATCTTCTATAATTATGTTCTCGAATGTCAGAGACATAAAAGTACGTCCTCCTTCTTGCGTCGATAATCATCAGTGCTGAGGGTCGTGGCCTCCTCTAATCACTTTCTCCTGCATCATCTTGCACCATTCCTGCCTGTCCTCTGCTGTGTGGATAGCAACGTGGACTGAGGTATTGAGAGTGGAGCGTATATGGTCCGACCAGCGCATTGGATTTCTGCCTCTGTGCCTTCTCCCGCATACCTTGCCTCTTAACAGCAGCTTTTCCAGATTGTCACCTCTCTTTCTGGCGAATGTCCAAAGAACTCGAAACTCCTCCTAAAAGTACATAATATTATAGTACATATTATACTCTTATCTATACATATAAAAATGAATTGCTGTTCGTTTGTTTTTTTTTTTTTTTTTTATTGCTTAGATGGTTGGACGAGCTCACAGCCCACCTGGTGTTGAGTGGTTACTGGAGCCCATAGACATCTACAACGTAAATGCGCCACCCACCTTGAGATATAAGTTGTAAGGTCTCAGTATAGTTACAACGGCTGCTCCACCCTTCAAACCGAAACGCATTACTGCTTCACGGCAGAAATAGGCAGGGCGGTGGTACCTACCCGCGCGGACTCACAACAGGTCCTACCACCAGTAATTACGCAAATTATAATTTTGCGGGTTTCACTTTTATTACACGATGTTATTCCTTCACCGTGGAAGTCAATCGTGAACATTTGCTGAGTACGTATTTCATTAGAAAAATNAGGCAGGGCGGTGGTACCTACCCGCGCGGACTCACAACAGGTCCTACCACCAGTAATTACGCAAATTATAATTTTGCGGGTTTCACTTTTATTACACGATGTTATTCCTTCACCGTGGAAGTCAATCGTGAACATTTGCTGAGTACGTATTTCATTAGAAAAATTGGTACCCGCCTGCGGGATTCGAACACCGGTGCATCACTAGATACGAATGCACCGGACGTCTTATCTTTTAGGCCACGACGACTTCAAAAACTCGCTAAAACTCGAGAACGGCTGGACCGATTTGGTTAATTTTGGTCTTGAATTATTTGTGGAAGTTCAGAAAAGGTTTAAAAGGTAAATAAATATAAAAATGCTCGGAATGAAACAAAAAAAAAGAAAAAAATATCCTTTGATGTGTCCCCCGTGGGACGGATTCCTTTTGTTTGTTTTGAGTTTATTTTATACAGCAGTTTAGGTTTTTTATTTATCGATTGAGGCACTACGAAGTCTGCCGGGTCAGCTAGTTTTAAATATTTATATATACTCTCCCGGACACACCTATCAGCCCACGTACTGTTTTAAGTATTGACGGACCCTAGCTAAAAATAAATGTTACATGGAGCAGTAAGTTTTTATGCAGCTGATTTACTGGCCATTTTTAACCCATAGACACAGCCCACTGAGTTTCTCGCCGGATCGAGCTGGTCGCGTTTCCGACCCGGTGGTAGATTCTGTGAAGCGCTGCTCTTGCTAGGGTCAGTGTTAGTAATACCTCTCAATCTGAGCTTCCGTTAGCTCATCAGCCACGGCGAACCCAGAATAGTCTTTCGAAGCTATTAGTAGCTAATTTAGACAGGGGACGTTCAAACTAAGCAACGTCAGTGGTAGGACCTCTTGTGAGTCAGCGCGGGCAGGTACCACCACCCTACCTATTTCTGCCGTGAAGCAGCAACGCGCTTCGGTTTGAAGGGCGGGGCAGCCGCTGTAACTATACTCGAGACCTTAGAACTTATATTTCAAGGTGGATGCCGCATTTACGGTTGTAGATGTCTATGGGCTCCAGTAACCACTTAACACCAGGTGGGCTGTGAGCTCGTTCACACATTTGAGTAATAAAAAAAAAACGTCGGGTAGTATTTTATGCTCTATTTAACGTTAAATACATCTATTTTTGACCGTAACTGTTCGCTGATAACTTGGCTATTCCAACTACTTGCCGACGGGTAGGTCAGCTCACGGGCTCGACCTGAGAGAATTTGCTAACACTAGCCCTAGCAAGAGCAGTTTTTTTTTCCTACCGAACCTGATAGCCCTGGGAGGCTATTTCAGCGTAACCTTAACTAGTAGGTGAGCTCACGGGACTCAAACCTGACGACGTTGCTAACACTGGCCCTAGCAAGAGCAGTCCTTCGCAGAATCTATCACCGGATCGGAAACGCGACCCACTGAGAAGATCCGGCGAGAAACTCAGTGGGCTGTGTCTGAGGGTTAATTTACTCGTCGAGCCCTTCGTCGAAAGCGACGGGTTTGACGAGAACGATGACCGGTGCTTGAGGTACCTAAAAGCACCGTTAGTGGATCGGAAGGATCCGAAATGAAGCAGCGTCGGGTAGTATTTTATGCTGTATTCAACGATGCATCTATTTTTGTCCCTGGCTATTCCAACTACTTGCCGACGGGTAGGTAAGCTCACGGACTCGCCCTGAGAGAATTTACTAACACTAGCCCTAGCAAGAGCAGTGCTTAGCTGAATCTACCACCGGAATCGCGACCCGCTGAGAAGATCTGGCGGGAAACTCAGCGGGCTGTGTGTCTACGGGAGAACTCGTCTGGTGGATAGAAGCGAACCGAAACGTTGCTATGTGCTCGGATCGTGTTCGTACAGAAATAAGTTTCAGAATCTCGCATCGCTCGCGTATCATCGGAATAGCGTAAATGAAAATTATATGGATTATTAATAATATTATTAATAATATTATTCTTCAAACGAGGTTTGTGGAGAGTATTAAGCGGTAGGCAGCGGCTTGGCTCTGCCCCTGGCATTACTGAAGTCCATGGGCGACGGTAACCACTCACCATCAGGTGGGCCGTATGCTCGTCTGCCTAAAAGGGCCAAAAAAAAAAAAAAAATTTTTTACTGGTTTTCCGGTCGCGTCATTTCGGATCCTCCCGAACCACTAACGGTGCTTTTAGGTACCTCAAGCACAGGTCATTGTCCTCGTCGAACCCGTCGCTCGCGATGAAGGGCTCGGCGAGTAAATTAACCCACAGACACAGCCCACTGAGTTTTTCGCTGGGTCTTCTCAGTGGGTCGCGTTTCCGATCCGGTGGCAGATTCTGCGGAGTACTGCTTTTGTTAAGGTTAATGTTAACAGCCTCATCAAGTTTGAGCCCCGTGAGCTCACCTACTAGTTTCGGTTACGCTGAAATTGCCTCTCAAGGCTATCAGCTTAGGTAGGAAAAAAAACTGAAAAAGGCGCGGGCAGTGGTTCGGTACTCAATGTCGCGAAGAAATCTAATTTGTATAATTAACCAGTCGACCCGCTTTTACAATTTACCAGGTTTCAAACTTACCGAATTTCGTCAGAATCAGTTCATTGGCTGGGCGTGAACCAGTAACAAACAAACAGCTTTCGTACCTATTATTTGTGTATTAGTTTTGATTGCATAGACCCGTGAACGAGCTCACGGACCACCTGATTTTAAGTGGTTACCGGAACCTATAGGCATTACAACAACTATATTGTACTGTGTTGTGTGTTGTATTTACTTTAAAAACTGAGACCTAGTTTTGTTTAGGATATTTTTTCCAAATTTTAAACTTTAAATGTCTTTCTTGTAAAGTTGAAAAATTGTCGCTTATACCAAATAGCTTTTCATATATAACACAGTAGGAAGCTTAACGGAGAGGGAGGATGCCCGTTGCTCTTAAAAAGTATGATATTACTATTGCTGGTAAGCTTATTAGGCTCTCGGAGGTAGTCGTAAGTTTGACGTAGTGTCCTGGTGACGTCATAGACCGATGACGTCAGTGACTGCCGCGACTTTGTTTTTACAAATGATGTTATTGTCATTGCCTTCCTTACTGACAGTAATTAAGAGTCACCTTTGCCAATTCAAGTGTACAACAGTAACAACAGAATAATAGTAACTCGTATTTACTAGAAAAGTTTAGTCATGAATTGTATTGAATGCCGTCTTAAACAATTGCTTACATGCGTAGTAACAATAAAGAAACATTTTGTAAGTTTTATTGCACCGATATATCCTACCAATATTACAATAAACTTAATTTTATTTTAATAAACGCCAAAGTTTTTAAGAATGTATGAATGTAAGTTTGTTACTCTTTCACGCAAAAACTACTGAATGGATTTTGATAAAAAAAAGTATATAGTTTACACGTCAGAAATACACATAGGCTATAATTTATAAAGATATAGCGTAAATTACCCAAAATATAACCAGAAGTTTTTTTTTTTATTGCCCTTGTAGGCAGACGAGCATACGGCCCACCTGATGGTGAGTTGTTACCGTCGCCCATGGACTTCAGCAATGCCAGGGGCAGAGCCAAGCCGCTGCCCATTATCGCCCTAAGAGTAAACCACGAATATAAGAAGAAGAAAAATTATATTTTTTTCACGGTCAGATACAGATTTGTATAAAAGAAAATTCAATAAGATCAATATAAATTATAACTAGTTACCGAAGCGAAGCGAAGTCACTAGTAAATATTATATATTTTTTTAATGATTCAAACAGGAAATAAATTTGGAATAAAAAAAAACTAGCTACAGCGTTTTAACTAATGCCAATCGACCCGTTTCGCGTCTAATTTATTTTGTTTCCTCCAAAAAACACACAGAGACAACTAGAAACAGAATGTCGACTCAGTCAGCGCGTTGTCGTCAGTGAGAGTGCACGCGACCTAAAGTGAGTCATAGATTTTATTTTTTGAATTAAAACATCGCTTGAAATTTAATAAAACATTACTAAATAACACAAAACACATTAGTTTACCATTAAAATAACTGTTAATTTGTGTATTTTTAATACATTAGCTCCGTTTTATTAACAAAATACCGGTCAAATTATTCAGAGCGCGTCGGTATAGAAGAGAAAATTTACAAATGACAGTATCTTAAATCTGGTTTGTTTATTATGAGATTAATATCTTGTTCAGATACTGTGTTAAGAAAAGTTTTTTGGAGTGTTAATGCCAATTATGTTTGTATTATGTGTAAGAATGTTAGGAAGTGTTTTTCTTTTGTCTAGGTTGGTCAATTAAAATAATTTTTAGTGCATAATAGTTGCCGCGCATTTCAAACCAGAAGCTGCATGGTTTCACGCCTGAATGGCTAAAATGGAGCCTCACCCAATCCGATCCTCGCAGGCCACTTCCATCAGCATACCGTTTTTTTCTTCGGGTGGGGATCGAATCTCCTACGAAATATCCGCGCGTAGGAGGCAACCGGGGTATGTGGGGAATGGTCTGCAGATCGCAATCGGCTTGAGCCCCGTGAGTTCACCTACACGTCAAGGAGAAGCTGAAATAGCCTCTCAAAGCTATCAGCATAGGTAGGAAAATAAAAGACCGCAAGCCCAAGGATATTTTAGGGCCCTACCGCACCAAACAATTTCCTTCGTCATCATACCAGAGCGTTTGCAGTCCAAGACTTTAAGTGGCATTTACATGACAGTTTCTCTGTCGAAGAAGTGGAAGAAAAAAAAGAGTTTTCAAATTTTTTATTTATTGCTTCTATGGGTGGACGAGCGCACAGCCCACCTGGTGTTAAGTGGTTATTGGAGCCCATAGACATCTACAACGTAAATGCGCCACCCACCTTGAGATATGAGTTCTAAGGTCTCAGTAAAGTTACAACGGCTGCCCCGCCCTTCAAACCGAAACGCATTACTGCTTCACGGCAGAAATAGTCCGTTGTAACTATACTGTGAGACCTTAGAACTTATATCTGAAGGTGGGTGGCGGCATTTACATTGTGAATGTCTATGGGCTGCTCCGGTAACCACTTAACACTGGGTGAAATGTGAGCTCGTCAACCCATGTGTAAGAGGGGAGTGAGCCAAGAAATGATACATAGAGGAGTATGGAAGGAGAAAACATGATGCGCCGACCCCAGGTGACTGGGAGAAGGGCAGGAGAATGATGATCATAACAACAAAAAAAACGACTACTGACTAGACGAGTGAAATTCGAGTTAACTTTTACGCTATCGAGATCGTTAACAACTCGCACTAAGCACGTGTTTGTTATAATTAATACGGGAGTGCGTTCGCTGTACGCATCAACAAATTAACTTTGGGCCCGTAAATTAAACACGCTACTTTTGTCCCGGGAAAATGGAAGGCGTTAAATTCTTTCCGAATTAAGGAATCATCGTAGCCACGTCACATAACTAGTCTAGAACTCATTACAACAATGAATAAAACAAATAAACAAGAAACAGATGATGTTTGTTTGTTTAATATGACGATACTAAGCAATTGTTTGCGTAAAGGCGCGGTGTCTTCGCAGCGTCACGGAAATACGCGAAGCGATTAGCGTTTTTTAAATCGCAAGTTTCAAGGTCAAGAGGAGCACAGCCCACTGAGTTTCGCACCGGATCTTCTGAGTGGGTTGCGTTTCCGATCCGGTGGTAGATTCTGCGAAGCACTGCTCTTGCCAGGACTAGTGTTAGCAACGTCGTCAGGTTTGAGCCCAGTGAGCTCACGGTCTGGCCTAACTTAGTTTAGCAGAGCCTTTAAGGTATTCTTGCGCCTTGGTAAAAAAATCGAAGAGAGAAATCGACATAATTACTTGAGTGCGCCGCGTAGGGCACCGGTGACCTACACAACAGTCGACATGTTAAAACGCATTAGGCGTAGATGCAACGCAGTTACCCGCTGCAAGCTGTCCGCTTATACTGAATCGCTGTCAAAAGACCGCCGGCTATTGACATTATAATATTTTAGATAACCAAACTAAATATTAATTTTTCGTTAATAGGGTAAATAGGGGTCAGTCTAATTCGGCCTTTGCTTTTTGAGGGTAGGGTACGAGGGTAGATCAGAAGGTCGTAACCTAAAGAATTATAGGCCTAGTTCGCTCAAAGGGCGAAGCAGCCATTATACTATAGCACTGACGTTCAGAATTCTTGTCTCGATGTTGGTAACGGAATTTACGTTGCTGATGTCTATGGGCTCCGATAACCACTTAACATCAGAGCCGCATGAGCTCGTTCGACCGTCTTTAGCAGCAAAATTGTGTAAATTTTTTTATTGCTTAGATTTGTCGACGAGCTCACAGCCCACCTGATGTTAAGTGGTTACTGGAGCCCATAGACATGTACAACGTAATTGCGCCACAGACCCTGAGACATAAGTTCTAAGGTCTCAGTATAGTTACAACGGCTGCCCCACGCTTCAAACCGAAACGCATTACTGCTTCACGGCAGAAATAGGCAGGGCGGTGGCACCTACTCGTGCGGACCACCAGTAAAAATTATGATTGAAACTTCTAGATTTTACTCCGAGTTGGATAGCGGGATCAGTGTTGATAGGTAGGTAAATGAGTATCGGTAAAACTCTTTACGTCAGGAGAGCCGCGAATGACTAGCTCGATAACAAAAATACCGAATTATTTACATTTACATGTTTGATAGAAGCTACATACATACGTCGTTAATCTATGTATTTCCCATGAGTCGACATTAACGGTCGCGCCCACACCATGGCTTATCGATTTCCCCCATAACGTTAGATTCGCGAGTGTTGCCGTGTGCAAAACATGAAATTGCCTAGCAACAAATTCTATTGATAATTTCGGGAATTTGTTTTAAGCTATTACCTGGCTTTTATAGCGGACTTTGAGCGCGGCGACCGAATCAAGAAATTCCGTAACGAAAATAAAAACCTAACAGCCCCCAACTCCGCATACCATGTAGCTCGCGTTCATAACATTCACACGTTGCGCTTGTGTAGTGTTTGTGAACTACAACATTCTGAGCGTCGGTCTACTAATATCACTCGCTCGATGGGAGATATTCCCTTTGTCGTATTACCACAACAGAATTTTTAAAGCTTTAAAGAAATACGGACTTAGCGCAAATTGCCGGTGATATCAACGGCCTGTGTGCTTAGTGCGAGTTTTTAAACGTTCTCGATAGCGTAAAAGTTAACTCAAATTTGTATGGAGTTGGAACAGCGCCCCTAGCGGCTAACGAAGGTAGCTGTTCCGATGCGGGAATCGAATCCACGACCCTCGGTGCAATAGTCAAGGCCGTTATTTACCGCATCGCCGAGTCAGTCGGTTGATATAAACGATTGCGTGTCTAAAACCTGGCAGCACTCGTATCCCCGATGACATCACCGTGTTTTTCAGACTATTTCGAGCGGATCTATCATTTGCCAGCTCGTAAAACCTGCATTGCGGGTTCCAATCCGAAAAACAACCGGACGTTTTGATAGTTTACCAAAAAAAAAAATAGAAAGTAAAGATATTGAATTGTGAATCTAAAGCATTGAATCCAAAGCATTGATCCACTTGTTTACGGTGCCTGGCTCTGCCTTTGGCATTGCTGAAGTCCATGGGCGACGGTAATCGCTCACCATCAGGTGGGCCGTGTGCTCGTCTGCCTACAAGGGAACTTAAATACACAGCACGTACACACAAAATTCATCAAAATTGGTCCAGCCGTTTATAAGGAACTCAGTCGCATGAACACCAGCCAGATGGTTAGATCTGGTAAAGGAAGCAGTTGGTGGTAGTCTAGTCTAAGCGGTTCATGTCACCCATGATCGAACACTGTGGAGGAAAGTCACATGTGGTCGCGATCCTCAACAGTGAGGGAGCGCTAAAGAAGAAGAAGACTACACATGCACAAAAGTATTATATATGTATATTTTCCCTTACCTAATCATTGGTAGCCTAAAGGGCTATTCTACTGCACGCGGAAGAGTAGGTGAGCTCACGGACTCAACCCGAGAGAATTTGTTAACACTGTCCTCAGCAAGAGCAGCGCTACGCTCAATCTACCACCGGAATCGCGAACTACTGAGATGATGCCCAAGAAACTCGGTCGGTTAAATTTGCACTGGTGTTTGGGAGTTTTGTGGGCACGCAGGGCCAGTGCTAGCAAATCCCCTCAGCTTGAGCTCCGTGAGCTCACCCACCGGTCCGCGCGTAGTCCAAATAGTCCCTTAAGCCAAAGGTTAAATATATAAACAAATAAATAAAATAAATTATTTATTTTTTTTCACGAGACAGGCAGTGCCTACTTTATGAACATTATTCACAATGATTATTATATATTTTACTCACAATGATTTATAAAAAAATATATAATAACAATATACAAAGAAACAGCTATTTGTATGAATAAGAAAAATAATAGCCGTCATCACGTAGACTATTCATTAGACACTGTATAGCCATCATACTAAGACTATACATAAATAATAAAAATCTTACGTTACGGACGCTTTTTCCCGGTTAGGATACCCCTCCGCATCGTCCCATAAGGAACTTCGTTCCAAAATAGAAAATTACTAAACAAAAATTAAACTGAAATTCATGGGATTGCATAAAAGTGACAATATGGGAGCTTAAAAATATAACAATTAACAAAAAATATTGAAATGAACATATTATTGTACCCTCTGTGTGTAATGAGTAAGATAATAATAAAATAAATAAATATATATTTACTAACAATGTTCCCGTTAACTGGTCCCGTGCTAAGTTCGTAAAGAACTTGTGTTACAGGTACCAGATAACGGAAATAAATATAAGATTTTTATTATACACATACATATATATAATATACGTCCATAACCCTGGAAAAGACATTTTATATTTATCATACAAATATCTTCCCTTGGCGGGATTCGAACCCGCGACCCCCTTGTGTAGTGACCATGTCACTTACCACTACACCAGACGGCCGTTTAACGGTCAAGTAGAGGAAGAAAGCCGAAGAAAATTACGTCAAATACATCCCGAAATACATCCCGCTCTGTTTAGTTTTCTGTCTATTTACTGATTATTTACTTGACCGAGTTTCTAAGAACATTGCACGTTAGTTGTCATCGTGCGACCAGTTAATGGATTCGTAGCCACACGCGTCTGTTTTGTGTAACAGCGATTTTAAATCGAATTGTATATTTCTCTCTCTCTCTCTCTCTCCCGCTCTCCCGCTCTCCCTCTCTCCCTCTCCCTCTCTCCCCCTCTCTCTCTCCCTCTCTCTCTCCCTCTCTCTCTCCCTCTTTCTCTTTTCCTCTCTTGCTCCCTCCCCAGCTATTAATAATAATTAAAAAAATAAATCCTTTCCAAACGTTGACTAGTCTAATAAAATATTAAAAAAAAAAGTAGAAAATATTTTTTACGCATGTAACAAATTCGTTTTAATGACTGATTTATTACAACTAGACGTGGTCCGCCAGTAGTCGAAATTCGAATATATTTACTAGCGACCCGCCCTCGCTTCGCTTCGGAAACTGTAATTTATTATTGATTTCTCCACTACTTAATGGATGTTATTATACATATAAACCTTCCTCTTCAATTACTATCTATTAAAAACCGCATCAAAATCCGTTGTGTAGTTTTAAAGATTGAAGCATACTAGTACGAGTACATAGGGACAGATATGGGGACCGAGAAAGCGACTTTGTTTTATACTATGTAGTGATTGTAATTATAATTTCGGTATAAGAATGGAGAGCATTGTGGACCTTGATGTCCAGTTCAGATCGAATGAGGTCCGACGGTCTCGTCCTAATTCGTTCACTAGTGTTAAGCCAAAAAAGTAAAAATTAATCGATAAATCTAAATACTTATAAATCGTTTTGTTTCAATAAACAGATGCCTGAAGTACACCAAGCATTCGCGGATGCCGGCAGGAAGCCGGGTCTCGAAATATGGAGGATTGAGGTGAGGTGATGACGGGTGCTGGTGGCTCACGTAAATCCGTAAAATTCAAGGCCCAGACAATATTAAACGCAGATGAGAATTGGGCGGGAAAATTTGACAGGCGACCCGCCATGTTTTTTTGTGATCTCTAGTTATATTTAATTACACAAAAACTAATTATAAGTCCCAGAGCCCTGTCTATTTCTCCCATGAAGCAGTAACGCGTTTCAGTTTTAAAGCCTGATACATTACTTACAATATAACTTGGAGTCTCAAACCTCATGTCTCAAGGCAGCATTCGCTTTCGTGAATCCGTGAAATTCAAAGCACAGACAATATTAAACGCAGATGAGAATTGGGCGGGAGAATTTGACAGGCGACCCGCCATGCTTTTTTTTTATCTCTAGTTATATTTAATTACACACGAACTAATATAAGTAAAAGAGATTCAAGTTTTACTGACGACATATAAAATTACGTTATACAAGATTAGTTTTGAATACGCGCCAAAAGTTTTTTTTTCCGTTTTTTTTTGCATTCAAGAAATCAAAAGCGGCCATTTTGATTTCCTTGAACATTCTCTTTTTCTGTTGTTGTCGCTCGGATTAACGTATTAGTAAAATATTATATATAGTTTTGGTTCGGTAAATCGCAGATACAATTAAAATTATTCCTTTTCGAATACTTTGTAATTTTGGTAGGACGTCTTGTAAGTCCGCACGGGTAGGTACCACCGCCCTGCCTATTTCTGCCGTGAAGAAGTAACGCGTTTCGGTTTGAAGGGCTGGGCGGATGTTGTACTGTAAAAAAACTGGGACTTAGAACTTATGTCTCAAAGTGGTCGGGCGCATTTAAGTTGTCGATGTCCATGGACTCCGGTGACCACTTAATACCAGATTTGGCCGGGAGCTCGTCCACTAATCTTAGCAATAAAAACAAAATCTTGCAGTTGTGTCTTTTTCGTGGGCATTTCAAAATCGTTCTAACTACCCTTTATTTTTAAACTACCGTCTATTTCTCGTTACTAGAGGTCCCGCAGTAGTCGAAATTCGACTATAATTAATTGGAATTGTAAGTTTGTACAGTATTATGATTGTATTTTATACTTCTATAATCACAAATTTCGCCAAGACTACACTTTAAAAAATAGTAACAAAGGCAAACAATATTTAATGTATTCTCAATTTGACAACAGACGTCAAGAACAAAAGCTTGACAATAAATAGTATGAATGCGTGTGTGCGTCAAATACATGGTATGTAGTGTGTGTAATGTTTTCTTTATTGATTTAATGTATCTTTTATGCATTATTTAAAAAATATATTAGCTTTATGCACTTCTTCTCTATATTCTCTATAAGTGTGGAAAATTTCATACTCCTCCGTCCGCGCAATTTTCGTAAAAAGGGATACAAAGTTTTTGCTTCACGTATTAATATATAGATTGAGATGCTGTTTAGTCAAAATAGTTCTATTTAAAAATAGTTCAAAATAGTCTCTGTTTGCTGCGTGACTATCGGCCCATGGACAATGGCGCTTAGGCCGCCTCGTCACTTCACACATCTCTTCACTCAATTAATTCAGTTTCATAATTCATATCGGCAGAAATGTACGCGTCTGACGTAAGTTGCTATAAGATGAGGGTAGATACGATTCTGCCTGTTTCTGCCGTCGATAGTCACTGTGCCTTGTTGCTCGATGCCCATGGACATCTAAAAACTGGAACACATTCGGGTTTTGTTTTTTTCTGATAGGAACAGGATACATTGTATTCGCGGTTGGTGTTGTTTTGCAAAATAATTCATTATATTTTACGTGCATAGCTGATAAAGTGCCTCGTGGTTACATCTAATTATTTTTTATCGATCTATTCAAATACAATAATTGATATAGTTCGCTTAATTATACCACACGATAAGGTTTGTGAAATCGGAAATATAAATATTCTATATTTATATTTTAATATATTTTAATACGCCCTAAACATAATATTACGGACCCGATCCATTAACGATGCTTTTAGGTACCACAAGCACCGGTCACCGTTCTCTCCGAACCCATCGCTTGCTACGAAAGGCTCGACGAGTAAACTAGCCCATAGACACAGCCCACTGAGTTTCTCGCCGGATCTGCTCAGTGGGTCGCGTTTCAAATTCGGTGGTAGATTCTGCGAAGCACTGCTCTTGCTAGGGCCCGTGTTAGAAACACTCCCGGTTTGAGCCCCGTGAGCTCACGTCAAGGAGAAGCTAAAATAGCCTCTCAAGGCTTTTTATTAATTTTTTTATTTATTGCTTAGATTGGTGGACGAGCTCACAGCCTACCTGGTGTTAAGTGGTTACTGGAGCCCATAGACATCTACAACGTAAATGCGCCACCCACCTGGAGATATAAGTTCTAAGGTCTCAGTATAGCTACCACGGCTGCCCCCCCTTCAAACCGAAACGCATTACTGCTTCACGGCAGAAATAGACAGGGTGGTGTTCCTACCACCTAACTACCAGTAATTCATGATAAATAAATATATAAAAAAAAAACAATAGAATAAAACATGAATGCATCTCAAAGTTGTTGTTACCGGCGGCTCTCAAAGAAGGCACCAATATTCAGAACCAGAGCCGTCGAGACAAACGCCCGGATAATGAACCCGGTTATCAGCTAAGCTTCTGTTGCAGAACTTCGAACCGGTCGCCGTTCCGAAGACTCAGTTCGGTCTCTTCTACTCCGGGGACTCCTATATTGTACTGAACGTAAGTTACATAAGTTACTTCCACCACCCTGAAACTTTAATTGGTGTCAGCTTATTTCGCCCCCCCCCCCCTTTCGATTGGAGGGAAGACATAGAAGAATTAGGATTAGAATTAGGGTGTGTACCAATTTTTTTTTTTATTGCTTAGATGCGTGGACGAGCTCACAGCCCACCTGGTGTTAAATGGTTACTGGAGCCCATAGACATCTACAACGTAAATGCGCCATACACCTTGAGATATAGTTCTAAGGTCTCAGTATAGTCACAACGGCTGTCCCACCCTTCAAACCGAAACGCATTACTGCTTTACGGCAGAAATAGGCGGGACGGTGGTACCTACCCGTGCGGACTCACAAGAGGTCCTACCACCAGTAATTACGCAAATTATAATTTCGCGGGTTTGATTTTTATTGCACGATGTTATTCCTTCACCGTGGAAGTAAATCGTGAACATATGTTGAGTACGTATTTCATTAGAAAAATTGGTACCCGCCAGCGAGATTCGAACACCAGTGCATCGCTCAATACGAATGCACCGGACGTCTTATCCTTTAGGCCACGACGACAACGATTTGGGTGTGTACCATGCCCAAAATATTGGAGACCACCAGCCAGTTGGTCGGATCAAGTTAGAGAAGCACTTAATGGTAGTCTGTACCATGCGGCCCATGCCACCCATGATCGAACACAGTGGAGAAACATGAGGGAACGATATAGAAGAAGAAGAGTATCACACATATCTGCCGCGAAGCTGGCATGCGTCCCATTCAGTCATCATCATCACCAGTCCACGGACGTCCACTGCTGGATAGGTTCGCCGTAATGATCGGTCCTGCGCTGCTGTATTCCCAAGACCTTCACGAAGTCCTAATGGCAATGGTCAGAAAACCTTCCTTGGAAAGCACATGGCTGCTGCAGACAAAAACCTCTCGAGGTGTACCGATAAACGACTGTTAAAAGCCACTAAATTTTCATTTTTCAACAAAAAAAGTATCGAAGTTTCGGGGCCCTTATTACGACCGTCGGTCTACCGAGCAATATCACCCGCTCGGTGGAAGATCTTCCCTTTCGTCGTTAAACCTCCACCCGGATATAAATTGAAGCTTTATTCCAGACCACAGGCGATAAGGACCGTCTAACATGGGACATCCATTTCTGGCTCGGCTCGAGGACCAGCCAGGACGAAGCCGGCGCGGCGGCCATCCTCACGGTGAACTTGGACGACGAACAATTCCAGGGATCAGCGGTACAGCACCGAGAGGTCCAATATTACGAGTCCAAGGAGTTCCTGGAGTATTTCTCGCCAGGTCAGTATGGGGGGGTAGCTTTTATTTATTGCACCAGATTTTAAACGGTCACAATTAACAAAAAGGTTAGTCGACATCACAGGAGACCGAAGAGCTGGCAGCTATGTTGGACAAAGAATTAGTCTAGCTATTCAAAGGTTTTTTTTTCCTACCTATGCTGATAGTCTTGAGAGGCTATTTCAGCTTCATCCTAACGTGCGTAGGTGAGCTCACGGGGCCCAAACCGGAGAGATGCTAACACTGACCCTAGCAAGAGCAGCGCTTCGCAGAATCTACCACCGGATCGGAAACCGACCGACTGAGAAGATCCTTCTGTCATACATTATTTTAGCGAAACTCTCAAAAAGTAAAAATAACCCCGATTTTGAAATATTCTTTATCGATGCTCCGCTTGTATTGGTCTTAGCGTGATTGTATATAGCCTTCCTCAATAAATGGGCTATCTAACACTGAAATAATTTTTCAAATCGGCCCAGAAGTTCCTGAGATTAGCGCGTTCAAAAAAACAAACTCTTCAGCTTTATAATATTAGTATAGCTGCTAATTAACTTGGTAGGTTTATACTATATTTTCATTATTAAATTAAATTCAATTCATATCAAAAACGTGTGATGCGAATTCTAAGTCTCCGTTCTGTAGGATTGGTCAGAACGGAACGTATGAAAGGAGTGTGGTACAGAGCTTTAAGATGTGAGTGAGAGGGAACAGTAAGAAAGGGAAAAGAGACTGACAGAGAAAAGGAACATGGGGAAAATGATTGAATGAGCAAGGCTTAAAAAGGTGGCAATTAATTTTGAAATATTATAACAAAGAAGATTTTGAACGATCTCACTTCTACAGTTCTATAGTGGGGTGGGGTGCTGGTATCTACGCGTGTGAAATAGCGCTTACAGAATTGTTAATTCGAAAGACATTTCCAGCCATCCGCTATTTAAAAGGCGGACATGCCTCAGGCTTCAGCCACGTGACGATCAATGAGGGAACAGAGAAACGACTCTTCCAGATCAAGGGTAAAAGAAACGTCCGCGTTAAGCAGGTGAGTTGTACACAAACAGACACAGATCCGGCCTACATCCAGCCGAGAGTCCTATACTACACTACTATAGACACAGTCCTCTGCAACTCTGTACTGATCCCGAGCTCTTCTCGTGCACAAACAGACACAGATCCGACCTACATCCAGCCCAGAGTCCTATACTACACTACTATAGACACAGTCCTCTGCAACTATGTACTGATCCCGAGTTCTTCTCGTACACAAACAGACACAGATCCGACCTACATCCAGCCGAGAGTCCTATACTACACTACTATAGACACAGTCCTCTGCAACTCTGTACTGATCCCGAGCTCTTCTCGTACACAAACAGACACAGAGCCGACCTACATCCAGCCGAGAGTCCTATTCTACACTACTATAGACACAGTCCTCTGCAGCTCTGTTTTTGTCTCCAAGGTAAAACCGACATTTGAGTCCTTGAACAACGGGGACTGCTTCATTTTGGACATAGACCATCAGATCTTCGTCTTTGTGGGTGAGAAGGCGAAAGGAGTCGAGAGGATGAAAGCCATCACCGTAGCCAACCAGATTAAAGACCAGGATCACAATGGAAGGGCCGATATCGAAGTGGTTGGTGAGTAGAACTGGCTTCGTGGTCTGGTGTCGGCAGAGAACTTTTTTTTTGTTGCTTAGCTGGGTGGAAGAACTCACAGCCCACCCGGTGTTAAAGAGTTACTGGAGCCCATAGACATCAACAATGTAAATGCCGCCACCAACCTTGAGATATAAGTTCTAAGGTCTCAGTATACTTACACGGCTGCCCTTCAAACCGAAACGCATTACTGCTTCTCGGAAGAAATAGGCAGGGTGGTGGTACCTACCCGTGCAGACTCACAAGACGTCCTACCATCAGTGAACGCCTCCCGGGCTCTCTCAGAGCTCATGTCTTAAACTTCGCATTTGTATGGTCGTGTTGACGTCAGAGTACCAGTACTATGGGTTACTTTAATAAAGTACTCTGATATCGCTGCTGTCCATTCACCGATTGATCTGTCGCCTCACGTCACCAACGGGAAATAATGAGGGGTTATAGTTCGGGCCATTTTTCCTGCCCAAAACACCTTGATCTCTGGTCTCTAAGGTCTTGCTCCGTCTCCTGTCTACGGACATTGGTTTTTGTTACATCTTACGCTCTCGTCACAGACTCCGAAGCGCACGATGGAATCTTCGACAGGTTCTTCGATGCCCTCGGCTCCGGCAACAAGGAGGCCATCGCTGATGCCGAAGAAGGGGGCGACGATCAAGTGAGTGATGATTTAGTTAACGCGCTGTCAATGGTTCACTCTGTATCCTACATACTATCTTTTGTTACGGGGATGGGGTTAGGAATAAACAGAACTTCCACCGAAGTACAAATTAAAACTCTATTCAACTTTGTTTTGGACTTATGGAACTTTCAATTAACTAGTGGTCCCGCAGTAGTCGAAATTCGACTATAATTAATTGGAATTGTAAGTTTGTACACTATTATAACTGTATTTTATACTTCTATAATCACAAATTGCGCCAAGACTACATCTATTCTCAATTTGATAACAGACGTCAAGAACAAAAGTTTGACAATAAATAGTATGCATGCGTGTGTGCGTCAAATACATGGTATGTAGTGTGTGTAATGTTTTCTTTATTGGTTTAATGTATCTTTTATGCATTATTTTTAAAAAATATTAGCATTGTGCACTTCTTCTCTATATTCTCTATAAGTGTGGAAAATTTCATACTCCTCCGTGCGCGCAATTTTCGTAAAAAGGGATACAAAATTTTTACTTCACGTATTAATATATAGATAACAATAATCAACATAAGAAATAATTTTGTTGTTAATTAATAAATATTGCAACGAAATAAAAACCATCCCATGGCCTAAGTTGGAACAAAACACATATTTAAAATAATAAAAAGTTAAAATCGGTTCAGTAGTTTAGGTGTGCATCGCGGACAAACAACGTGACACGTATAATTATTATATCTATTAAGAAATATAAGTGGTCTTCCCACAGCACAGGGGATCCGATTCAGAATACCGTAGATTTGTAGCTACTTGTCAATTCATTCCAGGAGTTCGAACGCGTCGTCACGAAGGAGGTGTCCCTGAGTGAGATCTCCGATAAGACTGGCAGCATCAGGATAACGAGACTCCCCGCGCCGCTTAAGAAGGAGCAACTGAACACCGATGTGAGTTCCTATACTGTTATGAGGATCCTCGCGATTCCGGTGGTAGATTCAGAGAAGCACTGCCCTTGCTAAGCCTAGTGTTAGGTAATTCTCTCAAGTTGAGCCCCCGTGAGGTCACCTATCAGACGTAGCTGGAATAGCCTCTTAGGCTTTTTGTTGTTTAGATGGGTGAACGAGGTCACAGCCCAACTGATGTTAAGTGGTTACTGGAGCCCATAGACATCTACAACGTACAAGATGCATTTATCGGAGCGTCGGGAGGTCGGGCATATGGTTGTTGACCAGCAACTAGCCATCAATGGAGTCCACGGTGAGCGATGGACTTCAATAAACCTTGAAATATATCGACTATAGCGTTGAATTTTGATTAATTTAATTATCCAGACGGTTAAATTATTAAAACAGTCTGGGATTACGATGATGATTAGTGATTCAGATTCGTCAGATTTGGCATTCGCCCGCCATGACAAGTTTTTGCTTCTCGAATTAATAATATTATACAGATATATAGATATATTTATTAATTTCCCAGGAATGTTACGTGCTTGACACCGGAAGTTACAGCGGCATCTACGTTTGGGTCGGGCGCGGCTCAAACCTGAAGGTAACGGTCGCTATCCGACCACAGATGGCGATCGAATCGCTTTAACTAAGAAATATTTTTTTATTTTTTATTTTGAGTCCCCAATTGCTCTACAATGAGGTGCTTCAAGATTATCCATTCTTTCTGGGACACCCAGTATATTATATTCTTCATCGTTCTGTCGCTGCTGAGGATCGCGACCACACGTGACTTTCCTCCATAGTGTTCTATCATGGGTGGCATGGACCGCATGTTTTTCTAGACTTATGGTTTATAGAGTTACTGTTGGTAGGACGTCTGGTGGGTCCGCACGGGTAGGTACCACCTCCCTGCCTATTTCTGCCGTGAAGCAGTAACGAGTTTCGGTTCGAAGGGCGGGGCAGCCGTTGTAACTATACTGAGACTTTAGAACTCATGTCTCAAGGTGGGTGGCGGCATTTACGTTTGTAGATGTCTATGGGCTCCGGTAACCATTTAACACCAGATGGGCTGTGTAAAAATTAAAAAATAAACTTACCACCAACCACTCCGTTAACCAGACCCGACCATCTGGCTGGTATTCTGCCTAAGCGCACTTGAGCTTTTATTTAGCTTTATGAGCTTCTCGACTTCTTACGAGTACTAATGATAGTTATTTAGACAAATGTTGTAAATAAGTATTTGTGCGGTCGCGCGAGTCTGCGCCGCGCCCGGGCGGTCGTTGACCCCAGCATCAGCTGCTTTTGATTTTGTGTTTCATTGCTGGTTTATTTTTTTTAGTAGAGTAATGTATTTTTTATGAAACTATCGTTTCATGTAGCTTTACTAACACGATGGGGTGTGAATAATGCTAATCAAACGTTTGAAAAATATGTTTCTTTTTTTTTAATACAAGTTCGATTTTTTTCCGTCCCATCATCAATGGAGTCATTAGTACTATGGTCTGTCTTCATTTTCGGAAGCGGTCTCCTAACATCCAGTATATTAATTAATGTCGTGTTTTGTTCAGGAGAAAGCCGAAGCGATGAATAGAGCTGAGCAATACCTGAAATACCACGATTATCCGGCTTGGGTGAGTGTCTACAATCGATTTCTTCACGGCCCCAAGTAACTCGACCTTCGAGCCGCAGACAGACTAAAAAGCCTTAGTAACATTTTTTTAAAGGTCAAAGCAAGTAAATACTGTTACGCGCTGAGGCTCGGGATAAATAAAATTCCACCAAAAGTACAACTAAAAACTGTATTCAACTCTTAGAACATTTTAAAATTCTCAATTCGTGTGTTCCGCTTCGCTTCAAGTGATCCGTTCGCTGTTTCGCTTCGAGTAGGTAGTTCCGATTACTAACTGCGTGCCATTTCTGCAACGCTTTTATAGTCGAGACGAAATCCCTAAAATCATCGAGAATATTCTACAAAATTATAGTATTGGGTTTCCGCTATCTGAAAATAGATGGCGTTGTACTTCTCGAGCGTTCTAGATGCTACTAGATCCTTCGACTATTCGGCGATAGATCGCGTTACTCTTACCGGCATAATATTTTTATTAAATTTCGACGCTATTGACTACATCAAAATTTAACAAGATGCTTAAATAAAAATAACAATGTTGTTTTTGATTGAGGCACTACGAAGTCTAAGTCACATGTAAGCAATAAAAAAAGAGGCCAAAAAAAAACAACAAGTAATAAAAAAGAAAAAAGATCTGGCTTCGCAACATAAGCCATGTGCTCACGACTAAATAAGACAAATTTAGAAGTCGGTTAAAATGAAACAGCTGACGTCACCAGAAAAGTTTATTGTACTAACTAAATTATTCTCACACAGGTCCACGTGTCGAAGGTTCCGGAAGGCGCTGAACCGATACCCTTCAAGCAATACTTCGAGGATTGGAACTGAAATGGCCCAGCACAAAGCGAAATTATATCGAGGGGTGATTTTTACAGGAGTTCTATCTAAATTAAATTATTATTATTATAATTAATAATCTAAATTAATCTAAATAAAAGTTTGATGATATAAAACTTAAAAAAAAAAAACTTAATTGAATTTAAAATTAAAAATATCAAACTGTTCATGATAATACAATATGAAATTATTATTATTATAATTAATAAATAAATTAAGCTAAATTAAAATTTAATTTAAAGCTTAAAGTTCAAAAATAATTTAATTTACTTGAATTTCAACTAAAAACATCGAACTGTTGATGCTGATATCAAATAAAACGGACCTTTAATTACAAAGATAAATGTCGCGTGTTAAGGGAAATATCACCTAAATCAAACAGTCTTTCATCCCTCGATATCTATCTTTATATGTATAAATAAAAGAGAATGTACTTATTGAAATTATCTTACTTACAAACTTAAACTTACAACTTTTTATTACTGGTGGTAGGACGTCTTGTGAGTCCGCACGGGTAGGTACCACCACCCTGCCTAGTTCTGCCGTGAAGCAGTAATGCGTTTCGGTTTGAAGGGCGGGGCAGCCGTTGTAACTATACTGAGATCTTAGAACGTATATCTCAAGATGGGTTTCGCATTTACATTTTAGATGTCTATGGGCTCCGGTAACCGCTTAAGATCAGGTGGGCTGTGAGCTCGTCCACACATCAAAGCAAAAAAAAAAAAAGTCTAGAGTCTAGCCACTTAACACCGCGTGACCCGTGACATATCCGATTAGTGTTATTAAAATTGTTACTTCTTATTCTAGCGATTTCATTTTATTAAACTCATAAATACTCAAAAGTAACATGTTATGATTCGTAATATAATGTAGATGGTAATTAACAAAAGATATATTTGAAGTTGACGGATAACGCCTCAGTTGTCGGAGAGTATTTTGCTTCAATGAGCTTCTATGAGCATTTACAATGAATGTCGAGTGGCACCGCTCTAGCAGCCAAGTTCATCTCTAAATGAGTTTTAAGAGTATTCGCCAAATAAATTCTCTCAACCAAACGGTTCGTAGCTGAGAAATGTTTGCGAACCACGCCCGAGCCACGAAAGGTCGTCTTGAATGTGTCCACAATGTTCCAGAGCGTTCCACATAGTACTAGTAGAAGCTTCGATATTTGCTTTTTGCTATTCGACAACAGATGGCGTTGTCCGCCTGAGCCCAACGTCTCACTCGACCCAGTGTGCTTCGACGGACGTCATGATCCTAAACATCAAATTTATCGCGTTTTCATATCTTTTAATGTATTAAAATAAAATGTATTCAGTATTACGTTAATTAAAAATGTATTTAACATTGTATTTCTGTTTGTTTATTTGTCATTCAATTAATGCAATTAAATAGTAAGTCTATAAGCTAGGAAATAATAAAATTAATATTAAACAAAATATCCATAACCGATAAAAGTCATTTTCAATTGTGTCGCGAATTCAAAGAATAAACTATTAATAAAAAACATAGTTCAAACTGAAGTGTAAGCACAAACTGTTCATAATAAATATAATTGTTTAAGTTTTTTTTTTTTTCAAATGTTATTCCGCATTAATTAGCACACGGAATATAAATCGCACAATCACAGTATTTAAATGTTATTAGCATTAAATAAACTGCACTTTTTATTAACAAAAGCATTGTCACTGGCTGAATTGAATAAATAGTGCTGGATAGGTACAAAAGAAAAGGTTCAATAATATCTTTAAAAATGTCCGTTTCGATACATTGGCAGAATGGCGTTTCACGTCACGTGAATTAACCGTAGTTCATGCATACGGAACGATTAGCCACGTCTGACGTCATCTCTTCTTTAAATATTTATTTAAAACGTCTGTATAAATCAGCAATTGTGTTAAGCTTACCTTTTAGATCGTTCCGGGATGTTCGCGTCTGTATCTGTATTCGAAGTGTCACAAATGTCATTATGACAGCTGGCATTTTTGACGCCTGTCACAAACTACGCCACTATTATTGTATTCGGTCAATGATTTTTATTTTGTAGTAAATCCAATTTGTTCTTGAACACTAATAAAGAAAAATTTGAAAATCAGTTTGCTGTTTTTTTTGTACCTACTTAAATCAATACGGCAGAGAGTCTAGTGAAGAAGTTTGTTGTAAATGACACGGACTTGACTAAACCCTAACCAATGCGTCAACTCGCTGAGTTTCTCGGCGGATCTTCTCAGCGGGTCGCGTTTCCGATCCGGTAATAGATTCATTCGCGAAGCAGCTGCTCTTGAGTTGAGAGGTCTCCTTCGGAGGCGCTCGGGCAGCTGTTAGCAAATCCCACCCCTCCTGGGTCAGCCTTTGCTCGCCCACCTGTCCTGGTGAAACTGGAAAGGCTTTCGGGCCACCAGTAATAATTCCTTGACAAAAAAATAATCACAATTTAACCGATGAAGTCGTCTCTGCCTAATGGGTAAGACGTCCGGTGCGTTCGCATCTAGCAACGCGTCTGTGTTATGTTCGAATCCCGCAGACTAGCATCAATTATCCTATTTAAATACTCAACTCACGTCAATTCCACTATGAGGAAGTAACAAATGATAGTAGACATTTTTTTATTTGCATTATTTTCTTGTTTTTTTTATTGCTAAGGTCAGTGGACAAGCTGATGTTAAGTGGTTACTGGAGCCCATAGACATCTACAACGTTAATGCCGCCACTTACCTTGAGATAATAGTTCTAAGGTCTCAGTATAGTTCAACGGCTGCCCCGCCCTTCAAACCGAAACGCATTACTGCTTCACGGCAGAATTAGGCAGGGCGGTGGTACCTTCCCGCGCGGACTCACAAGAGGTCCTGCCACCAGTAAAATTGACTGTATATCTAATATATAAAATTCTCGTGTCACAATGTTCGTTCCCGTACTCCTCCGAAACCGCTAAACCGATTCTCATGAAATTTTTTATGCATATTCAGTAAGCCAGAGAATCGGCTACTATCTATTTTTCATACCCCTAAGTGATTAGGGTTGTCCACCCCTAACATATTTTTTTATATTTGGACTTTTTGTTGTTGTTATAATGATGTATTATGTGGTTGAATGAGGTTTTGTTATTTTTATATTCCCTCAACGTTCACAACGCTACATGCCTCTTTCACTCATTTACCACATCCTTACACACTTACAATAAGTTAGTTTTTTTTTCTACACTAGAAATTCCCTAGAAATCTTATATATGGCAAAACAATGTTTGCCGGGTCAGCTAGTATCCTATACGAATATAAACAGATTGACGTAAACATTTCTATGAAGCTTAATCTAAAGCTGAATTTACCGAGAACTAGAGAATGATGAATGATATTTGTGTATTTAACAAATAATCTTTCGTAAATAATGTTATAACGTGGTATCAAGAGCACTGTGATAAACTTTGACCCTCAATCTAGGTAGGGCTGTGTTCACAATTTTAATATCCTCTAATTAGATCGGCATGTGAGTTTTTTTTTGTTTTTTTATTGCTTCGATGGGTGGACGATCTCACAGTCCACCTGGTGTTAAGCGGGTACTGGAGCCCCTAGACATCTACGAGGTAAATGCGCCACCCACATTGAGATATAAGTTCTAAGGTCTCAAGTATAGTTACAGCGGCTGTCCCGCCCTTCAAACCGAAACGCATTACTGCTTTACGTCAGAAATAGGCGGGGTGGTGGTGAATACCCGTGTAGACTCACTAGACGTCTTACCACCAGTGTGCTTAGTGAGATTTTCTTAACGCTCTCGACAGCGTAAAAGTTAACTCAATTTCGTATGGAGTTGGAACGTTTGTCTATGTTTGCCGCTAGGGGCGCTGTTCCAACTCCATACAAATTTGAGTTAACTTTTACGCTATCGAGAGCGTTAAAAAGCTCGCACTAAGCACACAGTACGGTTTGTACGTAAACAAAATCTTTGAACGTCATCTTATATATAAAATTCTCGTGTCACAATGTTCGTTCCCATACTCCTCCGAAACCGCTTGACCGATTTTCATGAATTTTTTCATGCATATTCAGTAAGCCTGAGAATCGGCTACTATCTATTTTTTATACCCCTAAGTGATTAGGGTTGTCCACCCCTAGCATATTTTTTTTATTTGGACTTTTTTTTTGTTTTATAATGAGGTATTATGTGGTTGAATGAGGTTTTGTTATTTTTATTATATATTCCCTCATCGTTCACAGCACTACATACCTCTTTCACTCATTTACCACATCCTTACACAATTACAATAAGTTAGTTTTTTTTCTACATTAGAAATTCCCTAGAAATCTTATATATGGCAAAACAATGTTTGCCGGTAATGTTGTTTTATTAAAATAAAACTTCAATGTGTTGCTCTGAAAGAACAAAGAAACGACATTTAAAGTTTATTTTATAATCTTGTAACTATCTAAATAGAAATTATTTTTTATAAACATTTTACACAATGACATATTGTTTATCTGTCAAGGCTTTTCGACTTTACAACGTGTCGACAGCGCATGCGCGACATAATTCAAATTAAAGAAAGGAATAACTTTCTTTACATAGACTTCAAGACGTGATTGACCTGACAATTCCCGCACGCCTGATGTATCAATGACGATACAATAGTTTTATAAGTACGCTCTAATATCCTGACCTGTAACGACAGGAGAAATGAAAAGATGAAATTTAATATTATAATAGTATATAAAATTATTTATTTTGGGAAAACATACAATATATTAGAAAATAGCTAAATCAAAAACCAAAAAAGTTTCCATCACCAAAATCACGTGTAAGTAGAAAGTGAAATATGAAAAAAAAAAGAAACATGTGTGCGATTCACACGTGTTAGAAGTGAAACCTTCAAAAATTAAAATACAATTATCCTAAATGTCTAAGTTTAAGTAAAATTTTGTCATTAGTAAATAATCTTTTATAGTATGAGGTAGCGCCCTCTGTGAATCGATATTTTAACGTCACGTATAATCCTAAATTGAAATTCACTACAAGAGGTTTCATACGCACGTTAGTATTAATAAATCTCATAGATGGCGCTGTATTAAAAAATTTCGACACTTCCGTTGCGTACCTGCGTGACGTTACATCTGTAAAAATTTTACCCTCATGCTCTAAAGAAGTTTCACTTCAAAAAGAAATTTATAAATTTAAGCTTACAAAAAACAAATGAACAGCAACACTCTATTTTTATTTTATGTGTATACACTCATCACTAACCTCATCATCACTCATCACATCAGCATTGAGTGGACATAGGTTGAAGAAGAATAAAAATATCATTACAAAAATATCTACCGGTTTGCGGGATTTGAACCTTTGCACAATCGCGCCGCTCAACACGACTGCACCGGGCGTCTTATCTATTAGGCCATCAAAATGCACACTACAATAGTATCTAGCTCAATCCACTTTAACCTTGAATATCCGTCATTCATTTTCCTCCTATAAAACTTTATTTTTAGGGCCAAAAAAAGACCAGCACGTCTGAACACGGCTTTATGTTTTTATAATAATATGTATAAACTAACATTATTTCTGTCCGTCACAATTTATTTTTTAGGATCTATTTGATTTTATCATTGAAAACATAGCTTGTTGTAATTTCTCGTGTTTGATTAATCTGATTCCCGTCTATTTATCTAAACTAGTGATCCCCCAGTAATCGAAATTCGACTATAATTAATTGAAATTATAAGTTTGAACATTATTAAGGTTCTATTAACAAAGACTATTATACTTCTATAATCACAGATTTTGTCAAGACAAATAATATTGAAGACAAACAATATTAATCTATTCTCAGTTTGACCACATCCTTTAACGATAAGCAAAAAGGGTATATTTGCGTGTGTGTGTGTGTCAAATACATGGTAGTGTGTGTAATGTTTTTTTTTAATGGATTTAATGTACTTTCATGCATAATTAAAAAAAAAATAACATTCTGCACATGAAGTCGTCGTGGCCTGCAGGCGGGTACCAATTTTTCTAATGAAATGCGTACTTAAGAAATGTTCACGATTGACTTCCACGGTGAAGGAATAACATCGTGTCATAAAAATCAAACCCGCATAATTATAATTTGCGTAATTACTGGTGGTAGGGCGTCTTGTGAGACCGCGCTGGTAGGTACCACCACTCCGCCTATTTCGGCCGTGAAGCAGTAATGCGTTTCGGTTTGAAGGGTGAGGCAACCGTTGTAACTATACTGAGACCTTACAACTTTATATCTCAAGGTGGGGGCTGTGAGCTTGTCCACCCATCTAAGCAATAAAAAAAACTTAGTTTATTACTTAAATTTAATGTATTTTAATATGATAATGTAAGGAAAATTGTTATATAAATCGAAAGAGATATAAATAGTCAGGAGCTCAGGAGTCACATACGCTCTCAGTACCGCTGCCGTGTGCAAGAGAGAAGGGACGCCAGACAGACTGGCGTCGTAACGCGTCACGTAACGAAGCGATTTACCCTCCCATAAAGCCGGCTCCACATTCGCGGCGCGAATGTCCGCGAAGGGCGCGAACCGCGAGTGTGGATGGTTTCGCGACTTCGCGGTCGCGCTTCGCGGCGTTCCCCGTCCAGTGGCGGTTTTCTGGCCCGCGACAAAGGGCCTGCGAAGCGCGAACGCGAAGGCATCCACACTCGGGTATGTTCGCAGTTGTGTGCGAGACGCAGTGACAAACGGACGTCATGAGTATCGAATGGAGTAACGATCGGCAACTAACGTTCCTTGAATGTTATCATGCTGAGCCCGTGCTTTGGCAAGCTCAACATGGAGATTATAAAAACAAAAATAAAGTACATGATGCATGGCTGAGAATTAGTGCAATTATGGAAATTCCTGTGCCATATTTAAAGAAAAAAAAGGATTCCTTAATGTCTAGCTACAGAACGTATAGAAAAAAAGTTAAGGATTGTTGCGATGGATTTGTGTCATCCACCACCTTCTTCTCCTCCATTTATTTTTTATTTGTTTTTTTGATTTTATAAACGTATAATTGTAACACGCTAAGGCGCACAATGTCAGAGCAGCAGCAATTTCAACGTCCATTTCAGTTAAATGCGCGAACGTAAATGCGAAAGGTTGCGTGTGTAGAGGGCTATGTTTTTCACGTCGTGTTCATGCGCGAACCGCGGCCGTGATTCGCGGCCGCGGTTCGCGGGCGAATGTAGAGCCCGTATAAGAAGTTATCACTACAAAAACAAAATTTCCCGTATAATCCACCTGCTTATTTAACTAATTCCTTTCAATACTTAGGGTCTGACCACAGCCGAAATCTTCGTTCATCTCACAATCTTCTTCTTCGCTGTCCTCCAAATAGTTCTGACTTTTTACATTCTTCATTCACAATTCAGTCTATTCTTCTATGGAATGCGCTCCCACTCAAAATAAGGTCGGCCACTACACGTGAAGCGTTTAAGACGAAGGTTCGAGAACTGTTTCTCAGAGAGTTAGCAGAGTCATCTAATTGATTATATTTGTTTATATATGTTTTTTTATGTATATACATAGTCAGGTCATAAATTCTGTCACATGTTTAATGTAAAATAATTGAAACAAGTTTATTCATTATGTAACCATTCATATACCAAAATGAACTTAACAAAACATAGATTCTTATGACACTAAAGTTTATTCAAAATGACCTCCGTGATTTTGAATGCAGGCCTTCAATCTGCGCGGCCAGTCGTCTATCGCAGCACGAACGAGGTCCATGTCAATATCGGCGGTTGCCTTAATCAAGGATGTCTTGAGTGACTCCAAATTGGGATGAGGCTTTGATCACGCCTTTTCCTCCAAGTGTTGCCATATCTTGTAATCTAACGGATTCAAATCTGGACTGGAGGAGGGCCAGTCTTCGTGCCGGATGAAGTCGATTTCACGCGCCGCCAGCCAGTCTTGTGTGCTCTTCGCTCTATGAGCTGGTGCCGAATCTTGTTGGAATACCCAGTGCCTGTTATTGAACATGGTATGAGAAACAGGTTCCACAAGGTTCGTCAGGACTGTATTTTGATACACAACTGCATTCGTTTTTACACCTTTCTCACAAAAATGTACCTCTGTTAAGCCCCAATAAGAAACTCCCAACCATACCATGAGCGAGGATGGAAAATGACCTCGTTGGACACGCGGAATACGGTTGCTCGCTTCTTCACTACTGTGTGCGTACACCTTATCATTTTGTTTGTTGTAGCTCTCTTCTACGGTAAAAATTTTTTCATCCGAAAAAAGAATTTCCCGATATTTTTTTCCCGCGTACCGCTTCAACAAAGCGCGGCATCTCTTCAGTCTCAGGTCCATTAGACGAGCATTCAAACGATGTCCTGTTTTTCTTCGATATGCCCGAAGCCCTAAGTCTTCATTTAACACCCTTTTCACCGTGGTTCTGCTTAACCCCATCTGAAGGGCCAACAGTTTCTGCTTACGTTTGGGATTTCTTTGAATTCGCGCCTTCACAGCTTTTATCACTGCTGGAGTCCTAACAGACCGAGGGCGACCACTTCTTGACCTGTCATCTACACTAGAGTCTTCATTGTATCGTTTGATGGTACGATAAACGAATCTTTTGGTTATATTCAAATTTTTCAGTATGTTAAAAATTTGAATTGGCGCGTAACCGCAACGATGCAACGCAATAACTGCAACACGGTCTTCTTTAAGCGTCCACTCCATATTTAAAAATGAGTAAAATTCTAAAAGTATACATTTTTATTTTCATGAACAATTCTAAATTCGAATTCAATAAACTTTTTTGTGGCCAGCATTCTAAAAGAAAAGTTTTTACTGTGTGACAATACTTATGACCTGACTAGGTATTTATGTATATCTATATATTTATGTATATGTATTTATTTCAGTACTATGTATTATGTATGTTATATATACACATAATATATGTTTAAGTAATATCACCTTCACACTACACCGACCAAGCTTCATCTCTGCACTCCCCTAAGGTAGACTGTTAGAGAATACCTATGGCATTAAGTCCGCCTTTATACTTTCTAGTATAAGAAGTTATAAATAAATAAATAAATAAATAAATTTCCTAACACGTAGACATTAATAGGCAAACAAACACTGGATCTCCAACTAGTCTTGATATATCAACTCTAGTTATATAAATATAGCGTGATTTAATGTAATGAATTGCGTGCTTAGTTCCGTTTGATTCAGTAATTCAGTCGAGTTTAAGTCGTGGCTGCGTGTAGACGTGTTTAAGGTAAGTTAGCTTGTGATATTTTGTTTAATTCAAAGTTTAATCGATCCTACGTGGTCTATGGCGGATTTTTTCCCGCGCACGTGTTCACAACATGTGTAAGTTATTCTTTAATAAGAAAGGCGTATTGTTTAAGTTGTTGTCTAACTCGGACTTTATTTATCTCGCTTAATTATCTAACTTAGGCGTTTTTTAATCGTGTTCCCGAGCGAGTTTCGTAATATCTGGCTAGTTGTTTTCAAGTTTAAAATCTCACAACTTCGATGCTGTGTTTGATTGATGATAATCAATATTCGAAGGTTTTATTTATTTATTAATGAAATCAATCGAAATCTATCGCTTATATGTAATCTGGTTCGAGGTTACAATATCAATGTTCTTGTTTTTTATTATTTATTTACGTAACAAAAAAACGTCGCTTAGATTCTCAAGAAATCTCTTGTTTAAGGTGACGTATGTGAAAAAATAAACATATAATATATTGATGATAGTTTTCTTATTAAATAAGTTAATGAGACATGCGAATCTATTGTTAATTATATTAATTACTAGCTTTTGCCCGCGACTCCGTCCGCGTGGAATAACTACTTTGGCATAACGCTAAATTTTACCCCCCACTTCATTTACGTAGAAAGTGAAAATATTTGGAAACATTCTTTATTGGTGCTCCACTTGTATTGGTCTTAGCGTGATGTTATATAGCCTATATCCTTCCTCAATAAATGGGCTGACTATAACACTGAAAGAGTTTCTCAAATCGGACCAGTAGTTCCTGAGATTAGCGTTTTCAAACAAACAAACAAACTCTTCAGCTTTTTAATATTAGTACAGATTATGAATTTCGGGATTCGCTTGAGATGTTCCCTCGTCGATTTGTTTCTAACATCGCACCGCCCGACACTGGAATTGAGTTCTTTGCCTGACTAATCAACAGTAGATTCAAGGGCCTTATATGGCTTAAGCGACATTTCGCTTAACACGCGACATTTAGCTTTGTAATTAAAGGTCCGTTTTATTTGGTATCAGCATCAACAGTTCGATGTTTTTGACTGAACTTCAATTAAGCTTAACTCCTTTAAATAGCTGAAGAAGTGTTTTTCTTTGTTATGATATTTTCTCCAAATTTTAAACTTAAAATGGCTCTCAACTGGAAGAGATCGCTTTTAGCGATCAGACCGCCTATTGTACAAATGTATCTGCTTTTTGACTGTTTTTTGAATGTAAATTGTCTTTTGGTGTGCGCTAATGTATATTATCTCTCTCTCTCTCTCTCTCTCTCTCTCCCTCTCTCTCTCTCTCTCTCTCTCTCTCTCTCTCTCTCTCTCTCTCTCCCTCTCTCTCTCTCTCTCTAAAATGTCGCTTATATCAAATAACCTTTCACCCATCGTTATGTATGTTCAAACATAAACATTTTAAAACAGTGAATGATGAATAACTCACTCAATAGATTTAATTCTTGAATAAAATTAAACTTAGGTACAAAAGTAAATACAAAGTTATCATTAAATAAGTATTTTTAAATGAATTTTAAAGTGTAAATTATCTTTCAAATGTTTTTCTATTCTTCATCTACGATTTGTTGATAGTTTAGTATGATCAACATTTTGCGTTTTTGCTTCATGTAGTTCACGGTACCCGAGGAACAATTGCTGGAGTCCATAGACATCATCGACGCGGCCACCGTATCTCTCAACTGTATTCAAATTCAAATTCATAATCATTTATTTCAACTTAGATGTCAGTTTCACACTTGTTGAAAGTCAAAATCTATATATTAATACGTGAAGCAAAAACTTTGTATCCCTTTTTACGAAAATTGCGCGGACGGAGGAGTATGAAATTTTCCACACTTATAGAGAATACAGAGAAGAAGTGCACAATGCTAATATTTTTTTTAAATAATGCATTAAAGATACATTAAATCAATAAAGAAAACATTACACTACATACCATGTATTTGACGCACACACGCATGCATACTATTTATTGTCAAACTTTTGTTCTTGACGTCTGTTGTCAAATTGAGAATAGATTAAATATTGTTTGTCTTTGTTAATATTTTTTATAGTGTAGTCTTGGCGAAATTTAAGATTATAGAAATATAAAATACAATCATAATAGTGTACAAACTTACAATTCCAATTAATTATAGTCGAATTTCGACTACTGCGGGACCTCTAGTATTAATAACAATGTTAACTCTGCCACCGGTTCCAAAAAAAGCCAGTCCTGATTCTAACGGTTATTCCATACTTTGAATTAAGACAACTAAGACACGACTGGTTCGTAGAGAATGTAATGCGGTGTAACCTACCTATGTGATTCAACCCAACGATAATTAGCAAATCTCCATCGATCGCGGCCAAATAGTGCTAAATTTCTTTTTTTTGCGTAGATGTGTGGACAAAGTCACAGCCAACCTGGTGTTAAGTGGTCACTGGAGCCCATAGACATCTACAACGTAAATGCGCCACCCACCTTAACATGAGTTCTAAGGTCTTAGTACAGTTACAACGGCTACCCCACCCTTCACACCGAAACGCATTACTGCTTCACGGCAGGAATAGGCATGGTGGAGGTACCTACCCGCGCGGACTCACAAGCCGTCCTACCACCAGTAAAATTGCAGGATTAGAATTCGGGCAAAATCGCGTCGCTAGATATAAACACACCTGACGTCTTACCCATTAGGCCAAGACGGCTTTATAGCTTATTTCCGCTTAGCTAACCACATGGTTAGTGACTAAACAAAAACCTTGCTTCTCATATATTTGTTTCCTCGTGTGAATACGGTCCTAACGAATGTCTGATTCATAACTATGCAACTAATGTTACAATTATGTCGGCTTTTGATGTTTTCCTGTACGCGTAATGCGAGTTCTTTAGCCTTCTCGATAACGTAAAAGTTAACTCACATTTGTATGGAACAGCGCCCCTAGCGGCAAACGTAGGGAAGCTGTTCCAACTGGTGGTAGGACGTCTTGTGAGTCCGCACGAGTAGGTACCATCGCCCTGCCTATTTCTGTCGTGAAGCAGTAATGCGTTTCGGTTTGAAGGGCGGGGCAGCCGTTGTAACTATATTGAGACCTAAGAACTCATATCTCAAGGTGAGTGGCGCATTTACGTTGTAGATGTCTATGGGCTCCGGTAACTACTCAACACCAGGTGGGCTGTGAGCTCGTCCACCCATCTATGCAATAAAAAGCACAATTTGGACGCGATCGATGTAGACTTGTAATTAGCGTTGTGCTCCATTACATTCTGACCATTAGGTACTGATTTGCGGGGACGGTGACCACAGACTTAACCCACAGAGTTTCTCGTCGGATTTTCTCAGTGGCCGTTGTAACTATACTGAGACCTAAGAACTCATATTTCAAGATGGGTGGCGGTATTTACGTTGTAGATGTCTATGGGCTCCGGTAACCAGAGTTCGTCCACCCATCTAAGCAATAGAATAAAAATAAAATAAAAAAAAAGCTCCATCCAAATTTGAGTTAGCTTTTAAGTGATAGGGAACTTTAAAAAAATCTCACTAAGCACATTGATCCAGGAAAAGGCCATTACGTTAGCGTTGCCTATGGACATCACTGTGTTAATGGCGTCTTCTGCTCTTAAAGGTGTTTAGTTGAGAAAAAAGCGAGTTGACGTAATATGCGTTTACGAGAGAAAAGTCTTAGCATGCTAAAAAGGAAGGTATCATACCTTAAGCACCGGTCACCGTTCTCGTCGAACCCGTCGCTTGCGACGAAGGGCTCGACGAGTAAATTAACTCTCAGACACAGCCCACTGAGTTTCTCGCCGGATCTTCTTGTGGGTCGCGTTTCCGATCCGGTGGTAGATTCTGCCAAGCACTGCTCTTGCTAGGGCCAGTGTTAGCAACACGTTAGGGTGAAGCTGAAATAGCCTCTCAAGGCTATCAGCATAGGTAGGGGAAAATAACCAATAAACAATTGCATTAATATATTTTTTTAGTTACACGATATAATCATAATTAATTTAATTTCCAGTTTAATTTTATTTATAGTAATATACAGTTAATATACAGTTACAGTGGTATCGTCTATGCGACCACGTAAACTGTGTTCGTAGCGATCAGAATATGTAGACGATGACATTAGATAATTTAGGTGATAAAGTATAATAGAATAGAGTTAAATCTATATAATAATACGTGAAGTAAAAACTTTGTATCCCTTTTTACGAAAATTGCGCGGACGGAGGAGTATGAAATTTTCCACACTTATAGAGAATATAGAGAAGAAGTGCACAAGGCTAATATTTTTTTTTAATAATGCATAAAAGATACATTAAATCAAAAAAGAAAACATTACACACACTACATACCATGTATTTGACGCACACACGCATGCATACTATTTATTGTCAAACTTTTGTTCTTGACGTCTGTGGTCAAATTGAGAATAGATTAAATATTGTTTGTCTTTTTTTATATTTTTTATAGTGTAGTCTTGGCGAAATTTGTGATTATCTAATATATAAAATTCTCGTGTCACAGTTTTCGTTGCCATACTCCTCCGAAACGGCTTGACCGATTTTGATGAAATTTTTTGTGCTTATCCGGTATCTATGAGAATCGGCCAACATCTATTTTTCTTCCCCCTAAATGTTAGGGGTAGTCCACGCCTAAATTATTTTTTTTAATTTTTAGACTAATTTTTTAATTTCTATTTTTTTATGATACAGCATACAAAAATACATACAACCCTAAATTTTCACCCTTCTACGATCAACCCTTATTTTTTATTTGCTAATTAAAAACTTTAAAATTTTTTGCGAGAATTTTGTTTTTATTTTGTCATGACGTAGAATAAAAAAATTCACTCTGAAATTTTCACCCCTCTACGATCAACCCCTATTTTTTATTTGTTAATTATAAAATTAAATTTTTTTGGCATGTTTTTTATTTTGTTTTGTCATGACTTAAAATAAAAAAATCATATTACTCTCAATTTTCACTCTTATACGATCAACCCCTATTTTTCCATCCCGATTAATATTTTTTTTATTCTATGCACAGATCCGCAATAAGGTTGCAAGATGGCAATCAAATATTATAATTGTAGTACGATAAATTCTTATTCAGAGTTTATAATTTCAAGTTCCTTTAATTATGATTTTTTTTAAATTGAATTTGTCTCCCGCCCTGGCCGATCAACTATCAATCGATCAGCTATCCACGCCAGGTGTCACCACTCATCCAGCAAACATCACGTAGTAGGGATGAGGACGAAGCCGGTCTCCTGTCTTACTCACTCACTACACATCATAAATTATACCCTTATTATATTTGAGAGCTATACAATACTATAAAATTTTCAGCCATGTTTTTTTGGTTTTATTTGTGTATCAATAGTATGTTCAGTAGGTCTGAGAATCGGCTACTATCTATTTTTCATACCCCTAAGTGAAAAGGGTTGTCCACCCCAAACATTTATTTTTTATTTGAATTTTTTGGATTTTTTTTTTGTTTATAATGAGGTATTATGTGGTTAAATGAGGTTTTTTTTTCTACAGTAGAATTTCCCTACAAATCTTATTTAAGGCAACACAACGTTTGCCGGGTCAGCTAGTAGAAGTATAAAATACAATCATAATAGTGTACAAACTTACAATTCCAATTAATCATAGTCGGATTTCGACTACTGTGGGCCTCTAGTAATTATAATTTAAGATTAATGTTTTTATGTAATATAGATTATACTTAAACCTAATATTTGTACGCTTTACTAGCAGGACATAGTCATACATATATTAATAATAAGCACCATCTTTGTTAACCCATGACCACAAATAATAATATAATAAATAAATAAAAGATATTTAAACGAGTTATTATGTATAGCGTGGGGTTCCGGTAGATTAAATAACTATATAATATTAGGTAGACATACCTATATAATATTAAGTAAACATAACTACTAATTATATTAAGTAAGTGATAAAAACGATATTAAAAATCATATTAAAATCAAATCTTCTATTTTCTATATCTAATATATAAAATTCTCGTGTCACAGTTTTCGTTGCCATACTCCTCCGAAACGGCTTGACCGATTTTGATGAAATTTTTTGTGCTTATCCGGTATCTATGAGAATCGGCCAACATCTATTTTTCATCCCCCTAAATGTTAGGGGTAGTCCACCCCTAAATTTTTTTTTTTAATTTTTAGACAAAATTTTTAATTTCTATTTTTTTATGATACAACATACAAAAATACATACAATCCTCAATTTTCACCCTTCTACGATCAACCCTTATTTTTTATTTGCTAATTAAAAACTTTAAATTTTTTTGCGAGAATTTTGTTTTTATTTTGTCATGACGTAGAATAAAAAAATTCATATTACTCTGAAATTTTCACCCCTCTACGATCAACCCCTATTTTTTATTTGTTAATTATAAACTTTAATTTTTTTGGCAAGATTTTCATTTTTATTTTTATTTTGTCATGAATTAAAATAAAAAATCTGATGTTACTCTCAATTTTGCATCCCTCTATGATCAACCCCTATTTTTTATTTGTTAATTATAAACTTTAATTTTTTTGGCAAGTTTTTTATTTTGTTTTGTCATGACTTAAAATAAAAAAAATCATATTACTCTCAATTTTCACTCTTATACGATCAACCCCTATTTTTCCATCCCGATTTTTTATTTTTTATTCTATGCACAGATCCGCAATAAGATTGCAAGATGGCAATCAAATATTATAATTGTAGTACGATAAATTCTTATTCAGAGTTTATAATTTCAAGTTCCTTTAATTATGATTTTTTTTAAATTGAATTTGATCTCCCGTCCTCGCCGATCGACTACTGATCAACTATCAATCGATCAGCTATCCCCGCCAGGTGTCTCCACTCATCCAGCAAACATCACGTAGTAGGGATGAGGACGAAGCCGGTCTCCTGTCTTACTTACTCACTATACATCATAGATTATACACTTAATATATTTGATAATAAATTAATACTATACATTTTTCAGCTATGTTTTTTTGGTTTTATTTGTGTATCAAGAGTATGTTCAGTAAGTCTGAGAATCGGCTACTATCTATTTTTCATACCCCTAAGTGAAAAGGGTTGTCCACCCCAAACATTTATTTTTTATTTTAATTTTTTGGATATATTTTTTTTGTTTATAATGAGGTATTATTATGTGGTTAAATGAGGTTTTTTTTTCTACAGTAGAATTTCCCTAGAAATCTTATTTAAGGCAACACGACGTTTGCCAGGTCAGCTAGTATTATTATATAACAATGAATTGCTGTTCGTTAGTCTCGCTAAAACTCAAGAACGGCTGGACCGATTTGGCTAATTTTGGTCTTGAATTATTTGTGGAAGTCCAGAGAAGGTTTAAAAGGTCGATAAATATGAAAATGCTCGAAATTAAATAAAAATAACAATTATGCTTTTCCTTTGATGTGTCCCCCGTCGGACGGATTCCTTTTGTTTGTTTTAAGTTTATTTTATACAAAAGTTAGGTCTTTTATTTATCGATTGAGGCACTACGTAGTCTGCCGGGTCAGCTAGTAATTAATAAATAAAAAAACTAACACGTACATAGATTTTAAGTTATGTAAATTTACTGGTAATAAAGAGGCTTTGTTATTATTATTATGTATAGCGAAAAACTAAGATGTTAAAATCAGATATTATTTGCAGGATGAAGATCATTTTTTCGTGTCTCCTTTTTGTTTTGCTGGGATCCGTCTGGGCACGGACGGCGACCAAGCCTCAGGAGATAAGCGGGCCGATCACATCGCTGTCAGATAAAGTGGGTCCAGATTAAAGTATAGTAAACTATAATACGAAGTCGTCGTGGCCTAAAGGATAAGACGTCCGGTGCATTCGTATCGAGCGATGCACCGGTGTTCGAATCTCGCTGGCGGGTACCAATTTTTCTAATGAAATACGTACTCAACAAATGTTCACGATTTACTTCCACGGTGAAGGAATAACATCGTGCAATAAAAGTTTAACCCGCAAAATTATAATTTGCGTAATTACTGGTGATAGGACCTCTTGTGAGTCCGCACGGGTAGGTACCACCGCCCCGCCTATTTCTGCCGTGAAGCAGTAATGCGTTTCGGTTTGAAGGGTGGGGCAGCCGTTGTGACTATACTGAGACCTTAGAACTATATCTCAAGGTGTGTGGCGCATTTACGTTGTAGATGTCTATGGGCTCCAGTAACCACTTAACATCAGGTAGGCTATGAGCTCGTCCACACGTCTAAGCAATAAAAATAAAAAATAAAATAAAAAATACGACCACAGAACATGTTGACCACAGACTTAACTCACATAGTTTCTCGTCGGATCTTCTCAGTGGGTCGCGATTCCGGTGGGAGGTTCATCGAAGCACTGCTCTTGCTAGGGCCAGTGTTGGTCATTCTCTCAGGTTCAGCTGCTCAGCTACCGGTCAGGTCCTTAGGTTACTAACGCTAAGTGGTTATAGAGGTCCATAAAGAATCGCATCGACAAAGCTGCCCTCCTTAAGATATGAGACGGCTTATTAATAAATAAATATTTACTAACAATCACGCCTCTTGTGAGTCCGCGTGGGTAGGTACCACCGCCCTGCCTATTTCTGCCGTAAAGCAGTAATGCGTTTCGGTTTGAAGGGTGGGGCAGCCGTTGTAACTATACGTGAGATCTTAGAACTTATATCTCAAGATGGGTGGCGCATTTACGTTGTAGATGTCTATGGGCTCCAGTAACCACTCAACACCAAGTGGGCTGTGAGCTCGGCCACCCATCTAGGCAATAAATAAAAAAAAAACGCCACGTTAATTGGTCCCATGCTAAGTTCGTAAAGAGCTTGTGTTACAGGTACCGGATAACGGAAATAAATGTAAGATTTTTATTATACACATACATAATATACATCCATAACCCTGGAAAAGACATTTATATTTATCACACAAATATCTTCTCTAGGCGGGATTCGAACCCGCGACCCCCTTGTGTAGTTACCATGTCACCACTACACCAGACGGTCGTTGATTAATAGACTGACATAGTGAAATATTTTAATTAAAATAAGTTTTTTTTTTTCTAGAACGCCCGTGACAAAGCTAAAGTCCACCCGGCTTTTGCCAATGTCGGCAGAACAGCCGGTGTGCAAATATGGAGAATACAGGTAATCTTTAATAATAAAACTCAATCGAATGTAGCTTCGTCGCGTGTGACGTCATTTGTGGGGATTAGGGCGTTTTAGTTTAACTAGAGGTCGCCCAGGGGTCGAAATCCGACCATAATTATTAATTTAAATTATAACCTTAAACATTATTAAAGTTCTAATAACAAAGACTACTATAGTTTATAGAAAATCACAGATATCATCAAGACTACACTATAGACAAATAATATTAATCTATTCTCAATTTGAACACAGACTTTAAACAATAACAAAAGTTTGACAATGAACACAGTATATAGATATATACAGTCGTGGTCAACTAATTAGGGACAATCTCTAGTTAAGCCAAATTGTGAATTTTTTTTTTTTTCCAACGAGTCTTAGCAATATTCCATATATTTTACATGTGAGTGTAATTAGTCATTTATGTGCGCGATTATACAAACAATAACAACTTCTTAAACATTAAACCTCTTTACAGTATAGCTGATACAATATCATAGTGCTATTGGTTCAAAGAATGCCGGCTGGCCATTTAATTAGGGACACTGAGAGGTATTGCGTTCTAATTTCATAATTGGAATTTTAATACTTTTTTGTTTCTTTTCTTATTGTTTAGTGGTCGTTTTGGCGGCAATCCAGATTTTTTATTTTATGTTTTGAGAATTCTTTTGAAGAAAAATGGGCAAAAATAAAAGTTGCGATCCAACACTACGAAAAATTATCATGAAGTTTGTCGAGCGTGGTTGGTCATACCGAAGGATAGCATTTAAATTTTAATAACAACATTTAAATTGTTCAAAAACTATGGTATGCAATGCAGTGCAACATTTCAAGCGTAGTATTATTGATCGAAGGCTATAACACAGCTTTAAATGTGTCCAGAACAAAAAGATCGAGAAAAACGACTCCGCAAGAAGATAGAATGTTAACCAGGTTAGCTAAGAAAGATCCGTTTCTAGGCTCTGTTTTAATTAAACACGAAGTGTTTGGGGCAAACGAAAGAGCCGGTGTATCTGCGAGAACCGCTCGACGACGTTTGGTAGAAGCAGGGTTGTTCGGAAGAGTGGCTCGCAAAGTACCGTTGTTAAAGAAAGAACATAGAAATGCTCGTTTGGCATTTGCACGTAAATATGGACATTGGACCTACGCCCAATGGCAACATGTACTTTTCTCTGTCGAGACCAAAGTTAATTTGATTTCTTCAGATGGAAGGCAATATGTACTGCGTCCTGTAAAAGCGGAAATGAATCCAAGATTCACAAAAAAACAGGTGAAACATGGCGGTGGAAACATTAAAATATGGGGTTCATTTTCTGGACGTGGAGTGGGACCTGTGAGGAAAGTTCAGGGTAACTTAGACCAACATCAATACAAGGCAATATTGGAAGAAACTATGCTTCCCTATGCTGAGGAGCATCTCCCTATTATATGGACGTTTCAGCAGGATAACGACCCGAAACATACCGCCCATTCAGTCAAGTCGTTTCTTACCAGTCAGTTTGTATCGGTGCTAGATTGGCCAGCAAATAGCCCGGACCTCAACCCAATTGAGCACCTTTGGCACGAAATCAAGAAAAAAGTTGCCACTTATCGTAATACAAATTTGGATGAACTTCATGAAGCTTTTTGTGAGGCATGGGCAAACATTCCTGTCGAAACATGTCAGAAACTGATAATGTCTATGCCACATCGGTGTCAAGCGGTAATTACTAACAAAGGTTTTGCTACTGGGTACTGATTTTACACGTAATAAAATGGAGCTGTTAAAGATATTATAACACTGAAGATTATAAGTTTTGTGTAACTGTATTTTTCATTATACTTTACTGTCCTTAATTAAAGGTCCACTACAGAATTGTACCTTAATATTTAATACATGTTTAATCTTTGATATTAAATACTTTTTCTATTTATTAAATCTTTTATTTACAGCCATTTATAGCATAATAATCGGACCAAATTATGCAAATAATAGGTGCTGAGAAATCAATGGGGTTTTATATTTAAATGTACATAACCGGTTATAGCCCTTCACTATCTTGAATGTCCCTAATTAGTTGACCACGACTGTATATATATATATATATATATATATGTGTGTGTGTGTTATGACAAATACATGGTAGTGTGTGTAAAGTTTTTTTAATTGATTTAATGTATTTTTTATGCATAATTAAAAAATAAATAGCATTCTGCACTCCTTCTCAATATTCTCTTTGTGTGAGAAATTTCATACTCTCCTCAGTTCGGGCAATTTTCGTAAAAAGGGGTACAAAGTTTTTGCTTCACGTATTAATATATAGATAATTGTAATTAAATCTAAAAATATGTATGAATGTATATAATGTATTGAATATGTTTAAATATGTATGTGAAATAGGCAATTAAAATTTGACATTGCTTAGACGGATGAGCATGCTCGCGGCACACCTGGCCTTAAGCGGCTACTGAAGCCTGTAGACATCAACAAATGTAAATGTCGCCACCAACATTGAGATAAGAGCTCATTTTATTGTTGACAACATTCTAGGACTGTTTATTCAAAATGTCATTTACGAAACTAAAAACAACCTTAAACCACCGGTGATTATGGTCGAATTCCGATAGCTACTTGAATACTAGTTACAATAAATTGCTTATTTATCTCAAAAAAGTAGGTAACATTTCCTTATGAAATATTTCCGTATTCGATTCTTTGAACACATCAGAGGTCAACGACCTACGCCCGTAGCGAGTGAACGCCATTTTGAATATTTTGATAGATTTTTTAATTATATTTGCGTTTTCTAAATATATTTTTTTACATTTAAGAATATGCACGTTTTAATTCTAGATTGATAAATATTCTTTTTATAGAACTTCGAACCAATACCCGTTGCTCAGAAGGACATAGGAAAATTCTACAAAGGAGATTCATACATCATTTTACGGGTAATTAAAATATTTATTTATTTGGGACCAGTGCCTCCCAACCTTTTTTCATTTTCGTGCCGCCTTTAATCGAACTGTTCATTTTAATGTTCCATATCTAGCCTAAAAAGTAAATCTCGATTCTCTTAGATATATTGTTAATCTTAATTTTGATATTGTTATACTGGTTATACCGAGTAATGTCTTTAATGACTTTTGTTCTAGATAGAGTTAAGGAAAACGGCCATTATGTACAGAAACAAAATTGTTTTTGGAGTTTACTCCTTTAGAATCGATTTACATATATAGGCCCGGGGTATGAAAATTATGGGGACCAAAATCGTACTAGCATGTCACACGAAATGCGTTATGCGCCTGATTGCGCATGTCACACGAAATGCGTTATCGCAGGTGACGCCGGGCTGCTGCGCCGGCAGTCCGCCACAAAGCCTCGTACTGATCGCGCGTTTCTCTCATTATTGTATTTTCATATATTTGTTAGTCGTTTGTTTTGTGTCTCGTTAATTTGTTAATAATCTGTAGTGTATCGTGTTGTCGTAATATAGAACTATTTCTCGTATTGTTTCGTTTAATTTTTTATATCCAGTAAACTCCAGTCGTGCGTCGGAGCGGACACACACACTTTTTTTTTATTATATCATTTCGTGGCACAGGGTTACGAAGTTATCCTTATTGATGCATATTTAATAGATTTGGACTGTATTGATGACATTTCATTGGTTTGTTTATTGTATTAGCATATTATGTAGATGCATAATGAAGGGTCGGTCTTGAACAAAATCCAGGTGACACTATCCGTTTCCGTCTGATCTGCAGCTATCTCTTTCCCGCCCTTTCGCGAGACCAGAGACAGCTATATGTTTCCAAATTCTCGACATAACTCTGGAAATTTGCGCAGACCATTCATCGGCAGTCCAAAGGTTAATTCTGTCACGAACCATCCGGCTCTCGTGTGAACCGCTCCACGGTGTTTTCCAATATAATACGTCATTCTTCAAACGAGGGTCGAAGAGGGCCCTCATTAGTAGCCAGCGCCTCTGACTCTGCTATAAATTAACCACGAGTCAAAACACGTCTTTCAGACGACCTCGGACAATCGCAACAATCTATCATGGGACATCCACTACTGGATCGGTCGGGAGTCGACGCAAGACGAGTCAGGAGCCGCCGCAATCCTGACCGTCGGCCTGGACGACAAGTTCGGGGGCGCCGCGGTCCAGCACCGAGAGACCATGGGTCACGAAAGCGCTTTGTTCCTATCATATTTCCAGACACGTAAGTACATATGTCCGTAGCAACTATATTTCCGCCGCATAAAAGGTCCCTAAAAGTCCAGAAACTGCCGTGCAAAACTGCCCCTAAAGATCTAGATACTACCGCATAAAACTGCCCCTAAAGGTCGAGATACTGTCGCGTAAAACTGTCTTTAAAGTTGTGGATTCTGCTGCGCAAAACTGCCTCAAAAGGCCTGATTCTGCCGCGTAAAACTACCCCTAAAGATCTAGAAACTACCGCGCATAACTGCCCCTAAAGGCCTGGATTCTGCTGTGTAATACCGCCCCTAAAAGTCTAAATACTGCTGCGTAAAACTGCCCCTAAAGATCTAGATACTACCGCGCATAGCTGCTCCTAAAGACGTGGATTCTGCTGTGTAATACCGCCCCTAAAGGTCTAAATACTGCAGCGTAAAACTGCCCCTAAAGATCTAGATACTACCGCGTCAAACTGGCCCTAAAGACCTATGTTAAGTCCTGGTGTGGTCATGGTGATCGCTCGGCGAGCGATATGTCTGTGCCGGTGTTCGAATTCTTCAGGCATGTACTGAAACAAGCTCTCGAATATCTTCCACGATGAAGGAATAGCATTGTGTAATGAGAATCAAACGTCCAGTGATTACAATTTGCTATTATTCGGTAACAGTGGTAGGGCGTATTGTGAGACCTTGTAAGGTACTTAAGATAAGGTAAGGACCTTGTAAGCTGTTTATTTCTGGGCGAAACGATAATACCTTTGAGTTCGAAAGGCGAGGCAGCCGTTGTACTGTAAAATTGAGAATTAGAACTCATGTCTCAAGGTGGTTGGCGGTATTTACGTTGTAGGTGTCTATGGGCTCGTTCACACGTTTAAGCAATAATAAAATGGATTGTCCTATCATCTTCATAGAAGCCAGTCTCTGACAAGACCAGTGAATCATTCAAAGCGCTTTTCAATATATAACCACGTATTGAAACATCCGACTTTGAAAACGAGATTCGTTATCAAAGTTAACGTCCTGAGTTCTGATGATGTCCACGGGCAACAACGATCATTCAGTCGGCTATCAATTCAATCGCGCCTTGAGAGCCAATTGAGAGAGTATTTACGTAATTCGAGAACAATACGTGAATGATCTTAATTGTCGTTGTTATAATAATTACAGTCTTCCTTTCAAGAGGCAATCGACTATGCGATCTGAGTTAGATATTGTATTTGTAAATTTGTCTGTGTTGTTTTTCGTCATGCTTGTTTTTGTAAATAATCATTTCGTATTCTGGGGTGGGTATCTCAAAAGCCTATCTGCAACGGCTGCCCCACCCTTTAAACTGGAAAGCGTTAATACTTCGCGGCAGAAATAGTCAGAATAGTGGTACCGAGCTAGGCAGGCACGGCACATCCTCACACCAGTAAATGACGATTGGCGAACGCTGTACGCTGGTATAATACTCGGATAATGCTGCTGTCCATGAACCAATGAATCTCTCAGTCGCTTTAAGACACTTGTAAACATCAAGCAGTGTTATTCTAGATTTCTTTTTGTTTCTTAAATGGGTGGACGAACTGACAGCCCACCTGGTGTTAAGTGGTTACTGAAGCCCATAGAAATCTATAACGTAAATGCGCCACCCACCTTGAGTTATAATAAGGTCTCAGTATAGTTACAACGGCTGCCTCACCCTTCAAACCGAAACGCATCATTGCTTCACGGCAGAAATAGGCGGGGTGATGGTACCTACCCGTGTGGACTCACAACTGGTCCTACCACCAGTAACAAGATTCTAGAGCGATACCTTCACTAAACTGTTCCTATCATCCACCAGCCTTGACCTATTTGGAGGGAGGGAATCCGTCCGGTTTTAACCACGTCGTCACGAACGCGGGAGCCCAGAAACGAATGTTCCAGGTCAAAGGGAAGCGAGATGTCCGCGTTAGACAAGTAAGTCCTTCTTCAATTGTTGTTAAAGCATAAGGCAATGGATACAATGTATCCTTCCAAAACGTAAGGTTTCAAGGTTACGGATCGTGACGTCATCGATTGGTGCCACGTTGATTTTACAAATGATGACGTCAGCTGTTTATAGTGACAGTAATTAAGACTCACTTTTCCAATTAATTCTATTCATTGTATTTATTGAGCGACAATAGTCACTTGTATTTATAGTAAAACATTAGCGGTAGCTTAGTCATGAATTATCTTGAATTGCGTCTTAAGCAATTGTTTACACGCGTTGAACTTATAATACGTTTAGGGTGCTGGTGTTGCTGCCCCGCTTTTGTAGCGCATCAGGGATATTTGCAGACGCGCACATAGATTGTTTTTACACTACCATGCGTAAGAGGTGTGCATCTCTGGTAAGCAGAGTGAGGGGCAGCTCCAACAGTATCCTGAGCATGATCGCAAGCAGGCTGGACTGTGTATACATGGGTCGCTGTGGTGTCATCTCCCATGGGATGTTACGACAGTAATTCATTGTGATGTAAATATAACTACTAACATAGGTCTAAGTCTTATTAACAATTTATATGAGTCATGGTTACTTGCAATAAAAACATTATTATTATTATTATTATTNGGCAGCTCCAACAGTATCCTGAGCATGATCGCAAGCAGGCTGGACTGTGTATACATGGGTCGCTGTGGTGTCATCTCCCATGGGATGTTACGACAGTAATTCATTGTGATGTAAATATAACTACTAACATAGGTCTAAGTCTTATTAACAATTTATATGAGTCATGGTTACTTGCAATAAAAACATTATTATTATTATTATTATTATAATAGTTAACCAACAATATTAACATTAAAGAAACAGTTAACATTAACTAATCTTAGTTATCTAAATGGTAACGTTGCGCCGACCTTATATATACCTATTGTTACGCGCTAGGGTTCTGGATAAATAAATGTTCCACCAAAGTACAACTAAAAACTGTATTCAACACTTAGAACACTTAAAACACTTCACAAGCACTTTAAAATTCTCAATTCGCTTTTTCCGCTTCGCTTCAGGTGATCGGTTCGCTGTTTCGCTTCGAGTAGTTCCGATTGCGTGCCATATCTGCAACGCTTTTATAACCGATACCACATCCGTAGAATTATCGAGAATATTCCACACATATACAATGACAATAGATGGCGTTGTACTTCTCGAGCGTTCTAGGTGTTACTAGATTCTCCATTATTCGTTCGACTATTCGGCGACAGATGGCGTTACTCTTACCGGCGTTACAATATTTAAACGTATTTATGTATGTTTGTCAGTCACCGGTTCCTTTAACGCAAGGAATCTTAAATTGAGGCCGAATGATCTTGCGTGATTTGTTCCCAATTATTAATTATTATATCAAGAGCTCTTCACTGTCTTTTTTCCATTGCTTCAGATACATGCTCTCTTGCCTTTTCCAGGTCGATCCGCAGATAGCTTCGATGAACAAAGGCGACGTCTTCGTTCTTGATCTAGACAACGACATCTATGTCTTTGTCGGCGAGAAAGCTAAGAACGTTGAGAAGCTTAAAGCGATTTCGTTCGCCAATCAAGTACGGGATCAGGATCATCACGGACGCGGAAGAGTCGATATTGTGGGTAAGCAGAACTTGTGCCGAGCCAAGGGGGTAACTTGACGAGACTGGGGGGATTTTAAGCCGGTTCGAGGAACGGGGGGAAAGTTTTACCGTAGAATTTAGATTAACAACCTCATGCTTAAGGGCATGTTGACACCGCCAAGCAATAAAGCTTAAATTTCCGAGGGTTTTCGAAATCATGGATTTTTTTTAAAGAATAAATACACCTTTTTCTTTTATAATTTGAGGGTAGAACGACAAAAGGAATATCTTCTACCGAGCGGGTGTAATTACTAGTTTGATTCGGTAGTAAGGTACTTGGAACTTGTATGTATGAGAGATTATCTTGAGTATCTCTTAAGCGAGATCCAGGCATCCGCCAAATGTCTTATGTTCTATGATGATATTTTATTTTTATTGCTTAGATGGGTGGACGAGCTCACAGCCTACCTGGTGTTAAGTGGTTACTGGAGCCCATAGACATCTACAACGTAAATGCGCCACCCACCTTGAGATACGAGTTCTAAGGTCTCAGTATAGTTACAACGGCCGCCCCGCCCCACCCTTCAAACCGAAACGCATTAATGCTTCATGGCAGTAATAGGCAGGGTGGCGGTACCTAACCGCGTGGACTCACAAGAGGTCCTACCACCAGTAAGCCACCGCAATAAAATACCACTCATTAACGATTTCATTCTCCTCTAACTCTTCGTGTCTCTTGAACAGACAAGTACTCGAGCGATGTGGACGTTCAGAAATTCTTCACGGCTCTTGGTTCAGGAGTTAAGGATCTGGTGCCGGATGAGAGCACCGGCGGAGACGACCAGGTACGTGCTGACCATTAATTTTGTATAGTTGACATTTCAACCGATCGCCGCAACGTAATCAGATCCGCTTTATCCGGCTTTTCCAATCGTTCTCTATCGCGATAACCGGAAATTATTCGAAGATTCGGATATAATAATCGAGAGGTTAAAATCTTTTTAAGCGACATTTTTGCAACTTTAGAGCCATTGAAAGTTTGATATTTGGAAATAATATCAAATATGTATACCAAAAAACCTCATTCAGCTATACGAATGGAGTAAACTTAATAAACACCACTTAACACCCGGTGGGCTGTGAGCTCGTCCACCCATCTAAGCAATAAAAAAATAAAATAAAATTTATTGAAGTTCAAAACATCGAACTGTTGATGCTGATACCGAATAAAACGGACCTTTAATTACAAAGATAAATGTCGCGTGTTGAGCGAAATGTCACTGAAACTAAATTATAGCCTTTTGCCTCTCGATATGATGAAGTTTAAAATTATTAAAAACGCGAGTTTTACCGTAAAAGTATTTTTGATTTGTGTTCATGATTGATATTGTAATTTATTACCGCCTATTTCTGCCGTTTGACTATGCTTAGAACGAATAAAATCTCTGATGAGACAGACATAAGCAATGAGTTTTACGAACGAAATAATAAAAAACGGACTGAGTATTATAAAAACATTTGTATTTTTTTGCAAGCAATTTTTTTTTTATTGCTTAGTATGGGTGCACGAGGTCACAAGCCCACCTGGTGTTATTGTCAACAGTTCGATGTTTTTAATTGAACTTGAATTAAGTTTACTCTATTCTCTTTTTTCTTTTTCTTAGATAGGTGGATGAGCTCACAGCCCACCTGGTGTTAAGTGGTTACTGAAGCCCATAGACATCTACAACGTAAATGCGCCACCCACCTTGAGAAATGAGTTCTAAGGTCTCGGTATAGTTACAACGGCTTCAGATTTCACCGACTTCAAAAAAATAACCCCAGGCTTATTTTTCATTAGAAATTTGTATCAAGATTCGACCAGTGATTTTCAACTCCAATTTTATGGAGTTGGAACAGCTTCTCTTCGTTTGCCGCTAGGGGCGCTGTTGCAACTCGATACAAATTTGAGTTAACTTTTACGCGATCGAGAACGTTAAAAAACTCGTATCAAGCTCACAGAAGTGATAGACATCACGTAGATATCACCAGCTCAATTGAAACATTTTTTACTGGTGGTAGGACCTCTTGTAAGTCCGCGCGGGTAGGTACCACCGCCCCGCCTATTTCTGCCGTGAAGCAGTAATGCGTTTCGGTTTGAAGGGTGGGCCAGCCGTTGCAACAATACTTGAGACCTTAGAACTTGTATCTCAAGGTGGGTGGCGCATTTACGTTGTGGATGTCTATGGGCTCCAGTAACCAGACCAGGTGGGCTGTGAGCTCGTCCACCCATCTAAGCAAAAAAAAAACACCCCTCAAACCGGAACGATTGCTTTGGGGCAGAAATAGGCAAAGTGCTCCTACTCTAGCCTCACAATAAGTCTTCTCCGCTCTTATCTAACAAACCCTGCAGGAGTTCGAAAGGAGTGAAGCTAGCAACGCGATTCTCTCTGAAGTGTCAGACGCCACGGGAAAGATCAAAGTGACGCCACTATCGAAGCCTTTCAAGCAAGAGAACTTGAGTCCACAAGTGAGTCTTCAATTTGTCTATTAATGCCGCGCCATTCGACTTTCGCGGCAGAATTAGGCAGGTTGCTGGAACCTAGTAACCTGTAGTAATCACGCATAATTATTACAATTTTAGCGGGTTGTTAAATTTTTATCACACGATGTTATGATACCTTCATCGTGTAAGTCATACGTGATCATGAGTTAAATATATCGTCTTCTCGCATTAAAACTGTATAATCTCAAAACTTACTAATTTTACAGGAGAGTGTTTTAAAGGTTTAACATGTTATATCTTTAATATTAATCATCTTTTCAACATTTTTTTACCAGTAACATTATCTGTCTTTTAAAGGAAGATTCTGAAGAAGAAGAATCTCGCATTAAAACTGTATAATCTCAAAACTTACTAATTTTACAGGAGAGTGTTTTAAAGGTTTAACATGTGATATATTTAATATTAATCATCTTTGCAACATTTTTTTTTACCAGTTACATTATCTGTCTTTTAAAGTAAGATAAAATTATGAATTAATTTTGTTAGTAGTAGTCACAACAAAGATAACCTAAAAACACAAAAAAAAAAGACTAAAACTAAACTACACTTTTTTGACAGTATTTATGAGAAAAAATCTGGTGATACCAAATGCTTCCGCATATTAACTCAATTTCGAATATTTTTGGAAATTGTACACTTTTAATGCGAAAAGGCGATATATTTCATTACAAATGCAGGTACGTGTCTTGCGGGATTCGAACCTTGACACTGTTGCATCACTCGATACGAACGCACCAACCGTCTTATCCTCTAGGCCGCGACTTTCTCCCTACCTATTTCTGCCTCAAATTCCACTAATTTTTTTTGTTTCATTCAATAATTCATTTTGTTTCGTATGAAATTCTAATTTTTCACATCGCCCCGAACTATGAGTCTTCTTGAGCCAACTCAGTTCACCGATTATTCTTACAGAACGCGTATATTTTGGACACCATATCTGGCAACATTTACGTTTGGATCGGGAAGCAGTCTACCGCAAACGTAAGTCGACCAGCGATTCTCAACCTTCGCAGAACACTTTTAATGGCTTCAAAATTGTTTTTTTTTTTCGCCTACCTACTGCTCGTAGTCGCGAGGGGCCATTCTTGCTCCATCCTGATGTAACGAAGCTCAATCTGAGAAAGTTTGCTAACACTAGCCCTAGCGAGAGCTTCGCAGAATCTACCACCAGAACGAGGAGATCCGGCGGGAAACTCAGTGGATTCAGACGCAATTCTACTACTAGCAACGGTCATAGCATAGAGCGCCGAAGAATCCCATCAGACCACTAAGTTTCACGTCGGATCCTCTCAGCGGGTCGCGATTCCGATCCGGTAGTAGATGCTCTCGCGAAGCAGCTACCCTGGACCAGACCTCTCGGCTGAGCGTCACAGTTCACCCACTCCTGTAACTGGTTTCCGAAACGCCAGACATCACCAATTATAAAAAAAAACAATGTCTAATTCCACACATATCTATAAGGTATGACATTTCGCTTAACACGCAACATTTATCTTTGTAATTAAAGGTCCGTTTTATTTGGTATCAGCATCAACAGTTCAATGTTTTTAATTGAACTTCAATTAAGTTTACTCCATTTTTTTTTTCTTTAATGGGTGGAATAGCTCACAGCTCACCCGGTGTTAAGTGTTCTGTGGAGCCCATAGGCATTTACAGCGTAAATGCGCCACCCATCTTGAGATATAAGTTCTAAGGTCTCAATATAATTACAACGGCCACCCTTCAAACCGAAACGCATTGCTGCTTCACGACAGAAATAAGCGGGTTGGTGGTACCTACCCGTGCGGACCTACAAGAGGTCCTACCACCAGAAAAAAGTTCCATTATTGCAAATTTTAATCTTTAAATAACTTTGCTGTAATCTTCTTTCACCTATCGTTAAAGCATTCAAAGTTGACCGCCTTCTCTGGTCGTGGTCCTGACGCATCCTATCTCCGGATCATCGCTTGAAGAACATTCCGTGTCACATTAATATATTATATTTTACAGGAGAAATCTCAGGCCATGACGAAAGCTCAGGAATTGTTGAACGCTAAGAACTATCCTTCGTGGGTGAGATGAAGATTATTAACCATATTTAACTGTTAAAAATACAATTTGGGCGTCTAATATTGTTAAATCGTGGACTATCCAGGATTGGAATCCGTAGGCGTTGGACTTCAAGAAACCTTGAAATATAAATATTGTGGTGTTGACTTTGACCGATTTAATTATCCAGACGGTTAAATTAGTAAAACAGTCAGGGATTAGGATGATAGAATTATAGAATTAGGAAATAGGATGATAAAATTAGGATCAGTCCGCCCGCCATGACAGATGCGATTCCACTCAGTGTTGCCCGCTCTCAATTAAAATTACCATTTAGGAGAATATCAATATAACATGATCAAATAATATAGCTCTGTGAAAATTTAATGATTTTCATTGTCTAACAATATCGCGAGTTGTTATATATAACACTCGATGCGTGTATTTTCCATATATTCTCAGAAAGAGCTGGAAAGCTTCTGGAGCTTCTTTCGAAATTTTTGTTTTTACCTAGATCAATTAACGAGCTTCCGGCCTAACTGGTGTTAAGTGGTTACTGGAGCCCGTGGACACCAATTATAATTATGGCCACCGACCGTGAGATATGAATTCTAAAGTCCCAGTTTTACAGTACAACGGTTGCCCCACCCTTCAAACTGAAATGCATTACTGCTTCACGTTAGAAATAGGCAGAACGGTGGTATCTACCCGTGCAGAGTCACAAGACGTCCTACCACCAGCAACTAGAAAGAGAAACCAATTCCTTCTCATATTATTTCCCCTGCACAGGTGCAAGTGACCAGGGTTCTACAGAACACGGAGCCTGCAGCATTCAAGCAGTACTTCTTCACCTGGCGAGACTTCGGAATGTCTCATTCGCGAGTCATTTAAAAGCTAAAAGCACGTACGTACTTCCGGAACGTAAGGGAAAGCTCTAACCTAAAACTAAACTACTTATATTTGTGATATAAACTAATATATATGGATGGTTGAAGGGCTATATATAGTAATGGTTTACAGTAATACCTACTAGTCAATATGTACCAATTTTACTCACTAAATACTAATATTAAATACTTACAATATTTATTTTCGTTATTTTCCAGAAAACAAAGAAAAGGTGCCATAGGATTATCATTTCTAATTATTTTTTAACTCAATAAAAATATATCGCAAATGTTTTTGTGTTTTTTTTTTCTGTTTTGATTTTGAATGGCTTCTTGCGATGCCGATGTTGCCAGTTTCGAGTTTATAAATTCTACGATTTATGCTAACATTGAAATATAATATGCACTGTATTTGATTTCATTATCAGAGTGTTCAATTTGGATAGAATTAAATGAATTGCGTAACTTTATATTATAGTAAATTTTATACGGCTAATTTTAGACGACTGTCGTAGAGAAAGCGAGCAAGAGTCGATTAATGAATAAGACAGATTTATACACATATTATATATAAAGAATTTACAAAAAAAAAATTTAGAACAAATAAGCAAATCGAAATAAGAAAGGCGAAGGCAAATAAAAATGCATTTGTTTTTTCCCCTGCCTATTCGCTGTTAGCCTAAGGACTAATTCCAGCTACGCTGTGACCAATCGGTCAGCTCAAGGGCTCAACATGAGAGAACTTGCTACCAGCCCTAGCCAGAGCAGTACTTCCCTGAATCTACCACCGGATCGGATTCGCGATCCAATGAGAAGTTCCGGCGAGAAACTCAGTGGGATATGTCTATAGGTTTTTTTTTATTGCCTTTGTAGGCAGACGAACATACGGCCCACCTGATGGTGAGTGGTTACCGTCGCCCATGGACTTCAGCAATGCCAAGGGCAGAGCCAAGCCGCTGCCTACCGCAAACGGGTTATTTTATACCCAGAGCCCTTCGTCGCAAGCGACGAGAACGGTGACCGGTGCTTGAGGTACCTAACAGCACCGTTAGTGGAAAAGTCTCCTGAGTTGAGCTCGTGAGCTCACCTACCCGTCCGGTCGTAGCTGAAATAAACCCTTACATTTCCAGCGAATAGGTTGAAAAAAAAAATATATATGTCGGAGAAGCCACAATTATTAACACTATCGTCAGACATCGTAGTGGCGAATATGGTGATCGAGCTTAGCAGACGAAACGTATGACAGTTCTTAGGACGGAGGCACCGCTCTTCAAGAAGGCTGGTCGGTAAGTGTGATGGCGTCTACGCGCCTCCATCGACTAGGCTCTGTCGTAGCACGAAGTTAGCGGAGTTCCGACGATACCACAATCGTGCTGCCATCTCTCGGGAATCGTACTGCGTTTCGTTTAGCTACCAAACTAATTACCGTCTCAGACATATATAACATTTCACAACAAGGCAGTGAAGGCGGTAATTATTGTAAGTTTTCGGTCTTGTCTTGCAGACGAATTTGCGGCTCAGATGTAAAATAGTTATTGCAGTTCACAGATTGATGTGAATACCGCTGATCTACACTAATATTGTAAAGCTGAACAGTTTGTTTGTTTGAACGGGCTAATCTCAAGAACCACTGGTTCGATTTCTCTGATTCTTTCAGTATTAGATAGCCCATTTATTGAGGAAGGCTATAACATTACGCTAAAACCAATACAAGCGGAGCACCAAATAAAGAATGTTTCAAAATCGGATTTTTTTTCCCTTTTGAGAGCTTCCGCTGCGTGCGCTGCAGAAACGGTTAATGTTTCGCTAAAATAATGTATGACAGAATTGTTCCTCTTTAAAAGATCTAAAAAAAAGTCCGCGAGAGCACTCACTATAACGTTTTTTATGCTAACCAAATTTGTTCTAAAATAAAGCATTATTTGTGAACTATTCCACGCGGACGAAGTCGTGGGCAAAACTGCACGTTAAATAATGGCTATCCTTCTTGGAAGGAAAGAGGCCAAAGGGGCGTCCCATGCGGTGGTTCGATCAAATTAATACTGGTGGTAGGACATCTTGTGAGTCCGTGCGGGTAGGTAGCACCACCCCGCCTATTTCTGCCGTGAAGCAGTAATGCGTTTCGGTTTGAAGGGTGGGGTAGCCGTTATAACTATACTGAGACCTTAGAACTTATATCTCAAGGTGGGTAGCGCATTTACGTTGTAGATGTCTATAAGCCCCAGTGACCATTTAACACCAAACACTGAGCTCATCCACCCATTTAAGCAACAAAAAAAAGACAAAGAGCCCCTACGCAGAAGACAGGAGGAAATGGAGGAGCATAGTCCGAACAAAAGTACTCTGTAAAGGTCACGACACTCACTGAGGAACACGATGCAAGGAGAAAGATCCTTATTCAATCAGGAATGCAATAAAGTAGAGATTTAACAGCTACCCATGCGATTTCGCAATACGCCCGCTAATGTATAAAGTTTGCGGGTTTGATTCTATCCAACGAGATTATTCTCTTTGAAAAATCACCAAATAAACGATCTAATTCATGATTAAACTTGCTTAATTATTAATGAGTATTATTTTCTAGATATTTTGAAATTTGTTTAAAAATTACGAAATCCTTTTTTAATTCTTCAAACGGCTTCCCCACGGGCGTTAATTTTAAAACGCAATGGATCCTATTAATTTACAGACTAATTAAGATAATACAAGATAACCTTTCACATCACTAGTTATGTCAACGTCATAGATTATTACCACGAAACTGTGTTGCGAAAACAAGTTTAATCTACCCGAAACTTTACCTCGACAACAGGTTTCGCACAAGCTAAATAAGATTCTTAACATTTAAAATGTTTAAAATTAACTACGTATTGTTAATTATTGTTTTATCGAACTGTGTTGATTGTAATGTTTACATTGGGAATGGCAAAATGAAACAATTGTACGCTTGGAAGCAATTAGGATACGATTTTAATGGAACTAAATGTAAGTTTTGTATGTTAATTTATTCAGTCAGTTAATCTGTTTGCTCTAATCTCGAAGCGGATCTGATTCTTTGCATATAATTTTAAAATCACAAACGTAACTAATAGTTGAAGGTTTTTTTTTTCTTTTAATTTTATTTTTAACGGAAAAAAATAACACAAATTAAAATAACCAATATTAACACAGAGTTTTGTCAACTTATTTCGTCTTGTTCAATTATTTGCGAACAGAAAATATGTCGTAATTTTGAATAATTAACGTATTGTAACCAACCAATTTTATTAACACCTAAAGTTTGCCAAGACAAACTGATATTTAATTTTTATGCTCTTGCGCCTCTAAGCTGACTAGACAGACTTTAATGAAACTTAAAGTACAAAAATAGCTAAATTGATAACCCTTTGACTACAGTGTAGGTCACCGGTGTCCTACGCGGCTCACGCAAGTAATTATGTCGATTCCTCTTCGATCTTCTTACTAAGGCGCCGGAATATCTAGTAGACTCTGGGAGAGGCGAATCCGAACGAATACTGAGACCTTTTTTTTGCCTAAATGGGTGGACGAGCTCACAGCCCGCCTGGTGTTAAGTGGTTACTGGAGCCCATAGACATCTACAACGTAAATGCGCCACCCACCTTGAGATATAAGTTCTAAGGTCTCAAGTATAGTTACAGCGGCTGCCCCGCCCTTCAAACCGAAACGCATTACCGCTTCACGGCAGAAATAGGCAGGGTGGTGGTACCGACCCGCGCGGACTCACAAGAGGTTCTACCACCAGTAAAATGAATCTATTTTTGACCTAACAAACTAAAACATACATTAACCAACAAAAAAAGGCAAGGTTCGTCAATCCATTCGCCTTAGTAAAAGAAATCGACGTAATTACTTCAGTGCGCCGCGTAGGGCACCGGTGACCTACACGGCAGCAAAGCAAAGCCACCGTCGCCTAAATCATGTCTTGTCGAATCCCTAGGATCTACGCTCAGTGCTTTAAGCTCTTTAAGCACCGGTCACCTCGTCGACTCCGATGAAGAGTTCGACGTGCAAACTAACCCATAGACACAGCCCACTGATTTTCTAGTTGGATCTTCTCAGTGGATCGCGTTTCCGATCCGTTGCTAAATTCAGCGAAGCACTGCTCTTGCTAGGGCTAGTGTTAGCAACGTCGTCAGGTTTGAGCCCCGTGAACTCATCTACTAGCTCTGTGAATTTAGTATAACCCCTCGAGGTCACTAGAATGGTAGGAAGAAAACCATAATAGAAATAAAGACTGCCCCACTCTTCAAACTGGAACGCGTTACTACCGCTTCGCGCCAGAAAGACTCAGGGTGGTGGTACCTACCCGCGCGGGCTTACAAGACGTCTTACCACCATAACACAAGTCCTACGTAATCTAGAACATTCCTTGTGTAATAGATAATAATGCACATAAATTAGTTATAGATAAGCAACTCGAGCACTCAATAAAAATGTTTACGGGCGTCGGCCACTAGATGGCGTCGCTTCGATTAGTTTCTCATTGCTCCTGTAGATGGCAGCAACATCTAAAGAAGGATATTGTAAATTTTCAGAAACCAAAATTTGATTAAAATTTAATAATTTTATCTATAACTAGCGGCTCGCTCCGGCTCCGCTCGGGTCTTTAACAAAATTTTCAACAATATTAATTTGACGTTGTTTTACTTTTTTAAATAAAATAACACTTATTGCGGCATAACTATAAAGGCGAATTTACATTACGAAATTAGTGGCATGAAACTAATTTCGTGACATTAGTTCTACCAACAGTTTCACGTGTAATTTAATACTTTCGTAATGCATGCATTAATTTCATGCATGGAAATTAGTTTCGTGCCCTGCGCGATTTTTTGGTGAAATTAGTGTCATGCAACTAATTTCATAGTGTAGACGCGACGTGAAACTAATGTCGCGAAAGGGCCTGCCCTGTCCGGACGTGTGTATTGTTAGTTCGGACGCGCTTCAAGTGTTAAAAATGGCAAACCAACGATGGAGTACAGAAAAATAAAATAGATCTTATTAATGAATATCAGCGACAAGGGTGTCTATGGGACCCGAAACACCTACAGTAAAAAATCAAAATTATCTTCACTCATTCGAAAATAGTTTTTATTACTCCCAGGATCTTCATCTGCTAATTCAGAGACTAACTTCATTGCACCTAAATGCCTTCTTGTTGACCATCCTCGAATCCACCAACTTTTTTTTTTCTTGATAGCCTTTTTTTAAGCTCATAGGTATATAAGCATTTCTTTAGCTACATTGAATATAGCAAAATATAGCTTTGATGGTGACGGCGCCATGGTTACTGCGATACTGTGAGTTTCGCGACACTAATTTTTTTACGAAATTACTTTCGCATATATCGAAACTACTTTCGTGAAACTGAGCTCAACATACACGACACTAATTTCGTAATGTAAACTCCGCATAACAGTTAGATATAATATTCTGTCGCAATACTTTTTGTAAATAATAATGTATTCTACAAAGTCGTAGTACATTATTTTATTCTATCATCAATAGTTTTCGCAGGGCACGCGATGTAAAGAATATTTTAGGTTTTTACTGGTGGTAGGACCTCTTGTAAGTCCGCACGGGTAGGTACCACCGCCCCGCCTATTTCTGCTGTGAAGCAGTAATGCGTTTCGGTTTGAAGGGTGGGGTAGCCGTTGTGACTATACTGAGACCTTAGAACTATATCTCAAGGTGTGTGGCGCATTTACTTTGTAGATGTCTATGGGCTCCAGTAACCACTTAACACCAGGTGGGCTGTGAGCTCGTCCACACATCAAAGCAATAAAAAAAAAAAAAAGGTAATTTTTTTACACCTTCGGTTACATTATTGGATTTTTAGTAAGGATCCCTAATTTTTTGAAAATACATAGCCTACGTCACTCGGGAATAGTGTAGGTTCCAAACAGTGAAATAATTTTTCAAATCGGTTCAGTACTTTCCGAGCCTATTCAATACAAACAAACAAACAAATCTTTCTTCTTTATAACATTAGTATAGAGTATAGATTTCTTCGCTCACTCCATTCTTACACATATCATCTTTCACGCAATCCATTCATTTTCTTCTTAGGTCTACCTTTTCCTCTATCGGTCCTGCCTCTTCCTCTGATTGTTTATAAAGGAATTTGTACAATAAGCAGCTGTGTGTAAAATTGGCCATAGTCATTCCGGTAACGGACCTAAAGCCCTTGTCACCTGAATCAAGCAGCAGACCCCATACTTGCAACGACATGGCTGTAGTGAGTAAGTTAGTAGTAGGACAGTCTGAAATATAGCGTTGTGCAACTAAGACGTACATTTCATTAAATTTTTTTATTGCTTTGGTGGGTGAACGAGCTCACAGCCCACCTGGTGTGAAGAGAGGTTACTGGAGATCATAGACAACTACGACGTAAATGCGCCACCCATCTTAAGATATAAGTTCTAAGGTCTCAAGTATAGTTACAACGGCTGCCCCACTCTTCAAACCGAAACGCATTACTGCTTCACGGCAGAAATTGGCAGGGTGGTGGTACCTACCCGCGCGGACTCACAAGAGGTCCTACCACCAGTAAAAAATCCCGCAAACCCCGCACTCCGCATGGCGACCCTAGCCTGTCGTGCGATAAAAAACACCGCGTGCACTTCCACAGTTATACACACGTTTGCACAGTAATAAATCCCGTGAACCCCGCACTCCGCATGGCGTTGCTGATGTCCAAGAGCAGCGGAGGCCACTCACGCTCGTTGGCCCGCGTCCGATCATCACAAACGTTTCAGATCTAAAAGATGCAGACCACATACGCTCGCCCGGAGCGATACATTTCGTCCAAGAGCTAGGAGACAACGAGAAATTCTTTATACAGTACAATAACGTGCCGACAGGAATCAAGTTTGTCGGAGATCTGCTATTTTTGACGGTCCCAAGGAGGAGATTTGGTACGTAAACAGATTTTGTTATTTACTAGTGGTATTTGACTCAAAAGCATCCCCGCTGGGTTAACTGTGGGAGGATTCCCCGAAAATTCCACCTGTTTGAGGATAGCAATAAGGGGACATTTGAAAGTAGCGCTACTGACGGATAAAATAAAGAGGTGGTTTATCGTGGTGTGAGCATGGTATGCGATCGTGTGCCTCAAAATACCCTGGGTCACGTCACCCTTGATTCCGGACACGACAACTTTATAGATTAAGTTGTGAGTGGATGAGCTCATAGCCTACCTGGTGGTAAGTGGTTACTGAAGCCCATAGACATCTACAACGTAAATGCCACCACCCACCTTGAGATGTGAGTTCTAAGGTCTCAGTATAGTTACAACGGCTGCCCCACCCTTCAATACGAAACGCATTACTATTTCACGGCAGAAATAGGCAGGGCAGTGGTACCTACCCGTGCGGACTCACAAAACGTCCTACCGCCAGTTTGCTCCATTCTTAGACCAGATAAGCGCTGACCACAGTCGGGTCGTCGCTTGTAGCTTTTAGCTGCGGACAGAATGGAAAACAGTCGACTTCGCCCCAAACACGTCATTCGGATCCTCCCGATCCACTAACGGTGCTTTTAGGTACCTCAAGCACCGGTCACCGTCCTCGCCGAAAAGTCGCTTGCGACGATGGGCTCGTCGAGTAAATTAACCCTCAGACACAGCCCACTGAGTTTCTCGTCGGATCTTCTCAGTGGGTCGCGTTTCCGATCCGGTGGTAGATTCTGCGAAGCACGGCTCTTGCTAGGGTTCGGGTTAGCAACGTCATCAGGTTTGACCCCCGTGAGCTCACCTACTAGTTAAGGCAACGCTGATATAGCCTCTCAATGCTATCAGCTTAGGTAGGAAAAAAAATCAAGGTCCGGGTCCCTAAATTTGTGGTGGGGGGAAAACGACCTTTCGGATTCTACTATTAACCCAGTTAACCTCTAACGACCCTAATCCCATTGAATATTGTTAAATTTTCTAACTGATCCGGCTAGTCTGAATCGCGCTAAGAACATTTACAAAATTAGTCTACATATATAAAAGTTCGAAATAAAGGTTTTTTTTTATTGCTTAGATGAGTGGACGAGCTCACAGCCCACCTGATGTTGAGTGGTTACTGGAGCCCATAGACATCTACAACGTAAATGCGCCACCCACCTTGAGATATAAGTTGTAAGGTCTCAAGTACAGTTGCAACGGCTGCCCCGCCCTTCAAACTGAAACGCATTACTGCTTCACTGCAGAAATAGGAAGTGTCTCCTCCGGTCACCGTTCTCGACGAAGCCGTCGTTACGACGAAGGAGTCGCCGAGCAAGTTAACACACAGCCCACTGAGTTTCTCGCCGGATCTTCTCAGTGGGTCGCGTTTCCGATCCGGTGGTAGATTCTGCGAAGCACTGCTAGGGACAGTGTTAGCTACGACCTCAGGTTTGAGCCCCGTGAACTCAGCTACTAGTTCGGTGAATCTAGAATAACCCCTCGAGGTTACTAGAATAGGTAGAAAAAATAAAGTTGTCTTCCGAGCTATACCGAGCTCGGTAGAAGATCTCATTCTTGCCCTTATCCTACGTCATGTGGGGTAGGTTTAGTATCTCCTCTCTAAATACTGTACAGCAACTTGGCACCAGTTGCCCGACCGGCCGTCTGCCCCATGTCGGTCCCCCTCGGGTTGTATCCCCAGTATTACGTCTCACCAGGTGCCATAGGGGGATCCTCTGTTTCTTCTCTTGATGTTTCTTTTACGTTACCCGTTTGTCGGATAAAATGCGTCTATGGAATAATAAATGATATGGAATAATTGCTTTTAGTAAACGAATTGAAATTATTCAAAAAAAATATGAATGAGAACAATTTGATTTGCGTTCTTACAAGGAAGACATTTGCACATTAGAATCCACGGGAATTTGTTGGGATATCTATGGACTTAAAGCATTTGAGTGTTTATGAACATAAATATTATTTATTGAATAAGTAGCTTTATACGGCTGCACAAACTTAGTCGGTCTTTTTAAAGACACTTCCCCCTCGAAGGACCAACACTTATCCTGACAATACCATTCGATTTTCAGGGATTCCATCGACGTTAAACTACATAGACAGGAGACACAGTAAAAAACTGGATCCACTTCTGAAGCCTTATCCAAATCCAGAGGAGGTCTCGTCTCTGACATCGGTATACCGGACTGCGATCGACTCGTGCGCCAGACTGTGGATGGTGGATACCGGACTGCTAGAGGTTCCCGGTATGTATACTAGACTGAGGTAATCCGACAGAGAACCAAAGTTATAGACATAGCGCAGCGAATTAGTAAGCTGAAGTGGCAATGGGCTGGCCATATTAGCCGGACATCCGATAACCGTTGGGGTAAACGCGTTCTTGAGCGGAGACCGCAAATTGGAAAACGCAATGCAAGACGCCCTCAGGCTCGGTGGAATCATCACTCCAGAACATCATCTGTGCAGGGTGGCTGGCAGGAACTGGATGAGAGAAGCCGAGGATCGTGCACAGTGGCAATTGGAGAGGCATATGTCCAGCATTGGACTGCTATAGGCTGATGATGATGATGATGATGATACCGGACTTTGCCGAACAACCATTGCGTCATAAACGTATAACAAAGACGTATTATATATGAGTCGACTATTATCAAAGCCAGCAATGTGACTTTTGGACAATTATTGGTAAATCAGAAAAACGAATTATTGACTTTGTATTCTATTGGCAGTTACAAAACTCTTCCGAACGACATCTTAGATAAATAACAGGTTATGTATTAACCTTTATTTAATGCAGGTTTTGAACCGTATTCTTTGAAGGAGACTATTATATTCAAATCAATCTGTATTGACATATCAATAACATTTTTTTGTCCAAATGCACAGATTGCCACCTTTGATAACAGACGACTCATATATGACGGAGAGAAGCTGGTTTCATGGTGTTTTTAAAATGTTTACGTCACGGTTGCTGACGCCATTCTCTTCATGGTGATAGTTATTAAGACTCACTTTTCCAACGAATTCCATTTTTTACATTTCAATTGTATACGATAACAACAGAGAGCTCCGCTCCGTTCGGCTCCTCGAGTCGGAACATAGATAATACACATAAATTAGTTATAGATAAGCAACTCAACTAGCTAAATAGCATAATCATTAAAATGTCGTAAAAGTCGTAAAGTATGTTAAACAAAATACAACCTTTATGTAAATACTGATAGGGTGGACTAGCGGCTATAGCAATTAATTAAAACGTAAATTAAATACTTGAAAACATTGTGTTGAATTGTATAAGAGAAAATATAATTCAGAATGACACCGCACATCAAAAGTAAAAGGAACATAATACAAATTCAAATATAGTGCATCATAGACAATTATACGTGGACAGCATCATGACCTTCCAACAAATACTAGTGGTCCCGCAGTAGTCGAAATTCGACTATAATTAATTGGAATTGTAAGTTTGTACACTATTATGATTGTATTTTATACTTCTATAATCACAAATTTCGCCAAAACTACACTATAAAAAATATTAACAAAGACAAACAATATTTAATCTCAATTTGACAACAGACGTCAAGAACAAAAGTTTGACTATAAATAGTATGCATGCGTGTGTGCGTCAAATACATGGTATGTAGTGCTATATACAGAGAAATTTTCATACTCGGAGTATGAAATTTTCCACACTTATTCCGCGCAATTTTCGTAAAAAGGGATACAAAGTTTTTGCTTCACGTATTAAAATATAGATGCCGATGGTGAGATTTAGGTAAATTTTGTTTCTTTCTTTTATCGCTAACAAACATTTCATTTCAGGTGCGAGAAGACAAGTGAAGCCACCCGCGATCCTGGCTTACAATTGGCTGACACATAAGCTGGATTTCAGATACGAACTGGATCCGAAGGTATTGGTTAATGAGCGAACTCCTGGTGGTACGTAATTTTCATTTTCTGATACACCTTAACGGATGATACACATCACGAGTTCGTTGATATTGACATATCTCGACATTGACACACTATGAAATTGTCGACATTGATACACTATGACATTGTCGACATTGACACACTATGAAATTGACGACATTGACACACTATGTAATTGACGAGATTGACACACTATGAAATTGACGAGATTGACACACTATAACTTTGATCAGATTGACACACTATGACGTTGACGAGATTGTCCCACTATGACATTGACGACATTGACACATTATGAAATTGTCGACATTGACACACTCTGAAATTGTCGATATTGATACACTATGAAATTGACGCCATTGGCACACTATGAAATTGACGAGATTGACACACTATGAAATTGACGAGATTGACACACTATAACTTTGATCAGATTGACACACTATGACATTGACGACATTGACACATTATGAAATTGTCGACATTGACACACTCTGAAATTGTCGATATTGATACACTATGAAATTGACGACATTGACACACTATGAAATTGACGAGATTGACACACTATGACATTGACGAGATTGACATCTAATAACTTTAAATAAACTAAGATTGACGGCATCACTAAACCATTGAGACATAGACCTCAAGTCTCAAGGTGGATGGCGGCAGTAACTTCGTGAGGTCCGTGGGCTACGGCAATCACTTAACGGCAGGTAGGCCGTGATACATATCTACGTCTACGCAGTAATAATAATAATAAAATAATAATAAATCCCTCAATACTCTAGCTATTTTCCTTACATTATATAGGTCTGACGTCGCTTACGATCGACGTGGAGCCGACTGCATGTGGCGAGGCGCACGCCTACATAACGGACTTGGCGACTAATGGCCTGATTGTCTTCTCTCTGGGAGCCCGAGCTTTCTGGAGGATCGACCACCCGAGCTTCGTTCATGACGAGAAAGCTTTGAACTTCACCGTAGCGGGTAAGTTCAAACTTCAAAAAGCACATATCGAGGGGCTTGAGCGACATTTTTGTAAATTCACAGGAGAACAATTTAAAGTTTAAAATTTAGAAAAAATATCGTTACAAAAAACACTTCTTCAATTATTCGAATGGAGTAATTTAATTGAAGTTCAATTAGAAACATCGAACTGTTGATGCTGATACCGAATAAGACCTTTAATTACAAAGATAAATTTCGCGTGTTAAATAAACCAAACAGTTTTTCACCCCTCGATATATAATTTTACTTATATATAATTAAGAAAAATAAGCCATCGCGGGAAGGCGGGCAGATGTGAAACATTGATATTATTTCATACAAGTATAGATGGTATGAAAAGATAGTTTACGACAGGAAATTCATGTGGCATACTCTATCTTCTATCTTCTATATATATAAAAATGAATTGCTGTTCGTTAGTCTCGCTAAAACTCGAGAACGGCTGGACCGATTTGGCTAATTTTGATCTTGAATTATTCGTGGAAGTCCAGCAAAGGTTTAAAAGGTAGATAAATATGAAAATGTTCGGAATTAAATAAAAATAACAATTTTGTTTTTCCTTTGATGTATCCCCCGTCGGACGGATTCCTTTTGATTGTTTTAAATTTATTTTATACAAAAGTTTAGGTCTTTTATTTATCGATTGAGGCACTACGAAATCTGCCGGGTCAGCTAGTGAAAAATAAAATATTAATATTAAGAAACTGTCGCTTGAGCATGGCGACGCGACGCCACATTACTACATATAAACTATATATGTATATACACTATCATATAGCGTCGCCACGTCAGCAATCAGTTTAAGTGCAGCTATAAAAAAAACGCGCTTAAATAGCATAACGAAATGATTAGCTAAGCTTATTTTAAAATCCTAACAATACTGGTCAGGCTATTTGGTCAAAGAGCTGAAACTATTACACCGTTATTGATTCTTGAAGAGCTTGCAAATACTCAAGTCAATCGGACGTCTTGAAGTCAGTGAAAATTACATTCAGAGATTCCATTACATGGATATATAGATACAGTAGGAACTAATGAGAAAAGCACGTTAAAAAAACACATCGTTGAGATATCATGGTTTAAATGGGGATTTCTTTGAAGTCACGAGAAATGAGATAATGATTTTATAAAAAAAGAAAAACAAGTATAAATAGAATCCGGGGGACGAGGGGGCCGAGGAGAAGCCAGGCCCCCCGCTTGTCCCCCAATGAATATTTAAAAAAACATTTGAAGGTGATCAATCCACCGCTTCGAGAGTCGATCTCGTACCAGTATCTCTCGTCTACCTGCCAAAGCAGTCTTTTGAAAAGCCGTTGGTATAAATTTGAGGATCGCGAGATGTCGTGGGTTAGATTCCCGCATCGGGCAAAGATTCGTGTGATGGACGGGTTTGTTTGCTTTTTGCCTGAGTTTTAATATCTATGTGTAAAAAAAAACATTTTTATTTAAAACCTCTTTTAGTTTTTTTAAAAAGGATTTTTCCTATATAGATTGACCGGTCATCGTCCTCGTCGAACCCGTCGCTTGCGACGAAGGGCTCGACGAGTGAATTAACTCACAGACACAGCCCACTGAGTTTCTCGCCGGATCTTCTCAGTGGGTCGCGTTTCCGATCCGGTGGTAGATTCTGCGAAGCACGACTCTTGCTAGGGTTCTTGTTAGCGACATCGTCAGGTTTGAGCCCCGCGAGCTCACCTACTAGTTCGGCGAATCTATTAGGTAGGAAAAAACCCCTTTGTATAGGACCAATTCCTCATGATCTTATTGTTTTTAGGCAATGTCATTAGCTGGAAAGATGGTTTGTTCAGCATCGCCTTATCCGATGTCGGTGGCAAGAGATTGGCATACTACCATCCCATGGTGTCGACTCACGAGTACGCCATAGACACGGCCGTCCTGAAGAATGGGGGAGCTGACTTCGACAAGGAGTATAAAGTAGGGGAACTTGAATATTTTAAGGGAGGGGATACCGTTACATAGTTATTTGGTTACGTAATGGCAACTGATAATACGTGTAATACGTGTAACATTCGCAGTGGTCCCAATATTCGTTTGCAGACATACTTGTCTTAGTGCTGTAACACAGTGGAAATGTTTACAGAGCTAATATAGGTTACAGAAATGGCTCTTAGAAATACATGAATGTTCACAGTGGTTCTATGTGGATGAATTGCTTAACCTTCGTTTTCACAGACTTCTCTTAGCACTGTAACACAGGGCAAATATTGACAGAGCTAATATAGGTTGCAGAAATGGTTACTAGAAATACATTTTTGTTCACAGTAGTTCCTATGTGGACATTCTTTAACCTTAGTTTGCAGAAAGATTTTTATTAGCGCTGTAACACAGGGGAAATATTCACAGAGCTAACAGGTTACAGAAACGATGTCTTATGTTTGTGTGCGTCCGATTATCCCAGCAGGTCTTATTTAATTAAACCCCCCTCCCCCCCGCCGGCACTTCCAGGTGTTGGGGAGCCGTGGTCCGCTGTCCCAGAGCGGGATACACTCCCACCACGCAGCGAGTAGTGTATTGTTCTACGCGAATGTCGCCCGGGATGGGATCGTCTGTTGGAACACGAAGAAACCGCTCGTCGAGGAGAATGTCGCTCTGGTCGTTCAGGATCGAGAGAAGCTGCTCTATATCACCGGTGTGTACGCGCCTTAACTCGGAGAGACCCTTAGGCTGTGTACATACATACGTGTATACGCAGCTTGGTACAGTGCTGCGATATGACGAGCCTTCATTGAAGTCGTCAGGGCAAAAGTGGCTTACCTAAGCTTACCATAGTTAATATGGAGATAACGAGGTGTGAATTTACGAATACAATGGTTCGCAAGCAAAAACAAAAAAAAAATGTACAGAGCCACCTGTATGCCGCCTATTGTACAAACACCACCGCCCCGCCTATTTCTGCCGTGAAGCAGTAATGCGTTTCGGTTTGAAGGGTGGGGCAGCCGTTGTAACTATACTTGAGACCTTAGAACTTATATCTCAAGGTGGGTGGCGCATTTACGTTGTGGATGTCTATGGACTCCAGGAACCACTTAACACCAGGTGGGCTGTGATTTCGTCCACCCATCTAAGAAAAAAAAAAAAACCTGTCTGCTTTTTGACTGTTTTTAAATGTAAATTATGTTTTGGTGCGTAATAAAGTGTATTCTCTACGCCCTTCCCTACCCCCCTCTCTCCCTCTCTCTTTCTGCCTCCCTCTCTTCCTGTTTCGCTCTCTCTCTCTCCCCGCTCCCCCCCTCCACATCTCCCCTCTCCCTCTCTCTCATCTATGGTTGAAACTATATATATATATATATATGTATAGGCCAGTTTTGCATCAACATTTATGTTTTAAAAAATGTCATAAAGGACGAATATGAAAAATGGTGGGTTAGGCCATTTTTGCGCTGACAGCTTCAATTAAACAGGCCGCTCTTCGAATGGGAAGGAATGGGAAGGAATTAGCTCTACGCGGCAGAAATAGGGGGGCAGATTTTTTTTTATTGCCTTGTAGGCAGACGGGCATACCCACACCTGATGGTGAGTGGTCATCGCCCATGGACATCAGCGGTGCCAGGGGCAGAGCCGAGCCGCTGCCTATCGTTGGTACCCAAGGCGCTCCAACAATTTCTCAGGATAATATAATTGCATAAACAAAAACGTTTGTTCGGCACTCGAAGGAACGTTTTTGTCTTGATCCAAGTGACCAAGGTCCACAGTAACAGCCAACCTGGTGTTAAGCGGTTACTGGAGCCCATAGACATCTACGACGTAAATGCGCCAGCCACCTTGAGATATAAGTTCTAAGGTCTCAAGTATGTTTTCAACGGCTGCCCCGCCCTTCAAACCGAAACGCATTACTGCTTCACGGCAGAAATAGGCAGAATGGTGGTACCCACCCGCGCGGACTCACAAGAGGTCCTACCACCACAAAAACACCGCAGGGTGTCGGGGGGGGGGGGTCGTTCTAGAAGAGGTACGGAACTCGAGCCTGATGTACCAGCTCACGGCCCACCCTCTATTAAGTGGTGTCCGGAACCAATAAAGATAAGTGTACCCCGCGACCAACCAGAAACTGCCCGTCACATTGTAATTGGTCCCGGTCGTCCATGGACAATACCAGAGCCGATAGCCTTGCGCTCGGCTCGAACGCGAGTTACTCAATCGATGGACGTTCCCGATTTTCAGATTTAGCGATAAGGCAGAATGAGCTTTACGTGTTGGTCAATAAAATGCCAGTTTTCGTCTTTTCAATGTTGAACAAAGAAGAATACAATTTCTTCGTGCACAGGTGAGGTCCGTGGTCCGCATTCGATAGTGTCATAATTTTATTAAATAATATCTATACTTCTATACTAATATTATAAAGAGGAAATATTTGTTTGTATTGAATAGGCTCCGAAACTGCTAAGCCGATTTGAAAAATTCTTTCACTATTTCGAAGCTACACTATTCCCGAGTGACATAGGCTATATAATATAATATTATTTGGAAAAATTAAGAATCCTTACTAAAACTCCAATAATGTAACCCAAGGTGTAAAAAAATTACCTAAAATATTCTTTACATCGCGTGCCCTGCTAAAACTATTGATGATAGAATAAAATAATGTACTACGACTTTGTAGAACACATTATTATTTACAAAAAGTCTCGCGACAGCATATGTCTAACTATTATAGTTATGCCGCAATAAGTGTTCTTTTATTTAAAAAAATAAAACAACGTCAAATATCGTTGAAATTTTTGTTAAAGACACGAGCGAAGCCGGAGCGGGCCGCTTGTATGTTTTATAACTGAATCTGTTTAATGCATATAGTGCATAACTTTAGAACGCCGGCAGCAAATTTGTCAGAAGGAAATAGACAGGGCGGTGGTACCTACCCGTGCGGACTCACAAGAGGTCCTACCACCAGTAATTACGCAAATTATAATTTTGCGGATTTGATTTTTATTACACGATGTTATTCCTTCACCCTGGAAGTCAATCGTGAACATTAAAATTTGTCAAGTACATATTTCATTAGAAAAATTGGTACCCGCCTGCGGGATTCGAACACCGTTGCATCGTCTCAACACGTATGCACCAGACGTCTTATCCGTTAGGCCACGACAACTTCTAGGCTAATATAAAATATGGCAGCATTTACATTTTTTATTGCTAACCAGTAAAAACTGTTTTAATTTTTCTTTTAATATCATTTTCAGCGGACAAGTTTACGATCTAATCAAAGGAACTGTTTGTGATAATTAAATGATTTTATTTATTTAATATTAATGTTCACTTCAAGAGCACATCGTCTAGATATAATTGCGCGGAATTCGCATTAGTCGCGAAATTAGATTAAGAAACTTCTCAAGAAAAAACAGCGCTTACCGATCCCAGAAGTGAGATACACAGAATAAGACTTGATTGAATAAATAAAACTTTAAGGATCAATTTTGTTTCATTTTCATTTTTTAATTGCCTTTTTTATTTAGTATTTAGATGGATGCACGAGCTCACAGCCCACCTGATATCAAATGGTTACCAGAGCCCATAGACATCTACAACGCAAATGCGCCATCCACCTTGAGATATCAGTTCTAAGGTCTCAGTATAGTTACAAACTTACAACGGCTGCCCCACCCTTCAAACCGAAACGCATTACTGCTTCACGGCAGAAATAGGCAGGGCAGGCAGGTACCACCCTACCCGCGCGGACTCACAAGACGTCCTACCAGCAGATTGAAACCAGTTTTATTCAAATATTTAGCTTTACATGTCATTTGAATAACTTGAATTCTATTAATTTATTTTCAGTCTGACAATAATAAATTAGGTTATTATTAATTTTTCGACTCCAAAATATGTAGTTTGGAATAGTTTAGCATTTTGAACGATTTTCCTGCACATAAATATTAGGTATAAAAAATCTGTTTTTTTTTGGAATCATAAATTACTTTATCAAATTAAATAACTTAATTCTATATAATGCTGCTTTATCTAATCTATTTTTATGATGTACTAGTGGTCCACCAGTAGTCGAAATTTGACTATAATTAGTAATAGGTACTAGTACGCAGTACTAATTATAGTACCAGTACCTAAGTACCGAGATGAGAGCGTCGTTAAATCCTAACTATTTATAGGGTTTGAAGGTTGGGGCAGCCGTTGTAACTATACTTGAGACCTTTGAACTTATATCTCAAGGTGTGTGGCGCATTTTACGTTGTGTATGTCTATGGGCTCCAGTAACCACTTAACACCAGGTGGGCTGTGAGCTCGTCTAAGCAATAAAAAAAATATTAAAAAAAATCTTTTTCAATTTATGTTACAATTTTCATTACATTATCATATTATATGGGTTTTTTTTTTGTTGCTTTGATGAGTGGACGAGCTCACAGCCCACCTGGTGTTAAATGATTACTGGAACCCATAGACATCTATAACGTAAATGCGCCACCCACCTTAAGATATAAGTTCTAAGATCTCAGTATAGTTACAACGGCTGCCCCACCCTTCAGACCGAAACGCATTACTGCTTCACAGCAGAAATAGGCAGGGTGGTGGTATCTATCCGTGCGGACTAACAAGAGGTCCTACCACCAGTAATTACGCAAATTATAATTTTGCGGGTTTGATTTTTATTACACGATGTTATTCCTTCACCGTGGAAGTCAAACGTGAACATTTGTTGAGTGCGTATTTCATTAGAAAAATTGGTACCGGCCTGGGATTCGAACACCGGTGCATCGCTCAACACGAATGCACCGGACGTCTTATCCTTTAGGCCACGACGACTTAATGTCGGAGACGGTCATTAGTTTGGTAACAAAACGAAGCGTAAAATGATTCCCGAGAGGTGACAACACAATGGTAATGTCGTCGGAACTCGGCAACTTCATGCTACGACAAAGCTTAGCCGATGGAGGCACGCAGAGACACCATCAGAACCCTGAAACTGCGATACTCTAAGACAAATATTTTTTTTTGTATGGAAACTAGCGACATCTTGTAGCGGATGCCCCTAAACTTATATGTTGTTAAAAACACGTGTGGCACTCGGGGACTGCCGCAGTAAAGCTATTGCATAGCATTTTTTCAACTTATGCGATTATAATTAGACAATAATAAATTAATATTAAAACAATAATAAAATAAGACCACGCCATGTTTATAAACATTAACTGTCCTCTTCACACTCATAAGCTAGAACGCGCGAGAGAGAGATCGGCAGACTTTTCATGATGCGCATACAGTGCGACGTCGCGCCGCGCGCTTATTCACAAACACTACACAAGCGCAACGTGTGAATGTCTTGAACGCGAGCTACATGATAGACGAAGTGGGGGTGTTAGGTTTTATTTTCGTTACGGAATTTCTTGAATCGGTCGCCGCGTTCAAAGCCCGCGATAAAAGCTATGCAGTAGCTTAAAAATCAAGACGTGTGATTGACTTGACAATTCGCGCACGCTAAAAGGACTTAAGACGTCATAATAATATTATGAACTTCGCTCAAAGATCCTGACCGATAAAGAAACAGATGAACTAAGTTTTTATTTCGATTTAAATCGACCGATTTTTAGTTTTTAAATTACCTACCATTAATTTTATTTAAATTCTAGTATATTTGCTATTCAAAAAAAAAATCTGAATATTTTTACGTGTAATATAATGCTTTTTCAAAGTTTTCCTTATTAAACGAGTTAAAACTGAATTAGAACAAGTGCTTCCGCGTTTTTGAAGTGAAACTTCTTTATCGGCGTTGGAAAAAAATTTACCGTCACATTTTTCGGTTACGCGTCACATTTTTCCGTTACGCGCCATCTTTTTTGTATTCATGTCTATGATAATAAAATCCTTTTGTTTAAACTTTATCTAATTTAACTTTTTTGTATTCATGTCTATGATAATAAAATCCTTTTGTTTAAACTTTATCTAATTTAACTTTATTTAACCAATTTCTAGAAAGTTGCATGTAGATCATTTTTCGAAAAATAAGGCCATAAAGAAGTTTCACTTCTTACGTGTGTACACTAGTACACGCACACATTTTTTTTAATTGAAACTTCCTTATCGGCGTTGGAAAAAAATTTACCGTCACATTTTTCGGTTACGCGTCACATTTTTCCGTTACGCGCCATCTTTTTTGTATTCATGTCTATGATAATAAAATCCTTTTGTTTAAACTTTATCTAATTTAACTTTATTTAACCAATTTCTAGAAAGTTGCATGTAGATCATTTTTCGAAAAATAAGGCCATAAAGAAGTTTCACTTCTTACGTGTGTACACTAGTACACGCACACATTTTTTTTTTGTTTTTTTTTATTGCTTAGATGAGTGGACGAGCTCACAGCCCACCTGGTGTTAAGTGGTCACTGGAGCCCATAGACATCTACGACGTAAATGCGCCACCCACCTTGAGATATAAGTTCTAAGGTCTCAAGTATAGTTACAACGGCTGCCCCACCCTTCAAACCGAAACGCATTACTGCTTCACGGCAGAAATAGGTTGGGTGGTGGTACCTACCCAGACTCACAAGAGGTCCTACCACCAGTAATTGACCAGCGTCCAAATTGACTTAGCATACCTACATATTTTAGGTATTTTAAATTTTTGAAAACACGTAAATTTGACTAGCTCCGTGGCGCAATAAATAGCAGCCATTACTGTTGCGGCATGGGTCGTGGGTTCGATTCTCGCATCGGGCAAAACGTTCGTGTGATGAACAGACACGCTTGCTGTTTGTCTGGGTGTTCATTATCTATATATCATCATCATCATCATTTCAGCCTATCGCCGTCCACTGCTGAACATAGGCCTCTCCAATAGATTTCCAGTGCGACCGGTCCATTGCCACCTGCATCCAACGAGACCCAGCGCTTTTTACTAGGTCGTCGGTCCATCTAGTAGGTGGCCGTCCCACACTGCGCTTGCCAGTACGTGGTCGCCACTCCAGGATCTTTCTGCCCCATCGACCGTCCTCTCTTCGTGCTATGTGGCCGGCCCATTGCCACTTCAGTTCACTAATTCTACGGGCTATGTCAGCAACCTTCGTTCTTCTACGGATCTCCTCATTTCGGATTCGATCACGTAGAGAAATGCCGAGCATAGCCCTCTCCATAGCTCGCTGCGCGACTTTGAGCCTTCTAAAAAGATCCCTAGTGAAGCACCACGTCTCCGAGCCGTAAGTCATCACTGGTAACACACATTGGTTGTACGCCTTTGTCTTAAGGCACTGAGGTATTTTGGACGAGAAGACGTTGTGCAGTTTACCGAACGCTGCCCAGCCGAGTTGGATCCGTCTACTGACCTCTCTCTCAAAGTTGGACCTACCTAATCGGACTGCCTGTCCTAGGTATATATATTCGTCAACAACTTCAAGAGTAGAGCTCCCAACAGTAACTATGGTGGGTGCAACATGGACATTGTACATGATTTTTGTTTTGTCCATGTTCATTTTAAGACCCACTTGTTGAGAAACCCTACTGAGGTCACCGAGCATACGCCCTAAATCTTCCAGCGACTCTGCCATGACCACGATGTCATCGGCAAACCGAAGATGAGTGATGTATTCGCCGTTAATATTGATGCCAAGTCCTTGCCATTCCAGAAGCTTGAAGGAATCCTCCAGAGCAGTGATAAACAGTTTCGGAGATATCACATCTCCCTGTCTCACTCCTCTCTTTACAGGGATTTCCTTCGTGCAATGCTCCTGTACTCGGACTGACATGGTGGCGTTATTATACAAACACTTCAATACTTCGATGTACCGGTGGTCAATACGGCACCGCTGGAGAGATCTAAGGACCGCCCATGTTTCGACGGAATCAAAGGCTTTCTCATAGTCCACAAACGCTAAGCATAATGGCCGATTGTACTCTTTGTCTTTATTTTGTATCTATATATGTATATATTGAACTGTATATAAGTTTGTATGTCAGCCTCTGGTACTTATAACACGGGGAATCCTAAATTGGGACCGGCTGACCGTGCGTGATTTGTTCAAATTAAATCTGATATGAACTGGTGGTAGGACCTCTTGTGAGTCCGCACGGGTAGGTACCACCACCCTGCCTATTTCTGCCGTGAAGCAGCAATGCGTTTCGGTTTGAAGGCTAGTGCATCCGTTGTTACTATACTGAGATCTTAGAACTTATATCTCAAGGTGGGTGGTGCATTTACGTTGTAGATGTCAATGGGCTCCAGTAACCACTTAACACCAGGTCGGCTGTGAGCTCCTCCAACCGTCTAAGCAATAAAAAAAAGCATGTATGTATATATTTTTTCTTTTTTTCCTACCTATACTGATAAGCTTGAGAGGCTATATTAGCGTTATCAGACGTGTTCGCGACGGACATAAAGAAACATAGTTAGAATAAGATATTCCCGAACGGACATAAATGATTGAAAATAGTTAAATAGATATTGTTCGCGATGCACATAGATAGTTGTAAAATAATAGAAAATGTCCGCGATAAATAAATAGAGAATAAATAGATAATACGTTAAAACAGAAATGTCCGTAAATAGATACGCTAGAATAGGAATATGTTCGCAAGTACAGCTAGATTTAATAGAAATAGAGATAGTCAGTATGTTAAAAATAGTTAGCATACAAATGTAAATAGAAATAAGTTAATTTGTAAATGTTATTTTGTAAATAAAGATTGGTCCTCGTGGTCTTTAATTTGGCGTGGGAACGCAGGAGCGAGTCACAATACGGGCAACTAATAGAGCGACTAGGCAAACAATAGGCGAGCGAGGCGGCCGAGAGAACAATAGACGCCCACCGTGCTCGGACTCATAATAGCGCTGGCCGAGTGCGCGTGGGCGACCATAAATAAGGGGCCTACCTCGCTGCAAATTCAGTTCGAGACAGCGAGCCGACGAGTCAAGACCTCTCCAGAAGAAGAGGAGAGAGCCGTCGAACAAGAAGAGACTCGCTCCTACGCCCTGCGCCGGTCAAGCCACGAGGACCGTGTGAACGCCATACTTGAAGCCTTCGTTATTTTCCTCGAACCAATCCCAGCACCCGTTCCGCGACAGCCACTGCGGCAATACTCGAGCCACCACGTTTCAACGAGAGTAAGAAGTCTAAAAATCACACGTGGTGGCCGAAACCTGAGCGGTGGCCGTCCGGAATATTGGTCCTTCGAGAGCCGGATTCATTTGAGGAAGATCGAAGAAAATTGAAGATTGAAGATTGAAGAAATGGTGCTCACACGGTCCGAGAAGATGAGGTCGTCACGCCTTGACCGGCCCGGCAACGAAGCTGTCTCGGGCTCAACATCGCAAGACGCACAGCAACGAGCTGTGTCGGCCGCGCCGCGTTCGGGAGTGACGCAGGGACCGCCACCGATGGCGGCAACCTCCTCCCAGTCAACCGCGCCGCGTTCGGGAGTGACGCAGGGACCGCCACCGATGGCGGCACCCTCCTCCCAAGTGGAAAAGTGTCCGGGAGTGCCGCGGGGCTCACAAGCGATGCCCCCCTCCCGCCAAATATTGCCTACGCAATACTCGCCGGCGTCGCCAACGGGACCGAACAGCGGGGTCTGTCGTCGAGTGGTCAGACCTCCCAGCACCGCGACACCGGCAACAACTTCAGGCGACGCAGCAACGGAGAGCGTCGTATCCGCGAGCCAGAACAGGAAGGAGTCAGCGCTCACGGCCAATCAAATTGTACACGGGTCCCACATCACGGACGCCGCTGCCAAAATCTCGACGACAGAAGAAGGCTCCACACTCCGCGACGGGATGGCGCCACCAGTACGAGGATCTTCAAGAAAGTCGAGTCAACAGTCACAACGGCTGTTGCTTATGGCGCGCCTCAAAGAAGAGCATCTTCGCGCCAAAGAAGAACAAGCCCGACTCCAAGCAGAGCTCGCCGCCGCCCGCATCTCAACATTAGAAGCCGAAGCGCTCGTTGAAGAGGAGGAAGATGCGCGCACAACACTCACGGAGGACGAGAACGAGCAATCACAGCGCATCGATACATGGCTCAGTCAGCAACGATCGATCGCGCTACAGGGAGTCGAAGAAAGAGTAATGCAGCCAACACACGGATCACCAGCCACCATCGAGCAACCGCAACTGGAACTTCCCGCACCAATAGAACAGCTGAAGCTACCGGCCCCTGCCGCGGCACCGATTGCCGCACCTGTCGCACCGAAGAGCGACATCGCCGAACTAGCAGCTGCCATCGCGACGGCCGCCCGCCAAGCCAGGCCCGGACCATCGCATCGGTACTACGGGGAGCTTCCAGTGTACAGTGGATCGCACCAAGAATGGCTCTCCTTCAAGGTCGCCTACGCCGAATCAGCGGACAGCTTCAGCGCCGCAGAGAACACTGCGAGACTTCGGCGTACGTTGAGAGGAAGAGCAAGAGAAGCGGTCGAAAACTTGTTGCTGCATTACACCGAGCCCGCCGAGATCATGCGGACTCTAGAATCGCGCTTCGGACGTCCAGAAGCAATCGCCGCAACGGAGCTGGAACGACTGCGCGCGCTGCCACGCTGCACGGACACACCGAGGGACATCTGCGTATTCGCGAATAAGGTGAACAACGTCGTCGCCGCTCTGAGGGCCCTCGACCGCGTACATTATATGTACAACCCGGAGCTCACCAACATCACATCGGAGAAGCTGCCGTCCACTCTACGCCACCGCTGGTTCGAATTCTCAGCGACTCAACCGGCGGGAGAACCGGACCTCGTCAAGCTGTCGCGCTTCCTGCAACGCGAGGCGGACCTGTGCAGCCCATACGCACAGCCGGAGCCAGAGACGAGAGTGGAGAACACCAGCGGTCGGCGGAAGATGGTGAACACGCCTCAGAGGACGCACACCACGCAAGCGAAGGAAGAGAGGAAATGCGCAGCATGTCAGAAGCCGGGGCACATCCCACAAGATTGTCCCGAATTCAAGAGAGCAGCCGTCAGCGAGCGCTGGGATACGGCGAAGCGCGAGAATTTGTGTTTCCGGTGCCTACGGTTCCGGTCCCGGGGACACGTATGCAAAAAGAAGAAGTGCGGCGTCGACAGCTGTGAACGCACGCACCACGAGCTGTTGCATAAGAAGCCAGCATGGCAGAAGCCGAAAGAAAAAGAAGAGGCGGTCACCTCGACGTGGGCCGCAAGAAGTGCGACAGCCTACCTAAAGATGGCGCCAATTACTGTTATCGGACCGGCGGGAGAAGCAGATACATGGGCCCTGCTGGACGACGGGTCAACGATCTCGCTGATTGACGAAGACTTCGCGAGACGAGTGGGCGCCAAAGGACCGATTGAACCCCTCTTCATCACTGCCATCGGAGACAATAAGATAGACGCAACACGCTCACGACGCGTCCCGCTGAAGCTATGCGGACGCACGGGGGAACCGCAAGAACTGAACCTACGGACAGTCAACGGCTTAAAATTAACACCACAGCGACTGAACATCGAAGTCCTCGCGTCGTGCCATCACCTCACCGACCTCCGCCATCACTTCAAAACGAGCTACGCCTCGCCGAAGATCCTGATCGGCCAAGACAACTGGCACCTGCTGGTGACGGAGGAGATGCGGACGGGACGACGCGATCAACCAGTGGCGTCTCGTACTCCGCTCGGGTGGGTCGTGCACGGAGCACACCCGGGAGGCAAGAGACAGCGCGTCAACTTCGTGGCACACGCGACGACGGCCGACGCGAACATGGACGAAGCCCTCAGGCACTACTTCGCGATCGAGGGACTCACCGTCGCCGCCAAGACGCCAAAGAATGACCCAGACGAGCGCGCGCTGAAGATCCTGAGAGAGACCACTCATCAGCAACCCGACGGCCGCTACGAGACCGCACTGCTGTGGCGTGAGGAGGGCCTGAAGATGCCCAACAATTTTGAAGCCGCGCTGAATCGCCTGACGTCCGTAGAGAAGAAACTGGAGAAGGATCCAAATTTGAAAGAGCGCTACAAGCAACAAATGGACGCACTGGTAGCGAAAGGATACGCCGAAGTAGCTCCGTCAACGGGGACGAAGGACCGAACCTGGTACCTGCCGCACTTCGGCGTAACACATCCAATGAAGCCGGACAAGATTCGCATCGTGCACGATGCCGCTGCGAAGACCAGGGGGAAGAGCCTCAACGACTTCCTGCTCACCGGCCCGGACCTGCTGCAGTCTCTGCCTGGAGTGATGATGCGCTTCAGGCAGCACGCCGTCGCCGTCTCAGCGGACATCACAGAGATGTTCATGCAAATAGGCGTCCGAAGCGAGGACCGCGACGCGCTCCGGTACTTGTGGAGGGAGGACCCTTCACAGGAGCCTACAGAGTACCGGATGAAATCTATAATCTTTGGCGCGACAAGCTCACCCGCGACCGCCATCTACGTGAAGAACGCCAACGCGGAGAAGTACCGACTGCAGTACCCGGACGCCGCCGACGCAATCGTACGCAACCACTATATGGACGATTACCTGGGAAGTTACCGGACAAGCGAAGACGCGATCAGGATCGCAAATGAGGTGAGGGCAGTACACCGGCAAGGCCATTTCGAGTTACGAAAATGGACCTCGAACAACGAGGAGGTACGGTGCCACATGACCGACGAAGCCCCACCTACAAGTGTGACGCTGTCCGATGGAACGGAAATAGAACGAGTACTTGGCCTGGTGTGGAGACCTGCTGAAGACGTCCTCGCCTTCAATCTGGACATGGCGCGAATCCCAAAAGAAGTCTTGGAGAGCAGCGCGCCTACGAAGAGACAGGCTCTGCGAATAATGATGTCCGTCTACGATCCCCAAGGCATCGCATCACCAGTCACTGTCGGAGCGAAGAAGATCCTGCAAGAAACGTGGCGCCGAGGGACGGCGTGGGACTCCCCCCTCGATGAAGACCTCTGCGCGATGTGGAGAGAGTGGATCGACCACTTAAGACGCCTGCGCGGCGTCTCAGTGCCGCGCTGCTATCCCGGCTACTCAGACGCCGCCAACCTCCAGCTCCACACATACGTAGACGCCAGTGAGTCCGCCTACGCCGCCGCGTTATACTGGCGCGCCGAAATGCCCGACGGGGAGATCAGGACCTCCCTCGTACTCGCCAAAGCCCGAGTCGCGCCCTTGAAACTCACCTCGATACCGCGCCTCGAGCTACAAGCTGCCGTGATGGGCAGCCGCATGGCCGCGGCTGTCACAGAGGAACACGACAGAAAACCAGACGCGAGAGTGTTCTGGACAGACAGCGCCACCGTATTGACCTGGCTACGAACGGGGTCGAGGTCGTATCGACCGTTCGTCGCTCACCGCATTGCAGCGATAGAAGAGAACAGCACTGTGGAGGAATGGCGCTGGGTCCCCACGAAGGAAAATGTCGCCGACGACGCCACTAGAGAGCTACCCGTCGGCTTTGAAAGAAACCACCGCTGGTTCATAGGCCCGGAATACCTAAGACGGCATCCGGATGATTGGCCCGTACAACGGACTGCAAGAAGGGCAGAAGAGACGGGCGAAGAGAAGTGCGCAACGCTCGCCGTGAGCAGAGAGAGCCTCGGCGAAGCGATCCCGGACCCAAGACGCTTCTCCAAGTGGGAGAAGTACCTGCGTGCAACGGGGCGAATACTGCAATTCGTCGACCTATGCCGCAGAAGTCGCGAGCGCACTCATTACAAGAGGACCAGACGGAACCCGCGTTCGGACCCGACGTGGGAGAAGAATAGAAAGAAGACGACTTCGAAGACCCCGCTGAACACACCGCGGACGCCAGAGCAAGCAGTCATTCAATGGAAGACTTTAGACGCCGACACGCTTCGACGCGCCGAGACGCTCATTTGGCAACAGAGCCAGCGGGCGGCCTTCGAGGAAGAGATTTTGACGCTCCAGCGAGGGAAACAAATATCCCCAGCGAGCCGACTGCGAAACTTGTCCGTAACTTACGCGGACGGGATATTGAGAATAAACGGACGCATCGGCAACATAGAGGGAGCTGACGTCATCACCTCGCCTCTCGTGCTAGACGGATCCCGACGCGAAACGAGACTGATGATAGACTTCATCCATAGAAAGATGCACCACGCCGGAACCGAAGCCACGATCGCCGAGTGCCGACAGTCGTACTGGGTCTTACGCCTACGCCCAGTGACACGGAGCGTAATCCACAACTGTCTTCCGTGTCGTATCCGCAAGGACACTCCACCGCGTCCAGCCACAGGCGATCACCCACCGAGCAGACTGGCACACCATCGGCGACCATTTACATACGTGGGCCTCGATTACTTCGGGCCCTATCAAGTGACCACCGGCAGAAGCACCCAGAAGCACTACGTGGCCATCTTCACATGTCTCACTACGCGTGCGGTGCATTTAGAACCGGCAGCGAGCCTCAGCACGGACTCAGCAGTGATGGCACTCCGGCGCATGATCGCGCGCCGGGGAGCTCCGACGGAAATATGGAGCGACAACGGCACCAATTTACGGGGTGCCGACAAGGAGCTGCGCCAAGCTTTAGACAAGGCGACCGAGCATGAAGCGAGCTTAAGGCTTATACAATGGCGCTTCATCCCACCGGGCGCGCCTTTCATGGGCGGCGCCTGGGAGAGAATGGTGCGGGCGGTAAAGGCCGCGCTCTCGGCCACGGAACAGCCGAGGCACCCGACGCCCGAAATATTTCATACTCTGCTAGCAGAGGCAGAGTTCACAGTGAACAGCCGACCTCTCACCCATGTATCGGTGAGCGCCGACGATCCCGACCCTCTGACACCGAACCACTTCCTGCTGGGAGGCCCGGCGCGAGTCCCCGTGCCGGGCAAGTTTGACGACGCCGACCTCATAGGGCGCGCACACTGGCGCGCAGCACAACGTCTGGCAGATGTGTTCTGGAGTCGCTGGCTCCGGGAGTACCTGCCCGACCTGCAGAACCGGCGGGAGCCCCACAGCCGCGGGCCCGCCCTGAAGATAGGCGACGTCGTGATAATAGCAGACGGAACGCTCCCACGGAACACCTGGCCACGTGGGATCATCCAGGAGGTTTACCCGGGGGCCGACGGCATCACTCGAGTGGTCGACGTGCGCACCGCCGGCGGTATATTGCGACGCCCGGCAAAGAAGATCATCGTGCTGCCCACGATGTCCGCCGCTCACCAGGGAGGATGCAGCGACGTGAACGACGCTGCACGGCGGGAGGATGTTCGCGACGGACATGAATAAATGTAGAATAGATATTATTCGCGACGGACATTGATAGTTTAAAAATAGATAGAAAATATAGTAATAGTTAAATAGAGATATGTTCGCAAAGTACAGCGAGATTTAATAGAAATAGACAATGTCCGTAAATAGACTGTGTGTTAAAAATAGTTGTAACATAAAATAGAGTGTAAACATAGTAAATATAAATGTCCGTAATAAATAGAGATAGTTAAAAATAGATATAAGTAAATTTGTAAATATTTGTTTGAAAATAAAGATTGGTCCTCGTGGTCTTTAATTTGGCGTGGGAACGCAGGAGCGAGTCACAATACGGGCGACTAATAGAGCGACTAGGCAAACAATAGGCGAGCGAGGCGGCCGAGAGAACAATAGACGCCCACCGTGCTCGGACTCATAATAGCGCTGGCCGAGTGCGCGTGGGCGACCATAAATAAGGGGCCTACCTCGCTGCAAATTCAGTTCGAGACAGCGAGCCGACGAGTCAAGACCTCTCCAAAAGAAGAGGAGAGCGCCAACAGAACAAGAAGAGACTCGCTCCTACGCCCTGCGCCGGTCAAGCCACGAGGACCGTGTGAACGCCATACTTGAAGCCTTCGTTATTTTCCTCGAACCAATCCCAGCACCCGTTCCGCGACAGCCACTGCGGCAATACTCGAGCCACCACGTTTCAACGAGAGTAAGAAGTCTAAAAATCACACGTGGTGGCCGAAACCTGAGCGGTGGCCGTCCGGAATAAGACGAGTAGGTGGTTTTGCTTAGACGCGGATTAGTTGAAGTGGTGATTGAGGTGTATAGAACCATGCATCACAGCTGGAATGTCGTTTGATTTGAAAGATTAATGATGTCTGGTTTTGGAATACAGTAATTACGAAAATTACAACTGTAGCGTGAATTAGTAATGTATTGGTTTTTTTTTTCGTATTTAGTTGTAATTCAAGTTGGGTATTTAATTGGAAAAATTAGTTACATGTCTGTGATAAAAAAAAAACCCTTACCTAAGCTGATGGTCTTGAGAGTCCATTTTAGCGTAACCTTCTATCTACCACCGGATCGGAAACGCGACCCACTGAGAAGATCCGGCGAGAAACTCAGTGGGCTGTGTCTGTGGGTTAATTTACTCGCCGAGCCCTTCGTCGCAAGCGACGGGTTCGACGAGAACGATGATCGGTGCTTGTGGTACCTAAAAGCGCCGTTAATGGATCGGGAGGATCCGAAATGACGTGTTTAGGGCGACGTCGACTGTTTACCATTCGGTCCGCAGGATCGGTTATGTAAACATGTATAGGGGTAAGTAAGATCGACTTTAGGAATTTGTCTTCACGCTTTATGACAGTAAGTGAGTTTACAATACGTACCGACTTAATCTTAGCTTGAAAATGTTTTCAATATATCGCCTAAACACGAATTCCGAAATATAACATTCATAGCGTCAACATCCTCAATGTCGCTTTTTTATTGCTTAGATGGTTGGATCAGCTAGCGGCCCACCTGATGTTAAATGGTTACTGGAGCCCATAGATCTACAAGGAAATGCGCCACCCACCTTGAGATATAAGTTCTAAGTTTTCAGTATAGTTACAACGGCTGCCCCGCCCTTCGAACCGAAACGCACTACTGCTTCACGGCAGAAATAGACAGGGCGGTGGTACCTACCCGCGCGGACTCACAAGAGATCCTACCACCAGTAAAGACGACTCTCTCTTCACACACAACGTAAGCCTTCCGCTTAATATTCGCCATTAAATTTAATACAACTTCCATAAATAAATAAACGGCACGTACCAGCCGATCGTGAAGTCATATATCACACGGACCTGTCCATGAACCGACTTCACCGAGATCAACAATGGAAAATTACGGTCGGATATTCAAATTCTTAAAGCGGGTAGGAGCAGCGCTAGGGAGGGGAACGTTTAATAAATCTATCGATAAAACTTTATCGATCAGGCTTCGGGTCCCTCGCTTGCGTCGATAAACCTCACTGCTGAGGGTCGCGGCCTCATGAGGCTTTCTTGTGAAAATATACTCATGAGGCTTTCTTGGGAAAATATACTCATTAGCCTTCTTGAACAAAAATACTCATGAGGCTTTCTTGGGAAAATATACTCATGAGGCTTTCTTGGGAAAATATACTCATAGACTTTCTTGAGAAAATACACATGATGGGGTCCCGCGTCTTTCCACGGCAGTGCTTTTGTAAGAGATTTCGTTTTTGGAGATCGCTGAAGCTTTATTTGGGTCCGGCTAATTAACCGCCGCCCGATATTCGGCGTTGACAGACAGGGAAGGTCGAACTCCAGCTAAACCTTCCTCTTTTCTCCTCCAGGCTTAGGACCGGCATTGGCAGAGTTAAAACGCTTCGGGAATATCACGTGGAATATTTTTTTCTTTATTTTATTTTTTATTGCTTAGATGGGTGGACGAGCTCACAGCCCATAGACATCTACAACATAAATACGCCATCCACCTTGAGATATAAGTTCTAAGGTCTCAGTATAGTTACAGCGACTGCCCCACCCTGCTTCAAATCGAAACGCATTACTGCTTCATGGCAGAAATGGGCGGGTTGGTGGTACCAACCCGTGCGGACTCACAAGACGTCCTATCACCAGTAATTTTTCAAATTACAATTTGGCGGGTTTGATTTTTATTACACGACGCTATTCCTTCACCGTGGAAGTCAATCGTGAACGTTCGGTAAGTACGTATTTCATTAGAAAAATTGGTACCCGCCTGCGGGATTCGCACACCGTTGCATCGCTAGATACGAATGCACCGGACGTCTTATTTTGATTATATTGACAAGAGTTTATAAATTTAAATATCTCGGCCATGTGTTGACTCCTGATCTCAAAGATGATGAAGATATTGAACGAGAGCGGAGAGCGTTGTCGGTTAGAGCAAACATGATAGCTCGCAGGTTTGCACGGTGTTCACTTAAAGTCAAGGTCACCCTCTTTAGGGCCTACTGTACTAACTTTTACACGTGCAGCTTGTGGGCTGGATATACTCAAAGATCGTACAACGCTCTCCGTGTTCATTATATATTCATTATACTCTCAAGAGGTCCTACCACCAGTAAAAACCACCCGAACATAAACACAAATCGATCCTCCCCCATGACATTAACGGGAAACGACCAAAATGAGATATCGATAAACCATTATATCGATATAACATCGCATCACTAATTCATAGGTCAAATCGAAGCAAATAAACAGCTTGTAGCAACATACCTCGCACCAGTCGATAGAATCACCTGCAAGGAACAAGACATCGATAAGAAGTATAAGACTTCACTAAAATTCAATTAGTTATTAATCGGTAAGTTTATTGTATTTATTTAAACTTTAATTTTAATTATAATTCAAGAGGTGAAAAGCTGTTTGGTTTAAGAAACATCTTTGCTATTTTACTGGAGAGCCATTTATAGTTTAAAATTTCGAGAAAATATCATAACGAACAAGAAAATTCTTCATATATTTGAATGGAGTAAGCTTAATTGAAATTCAATTAAAAACATCGAGCCGTTGATGCTGATACCAAATAAAACAGACCTTTAATTCCCAAGACAAATGTCGCTTTGTAATCTATATATTAATACGTGAAGCAAAAACTTTGTATCCCTTTTTACGAAAATTGCGCGGACGGAGGAGTATGAAATTTTCCACACTTATAGAGAATATAGAGAAGAAGTGCACAATGCTAATATTTTTTTAAAATAATGCATAGAAGATACATTAAATCAATAAAGAAAACATTACACACACTACATACCATGTATTTGACGCACACACGCATGCATACTATTTATTGTCAAACTTTTGTTCTTGACGTCTGTTGTCAAATTGAGAATAGATTAAATATTGTTTGTCTTTGTTAATATTTTTTATAGTGTAGTCTTGGCGAAATTTGTGATTATAGTATGTGTAAAAACTTACTATTCCAATTAATTATAGTCGAATTTCGACTACTGCGGGACCTCTAGTTATATTAATTATTAAAATATTCATTAAACAAATGCCTTTCATCCCTCGATACTTACACCTTTTTTTTAATAATTACTTGTTTTAAATACCTACACCATTAATTGTTCGTTCTCTTAAAATTCGTTAAATACATTTCGAAGTCGTCGTGGCCTAAAGGATAAGACGTCCGGTGCATTCGTATGTAGCGATGCACCGGTGTTCGAATCCCGCAGGCGGGTACCAATTTTTCCAATGAAATACGTACTCAACAAATCTTCACGATTGACTTCCACGGCTAAGGAATAACATGTAATAAAAATCCAATCTGCACGTAATTTGCGTAATTACTGGTGGTAAGACGTCTTATGAGTCCGCGCGAGTAGGTAGCACCGTCCTGCCTATTTCTGCCGTGAAGCAGTAATGCGACTGTAAAACTGAGACCTCAGAACTCATGTCTCTTGTTGATGTTTATGAACGATAACTATTTAACGCCAGGACAGCTGTGAGCTCGATCACCCGTCTAAGCAATAATAAGTTTACATTTATTTACGTAGGATTATTGGAGGAAATAGTTTGTTTAAGGGCGATGATGGGACCTCCCGTGCGTGGAAGGATACATCTTCTAGTTCGAAACCGGTTACCGGAGCCCATAGACATCTACAACGTAAATGCGCCACCCACCTTGAGATATGAGTTCTAAGGTCTCAGTTTTAACAGGCCGCCCCACTCTTCAAACCGAAATGCGTTACTGCTTCACGGCAGAAACAGGCAGAGTGGTGGTACCTACCCGCGCGGACTCACAAGACTTCCTACCTACTACGTAATTAAGCTAATTAGGTATATTTTATTGCGTTTTCCTTGATTTTTGTGCAGTCGATGTAATTCATTCGAATTCATTAGTGAACATTTGTTAAGTATTTCATTAGACAAATGACATTTAATATTCTACGTCTTTATCGAGAAATTCCTCAAAAATCTCATTTTAAATAATCGATTTAGGAGAGACATTCTCGGAGACGGTTTTCATAAAAGCACATCCGAGCTTGCTCTCCGCGAGCTTTAAAGCCGCGAGCGCCCTTGAACAAAATGCAACATGACGCGTTTTATTGTTTTATGTTCTATTTCAAACTAACTAAACTGATATTACAGTGTCGTGCATTATAAATCAGCGCAAAAAAAA